TTAAATTTGCTTTATTGCCAGGTAGCAGGGCTCACACCTATCATCCTAGCTACTCAGGAAGCTGAAATCTGAAAGATCATGGTTTAAAGCTAATCTAGGCAGAAAGGTGAGAGTCTATCTTCAAAACAAATAGCAGAGAGCTGAGTTGGAGTTGTGGCTCAAGTGGTAGATGCCAGCAGAACAAGCAAATTGAGCATGGGGTAAGACCTTGAACACAAACCCCATTATCAGAAAAAGAAAATAATCTTGCCAGGCACCAGTGGCTCAAGCCTATAACCCCAACTACTCAGGAAGTTGAGATCTGAGGACCACAGTTCAAAGCCAGTGGGGGGCAGGAAAGTCCAAAAGACCCTTATCTCCAATTAACCACTAAAAAACCAGAAGGGGAGCTGTGGCTCAAGTGGTAGAGCACTAGCCTTAAGTAAAAGACCTCAGGGACAGTGCCCAGGCCCTAAATGCAAGCTCCAAGACCAGAAAAGTAAAGTCTACTCTTTTCCCTAATCTATTCAAAGAGAGAGGCCCAGGCTTGCTTTTGATCATTATTTCTCTAACTATATCTCTTCTGTGGAAAGCTAGGAGTTCTAAATACCTTCAACACAGCTTCGAGTCCTAAACTGATGGGTATTCAGTGAGATCTACCCAATCTCCAAAGACATTTGTCTGCTTAGCATTTGGGAGGGGTGTCTCTAGAAAGCAATTTAAACATATTTAAAGTGAGCTTCTATTTCTTCCCCCAAACTTTCTCTGGCCACCATTTAAAGGTAATCCCAGCAATTCCGTTAAGTGAGGAATCATCTTTGATCCCCCTCGATTACACCACCAAGTCTTTTGCAAATCTGTTGGTTCTACCTCCAGAATGCAGCCAGTACTAGAATGCTGCATGATGAACAAGCTGCTCTCACCTCTCAGCTACACTCAGTACATCCACAGCCCCTTCTGTACACACGACTCTCAGAAGGCCCTTCAGATGACATCACTGCTGCTTAAGGCCCTCCCCCAGATAAGGTGAATAAACACAAGCTCAGCTCTTTGACTTTATTGTTGGTCCTCTTGCCTTGTGCAATCTGCTCTGGTGACTGAATGCATGCACACCATGCTACTGCGCTACTGTAGGGCCTTTACATTGGTTGGTCCTCTGACCTGTAACACGAGCTCTTTTTGTACCCCTTTAAGCCTGTTTTATCTGCCTTATCTGATCCATCATAATCACATTAATAAATCCAGCTCCCCTCCTCATATGCCTGACCCTCATCTGACTCCCCATCAATACCAGAGCACACAGTTACTGCATTTAACATTTTTTGTGTGTGCCAGTCCTGGGGCTTGAACTCACAGCCTGGGCACTGGCCCTGAACTTTCTTTGCTCAAAGCTAGCACTCTACCCTTGAGCCACAGTTCCACTTCTGACTTTTTTGTTTTGTTTCGTCTTAGTGCTTAATTGGAGATAAAAATCTCACAGACCATCCTGCTTGGGCTGGCTTCAAACCACAATCTTCAGATCTCAGCTTCCTGAGTAGCTAGGATTATAGGCATAAGCCACTGGTACCCAGTTTACATTTAACTTTTAATGCAGTTTTCTTCCTTATTGCATTTCTATACTTCCCTGAACTATAAATGACTTAAGACCAAAGAATTTTAGCTGCCTCATCCACTGGCTCACCGCAAACCTGGAAGCTGACAAAGAGCACATAAATGTCACTGAATACATTAATAATTTCATGAATATGTAGTTTGTTCAATAAGCAGTAGGAGGCCACTAACAAAAATCGAGCAAGTTTGGTCTATAGTCCAAACCATTCATCAGAAATTTTTACTCAGATGACTGAGCTCCTGAAAGATCCAAGACTGTCTCTGCCATTAACAGCACACTCAACCTCCAGCAATGCAGACATGGTTGAAGCGAGATGTAAAATAGACACCGAAGGGAAGGCTCCAGGATTTAAATCTTTCAGAAAAGTGAAATACTTCTTCACCTTTGCCAACAGGTAAAAGAAATTATTTCTGAGGAGTTATGTTGTGGTACCCCAGTGAGCAGGAAGAAAGAAGTAATTTCATGGCATGCCCATCACACTCCTAAGCATTCCACTAACGCCAGCTTCTGACTTCAATGTGTCTTGTGGACAAGAATTAATTTTCACGATGAAGAAAGTTCACTGTCATCTGTCTTGCTCAGAGCCTCCCTTCTGACCACTCAGGATGCCTGACAGCCCAGCGTAGTGGTCAGCAGGGAAACTGTTCGGGCTACTTCTAGCTTTTCATCAACACATCTGCTTGAGAGTTCATTTTCCTACCCAGGACATATCTTGTGAAATGAAGTAGATGGGACAATCCTGGTCCCCTCCTGGAAACCAGACTAGCAAGGATTTGAGCTTCCCACCCCCATCTTCCATGGAAGGCAATCACACCCTATTTTGGAGATGAAAGGAGACTGTCAAGTGGGTTTGGGGTTAGTTAGTGGGTTTTTTTTAGATACATCTTTAAAAATAGCATCAGGAAACCTTGACTTCTCCATCCATCTATAACACAGGGTGATTGCTCAAGTTTCGCAAGTATCTAAGTTGGAAAGGAAACATCGTTGCCTAACACCCAGCCAGCACCACCAGTTTTCTTGGCTTCTGTTCCCTGTGTTGTCACCTTCAAAAGAGGGGGGAGTGGCTTCTGGAGTATTTTTCTTTAATGTTGAATATTTTCAATACCAAAAATATCATTGCTTTGAAAATAAAGAAAAGCTTTCATTGTGCAAACGAGTGTATAGGTCTTCCAGGTGATTTGCCTAATGAGACAGTCCCTAGGTGAAAATAACACCTTAGTCTCTTTCGGCTTGACCCTTTGTTCTCTCCCCCACACACTCAGACACCCCAAGATAGACTCAATCAGGCAAGCTTTCTATCTTCTACAGCCTTTTATCTAAACACTATGATACATGCTTCCTGTGATCTTCATCAACAAGGCACTGATGAGCTATTATGTATGAGGCATATTGCTAGAAAGGAAGGGGAAAAAGGCATAAAGCCACTGGGCTTGCAAAGAGGCCCCCAGGCAATTGTGCAAGGAGTCTGACTTCAGGAAAGTCCATAAGACTGGTGGTTTGTTTTGTTTTTTTGAGGGGGTGGTCCATTCGTGGGGCCTGAACTCTGGGCCTGGGTGCTGTCCCTCAGCTCTTCAGCTCAAGGTTAGCACTCTACCACTTGAGCCACAGCGCCACTTCCAGCTTTTTTCTTTTTGCTTATGTGGTGCTGAGGAATCGAACCCAGGGTCTCATGCACTCAAGGCAAGCGCTCTACCACTGAGCCACTTTCCCAGCCCCGTCCATAAGACTCTTATCTCCAATAAACTACTTCAAAAATCTGGAAGTAGAGCTGTGGCTCAAGTGGTAGAGCACTAGCCTTGAGGAAAAAAAAAAAGCTCAAAAAAGCTCAAAGACAGCACCCAGGCCCTGGGTTCAATCCCCAAGACCAACAAAAAAGAAAAGAAAATAGTTGGCCCTGTTCTCATAATTAATATCACACTCAAGTTGTTCCTTTAATAACCTCACATTCTGCTGTTTTCTTTCCACCATACTTTCAGGAGAGTGTGAGAAGATGGTAGCATTACAGAGGGTGCACAGCAAATGGCCCACACCTATGTTACCCAAGGCCAAGCAGGAGCAGGAAGCTTATGGGCACAAGCATCCACCACGGGGAAAGTTAGGAATAAATTGAGCCCTGCAGCCTGAAGTAACATTACTCATTTAACACATTTGAAAGTCCTTTCCTGGTTTCTATGTATTTGGGTACCCCTGGAGTTCTCAAAGCCCCAGAAGATCGCAGACCTTGCCCTACTTTGGGAAGTACTATGGCTGGCTTGAATTAAAGTCACCCAATTTCTCCAAGTGATCTCATCCAGCTGCTCCAAGTTCTAACTTTTTATCCCCATCCCCCTACACATCTCAAGCCAAATCACACTATTTTAACTTTCAAATGTTCCCAGATTACTTTCTGAATACTTACACCAATAACCTAGGCCCTTGTAGCATTTCTGGCCATTCTGCATAGCATGCAACACTATTCATTTTAAGGATTTGTACCCAAAATGGAATAGCCTTTCCTTAGGTCTCCAAGTATAGGTAGGTAGAATCTGAAGCTGGAAACACACAACCCTTACAGATATTGTTTGTCAAATTTATTCGAAGAGCCAGGCATCCGTGGCTCATACCTATAATCTTAGCTACTCCAGAGGCTGAGATCTGAGGACTGTGGTTTGAAGCCAGACAAGAAAGTCAGTGAGACTATTATCTCTATCAATCAGCAAAAAGCTGAAAGTGGGGCTGTGGCTCAAGTAGAGAGCCAGATTTGAGTAACAAAGGTAAGGAATAGAGCCCAGGATCTGAGTTCAAGCCTCAACATTGACAGACCACACACACATTTAGAGATTCTTAAAATTATAAATGCCCAATATCAAATTTCAAATTCTACTTGATCACATAAAATAGCCTCTTGGTTTTTGAAGGAGATTGGTTCTTGGATCTCCAGTGGGCATAAGGATCTACAGATACTCAGGTCTCTGACATAAAATAATAGAATACTTGCCTATAAACTTTTACTATTTTCCAGTACACTTTAAATTATCTCTCTATTACTTGTTAACCTAATGCAATGCCTGGATATCACTCAGTTCACATGGATTTAGTATCATGCACGACCCATGGCTAATTGAACTTTTGCTTTGGAGAACTTCCTGGCATTTTTTAACCTACGGTTTTAATCCACAATTGGTTGAACTTATGGATACAGAAACCCGTGGATGCAGAGGCCTTTCTGTATCTCAACCACTATGTTTCTACCTGAAGAATTTAAGTATATGAAAGATGAACCTTAAGACATTAAAAAGAAAGGATTTTTGTATAATGCTCTTCAAAATGACTATAGAAAAGCTCCATGATTTTATGATCCTATTCCGTTTTGCAAATGCAAGGTTTCTCTCCCTGCAGGTGGACACTTGGATGGGCTGTGGCTACTCACAGGTCACTGGTGTGGCAAGGATAAGGGGCTGCTTGTGTCTGCGTAGTCGGCTCCAGGGCTTCCTGCCCAGTCTGCACCATAATGATTGCCCTTTCAATCATGTCTTGCAGTGGGACAAAGATGTAGTTATATTTAAATCCATCTGCTGGGAGATTCTGAGGATGAAACTTCCAAAAAGGGTTTTTAATCAAATCTGTCCTCATGCTGTATAAAACGCTGGTCCGAATTGTGTATGTGACATGGGGTGGCAATTTGAGAGATGCTGATCGGATGTGCCTGTGTGCTAAGGAACTGTTGAAGATAACACCTAGTGGGTAAAAGGAAAAACAAAGCATCAGGAAGGAGCACACGTGGCCAGCACTGGTCAGACTGGTATGGTCCCAGGGGATTTCCACAGCCTCCCATTTTTCTCCTGGAGGTCAGACCTATTGTGTAGTACCATAGGCAATTGACAGTAAGCTTAAACCAAAATCTTCCAGTTCCCAGTCCATTGCTCCTTTTTTCAATTTTCATGAAATTATACTGGGGCTATCATGTATACAAACAGTATTTTGTAGTACCTCATAAGTTATGTGAAGTTGCTCAAATATCAGACTTTTTACCCCCTCACAGTTGCAGATGCAGCTGAGTATCCAGAATCTTTCTCTTTGGGTTACTTATCATTCATGACTTAGGCAGATTCTGCTTTCTGACATAAGGAAACTTTGAATTGCATGCATAAGCTTATTACGAGATGACTCAATCAGGTTCCCCAAAAATTCATATGCTGAGGTTCTAATACCCAGGATCTCAGAATGTGGTCATAGTTGGAGATAGCATCTCTTTTGTATATATTTTTATTGTAAAGATACTGTACAGAGGGGTTACAGTTACATGAGTAAGGTCATAGAGATAGTATCTTGAGAAGGGTTCTGTATTATTAAAATGAAGTCTTTGGAGTGGGAGAGAGGCCCTAATTCAATATGATGCTGTCTTATCAAAATAGAAAACTAGGACACAAAGGCATATATACGGGGAAGATTACATAAAGATACATGAGGAAAAAATAATTATCTGTAAGTCAAGTGATGTCTATGGAAGATTCTTTCCCTCACAGCCTCAGAAGAAGCCTATAAAGGATTTGATATTGGATTTCCAGCATTTAGAGCTATAAGAAATCAAGTTTCACCAAGTGCCAGTGGCTCACACCTGTAATCATAGCTACTCAAGAGGCTAAGCTCTGAGGATCAAGGTTAGGAGTCAGCCCAAGCAGGAAAGCCTATGAGATTTCTATATCCAATTAAATACATTAAAAAAGAAAAGCCAGAAGTGGAGCTGTGGCTCAAGTGGTAGAGTTCTAGCCTTGAGCACAAAAGCTAAGGGATAGCACCTAGGCCCTGAGTTCAAGCCCCTGGACTAGCAGGACTACCAAGACTGTAATACTTTATTGTCACAGCTCTATAAAATCCAATATAAATCCTCAAGAAAAAAATAATTAAATGGGACCTGAGATATAGTTCAGTGGTAGTACGTGTCATTAGTTTGCACAAGAACCTGGGCCCAATCTCCAGCTCCAAAATAAGAATAATAAACAACAGTAATAATAAAATGCTTGTTTTAAAAGGATATAAATGTATATGTTATATTTATCTTGAATAAGTACAAAGTTAATAACAAAATCTAGTTAGACACTGTATTCTTTCCATTACCTCAAGATATTAATATAGTCTGACAAAAATAAAGGTGTTGCCAGCAATCAGAGTAAAACTTTAGTAAAAAATTAATATTTATCATATGAGATTTAACTATAAAATGCTATTTAAAAATAATAAAAACAGATGAAGCAAGTAGCACCTTCCTTAGGATGATAGAAATGGCATTCAGCATGTCCTGAGGCACACATTTTCCTTAACTCAGCACATACATTTTTGCTTTACTTTGTTGTATCTGTAAGAAACTTTTCTTTCTAAGCCAACATAAGACACTCTTATAAAGAAATATGGAAAATGCCGAACTATTGGAGTCTATGCCTATATGAACACATTTCTTTCCTGAATACTTACTGGCCAGGAAGTTGTTCTGCTGCGTGAGTTCATGGGCTTTAGTCTCCAGAGCATCAACAGACTCCATAGGCTGGAAACGGTCCAATACCACGCAGGATGAGAGATTGACCAAGATACCGCCCAAGAACTGGAAGTGTCCAGCCCCTGCGTGGTTAAACATCTTATCTAGCATTCCACCTAAGGAAAGCAAACAAATTAGGACACAGCATCTCCTCTACCACCTAAGTGCTTCCTGCTTATACACTGGGGATTGTGCAAATGTATTTGAAAATGAATATGAATTTCTTCATCAAAAATTGCTCATAAGGACCGATTTTATTCATATACAAAATTCACTACTCATTAACTCAATGAAAATCCTCTACTACTTTATATATATATATATATATATATATATATATACATATACATATATATATATTCTCTGTGATACTCAGTGAGAGAAAGAGAAGGAGGAAAAGGAGAAAAGGAAGGGGAGAAGAAAAAGAGGAGGAAGAGGGAAGAGGTAGAACAAAGGGTAAGACTGCATCCCAGGATAACTTGTAACAAGGAGACTCAGGCAAAACAAACAGAAAGAAAAGAAATGCATATATAATAAGGAAGAACTTTTCACAGACAACTAAATAAAAAAACAAACAAACAATGTTCCAACCTGACAGGGGAAATCCTAACTAATATGCTTTCACTGAAGTGGTAAGCATTTTGTGAAACACATTTTATGACATTCACGTTACAATGTGGGGGGGGGGGGGGCTGGGGAAGATGGGAAGGGATGAGAAGGGTAAACAAAGGAGGAGGCAACAATGCTTGATAAGAAATGTACTCATTACCTTGGTCATGTAATTGTAACCCCTCTGTACAGTATTTTCACAATAAAAAAAAGAAAAAAATAATAATCAACCCAGCTGTGGCTCACACCTATAATCCTAGCTACTCAGGAGGCTGAGATCTGAGGATCATGGTTCAAAGCCAGACAGGAGAGAAAAGTCCATGAGATTCTTATCACCAACAGATTACTTAGAAAAAAGCCAGAACAAACACTGTGGCTCAAGTGATAGAGTACTAGCCTTGAGCACAAAGAGGCTCATAGACAGTGCTCAGGCCCTAAATTCAAACCTCAGAACTGTCAGAAAACCTTTGAAGAAGAAGAGGAGGAGGAAGAGGAGGAAGAGGAGGAGAAGGAGGAGGAGGAGGAGGAAGAGGAATAATCAGCAGCAAGGAAATCAATCTTCCTATAGTCTCTGTCCAAGACTGGTACATTAGAAAAAGTAAATAGTTAATAAATACTGGCAATATTTTGTCTCTGGAAGCTGAATTTCAAAACATTTTTCAGAGGAAAAACACAATGAGGATGGTTTGGTATTTTCAGTCTGGTTTCAGAAAAGAGCTGGGGAAACTAAATTACCTGGAGAAAGGAGTGTGGGGAGACAGGCTAGGGAGAGGAAGCAGCTTGAGACATCCTAGAAGGCAGAAGAGTCAGGTGTGAACTGAGTCCCTCCAGTTAGATATGAGGTAAGCCCTGCTACTGGAGAAAACATCACAGCCCCAAGCCATCTAAGCATAATCAGAGTTGGGACCAAGATGCCACCCACCCTCTCCAAGTGGTAGGAAGAGAGCATGGCCCTTCTTGGCTGGTATACTGGAAGCTGCTTACCTACTGAGGGTGATATTTACATCAAAGGTCCTTCACCCACCAAGGATAGCCTTCCTTAAGGACATCCAGAGACAGTCTTTCTGGGTTTTTCCCCCACTTGGTATTTTAAAAAGTCTGAATTCACAAGAACTGAACATATGTACAAGCATTCCACCATGTTTATACATACCCACAGATTACACAAAACCACACAACAAAGCATAAATACCCTGTGGATAAAATTATATTATGGGACAGCTGTCAGTGGCCATAGGACTTATTTATTTCAGTCCCAAGCAGATGGAGGACATGAGCTTCTCTTGAATTCTTCTTTTGAAAAGCTCTCAGAAAGAGCTAGGTCACAACTTGTCCCTAGGAGAAGAAAATAGCTCAAACCAGAGTCCACAAATGGCATCAGTGGCAGAAATACTGTAATTAACGAGGAGTACTGATTTCTGGCCAGTTTCAGACTCACAATTTCTAAATTGTAAAGGCAAAAAGATCTGTTTCTGCTGAAATGTTAGATAGTAGAAGGATCCCCAGGATCTGGATTTTCCACCTCAACATGCCTTGATCTTCGCAATGTAGAGGTTGTTACCTACTATTGGGAACCTGAAGGGTCCGCCACTGAGTACTGCGGAGTCCCTCAGGGAGTTACTAACCCTCAGAGCCGATAGCATGGACTTGACATTGGCTTAAGCGGTCAAGAGGTTGGCCTGTGCTCCAGCCTGACTTTCACAGAGACTTCCCTGAGACCAGGCACTGCTCCTCACTCAACAAGAGGGTTTGGGGGGCTGGAGTTCAAGAGGGTCTCAGGATATAGAACACATTTGGTTGGAGAAAGAGAGCTTTGTTTCAACTCCTTTGTTTCAACATAAAATTATTTCATGATTTCTCCCAAATGTTGAAGCAAAAGTGATGCCTTTGGGTAACTCTTACGTTCCCTCCATGGCTTCCTGGGACACTGCCTGGCACCTCTCCTAGAGTTTCCATGACCATGCTCTAAGGGTCCCAGTTGTGCTTTGAAATGTAACTGCTCCCCCAGACTGGCATGTATGGGTTATGCTGTGGCTGAGGTGAAGGCCTTTTTGGAGATTCTGTTGTTTTCTAAAGTATGTGGGTGTGCCACCGCGCTTGAGTGTTTTCAAATGAAGCCACAGTGCCGGGAGCCACTGAGCTCATGAACACTGCAGAGCTGGCAACACACGGCTTTGCTCTCCTAACAGTTCTGCTCCTTATTCCAGCTTTGATGTCTGTCAAAATTGCAGCTTCCTCACGCATAGCACAGGGAAAGCAAAACTACACATGTGGTTGTAATGTTGTTACTGCATTACGGAATGCTACCTACTACTATATTTGTAATCGCTAAAGACAGTAGGTAGACTCTCATCAATTAGTATGTTTTCTTTCTTCTACAGAACACCTAGTGAGTAGAAGAACCAAAACTACACTGCCCGTGCAAATTTTGTTGATGGAGAATAGGAGAGGGTGTTTAATTTTACAGTATGGGGCACAGTGGTGATTGTTTTTTGGCGGGTCGGGGTCATAGGCCTGAACTCTGGGCCTGGGCATGTCCCTCAGCTCTTCAGCTCAAGGCTAATGCTCTACCACTTGAGCCACAGCACCACTTCTGGCTTTTTTTCTTTTTGCTTATGTGGTGCTGAGGAATCAAACCCAGGGCCTCATGCATGCAAGACAAGCGGTCTACCACTGAGCCACCTTCCATACACAGTGGTGATTTTTGTGTGTTGCATTTTATATGCTGACCATTTGTCAGGATATATGTTGCTCTACAATCTTGCTTTAGTAAGCTTTGGTTAGGCAATTAAACTGTATAGACTTCCAGATGTTAAATACAATAAAACTTAACCTCACTATAGGGTAGCTTTAATTATCTTCCATGGGAACAATCAAAGCTGCTTTTTTTTTTTGACAGGCCTTAAGAATGTGAGTAATTTACATAAATGCAAGCACAAATACGGAGGTGGGGAAGATAAACACATACTCACTTATTTGTGGGTATAATTTGCAAACACAATTGATGGTACAATTTGCAAGTCCAGTTTATGCCTTTGTATCCATGGATTCTGTATCCATGGGCTCAACAACCTCACATCGGAACATACACAGACTATTACTTTCATCATTGTTATCTCAAAAATATAGCATTTACACTGTGTCAACCATTGTCAGCACATGGACTTTCCTGCCCAGACTGGCTTGGAATTGGGACCCTCAGATCTTAGTCTCCTGAGTAGCTATTATTACAGGCATAAACCACCAGTGCTAATCATATAGAATGATGTTTATTGAAATGAACGCCAAGAAATGGAAACAAGAGTTTTTTATTATACTGTTTGCAGTTATTTTCCCCCCCTTTGGTTTATTGCCTTTTGTCACTGTTTTTGATTTGTGTACCCTTTGAAAAGATACTTTTAATTGAATGAAAATAAAAATGGGACATACCCAAATGATGAGCTGAAATTAAGAAAATGATCAAAGAAAAATATTTACTTTTTAATATATATGCCTATTATATATAAGTATATATCTCAGAAAGTGAAAGAAATAATGGAGAGAGGGAGGGAAAAGGGGAAGGAGGAAAGAAGAAAAAACAAACAAACAAATACCGAGATGAAACAAAGCCATTGTGATATGTATTCCTTTTAAGATTCACAAAATTGATAGCCCATTACAAGATAGATAAAAGTATGACAGGTGGGGGAAAATGCAGAAGAAAGAGGAAAGACAAGGAAGAAGAGGAGGAATGGAGGATGACAAGAGAGGTTACAAGATGTTGTTTTATTTAAATTATTAGGAATTAACTAAAGGATATCTCCACTTCATCTTCACCTATAAACAAGACATTATTGGGTAACATTACTTGGAAATTTTTTCTGTTGTGTCTTCTGCTTCAAGATGAAATTTGTGAATATGACTCCCTAAAGCAAGGTAATGAAATAAATATGAGGATGTAGAAACCAAGATCATGATATCCCACCCAGGAGAGCAGATAATTCTCAGATGGCCACTGGGTATGGAGTAAGTGGACTGAGGGAGTATGAAGAGGGTCCCCACCTGCTGTCTGCATGGACAGCCAGGCTGGACATAGAGATATGCTAGCACGTTTTGGGAGGGAGGTTAGCAAAGGTTAGTAAAAGAGAAGGAAATATCATTTTAAAGAGGGAATTGCATTTTCATGCATGCTCTGGCTTTGCAACAAATAGTACTTATCTGATCATTATGTTTTATCTGAATAAAAATGGTCATAAAATTCAAGTAGGGGTAACCCGGCAGAGAAATGATGGAATATAGAACTAATTTGTGTCTTTCCTAACAGGGAATCGATTGACAATCTCTACTGTGAACAAATCAAGAATACTACTACAGGCATTATTGTTTAAGGCGATGGTGATCAATCCATAAGCAATTTCTCAGTAATCCTAAGGAATAAAAGTGGGTGGGATAGCTCAGTTAGGAGTTTCTTTTCAAGTAGCAGGGCCGACAGTTATAAAGTTAATTTTCTTTTTATGAATAACTTTTAAAATGTTGTGGATGAGAGGATCCTTTTGTGACAATACATGTCTGTGCTCACTGGAGAACAGAAAATTCCATTTGAAAAAAGAGCTCCAAGTCTGGAGATGACGGGTAGATCGTTTTCCTCTAGCTTATTTGTATCTCCTAATGTTTCTACAAGAGAAACATGTCGCTTCACAATATGCTGAAAGTCATTTTCAAGAGTTCCATAATGAGTGAAATGGAGAAGCTTTTTGAGATTGATTTGGGGAAGGATATGAGGAAAAGCAAAGGAGAGAGTGAATCTGAACACAGAACACGGTGTGCATATACAAATATATCAAAATGAAAGCCCCAGCCACGCACAGGAGGCTCGTGCCTGTAATCCTAGCTACTCAGGAGATGAGAGGATCACAGTTCAAAGCTAGCCAGGTCAGGAAAGTCCATAAGTCTCTTATCCCAATTAATCACAGAAAAAGCCAGAAGTGGTACTGTAAATCAAGTGGTAAAGCACTATCCTTGAGCAAAAGGAGTTTAGAGATAGCAACCAGGCCCAGAGGTCAAGACCCAGAACCAGGAGGGAAAAAAGAGAAGAAAAAAGAAACTCCCTAGTACAACTAAACACAATCCTACAAACAAACACATGATGCCTTGCCTCCTCTTACCCTTCATGCTTCAGCTACATTTGAGTCCCTTTTCCACGCATACAGAGGCCAGGGTTCCAGGGACCTAAATCAGCCTGACATTCTTCCTTTTCTGGTCTCCAATCCCCTTCATCTGGTTTAGGTTTTTTTTATTATAGTAAAAATACTGTACAGAAGGGTTACAGTTACATGAGCAAGGTAATGAGTCCATTTCCTATCAAACATTGGCATACCTCTGACAAAGCCCTAAGTCTTCGCTGGCATCACTGTTTACAGTGGCTGGACAGAAATAGTCCATACCCCTCTCCAGCTCCTTGCATGGAACTGTCTCTCTTATGTCTCTCAGTAAATAAGCGTAAAGCCCAATATGCTAATACATGAGCACGAGAGAGGATCGCAAGTTCCAGGCTAGCCTGAACAAGGTTTTGTCTCAAAAGAAAGGAAAAAACATAATGATGACCAAGATACATTATAGCCAGAGGGCAATATAAGTTTCCTAGGTGATATTTTTGTCTGATCTGTACATTTTCAAATCCATGCAACTGCTTTCAATTTACTGTTAACTCAATGGTAATTCCTTTTATAACCCTACTTTGCAATCCATACTTCCAGCATTCCACTCAGAACCCTCCTTTTGTGTTGTTTTTTTTTGTCTTAACTAAGTCTTTTGCAAGTCAAGCCCTGAATCAGTAAGTCAGAAAAGTTCATATATAAATAAACTTTGGTATATCTAATTGAAACCCTTCAAGATACAGAAAAGAAAGTAGAAACTCAGAGAGTAAAAGTGACAACCTGATGCCATCAAGTAACTTTGTGGCCCAAGGAGCAGGACACATGCAGGACCACCATTGGAGACATGAACCCCACCTTGGAGCCATGAACCCCACCCTGAATACAAGAATGTTTACCATAAGTCTGCAGAGTTTCTGTGAGTTTGTCCACATCAATGTGTAACTGGCTTTCTACGAAGTGTCTTATAAATTTGTTTCTCAGGGCATCCTAAAGAAAAATAATATAGCATAACAAAAAATAATTATATATGTCCTCATTGAATAATACTAAATTTATTCAAAGTTGTGTTATTCAGGCAAAACACAAAGTAAATCCACTTTAAAGAAGTTCTAAAACATTGCAAATAACTAATAGGTGAACATACAGTCGGTTCTTTATCTTGTTAAGCAAAAATAGGGATTGTGAAATTTTTAGATTCTAATTTTAACTATTCACTGACACTAAAAGTGGAGAACAAATTAATTAGTGGCTTTTTGGCCAAATTTTCTAACACCCACAACACCATGATCCTTTACCTTTTTAAGATTACTTCTTTTTTTTGGGGGGGGGGGGGAGGGTCAGTACCAGGATTTGAATTCAGGAAGATGGGCTCTTTATTTTGTTGTAATGATGCTGTACAGAGGGGTTACACTTACATGAGTAAGGTAATGAGTACATTTCTTGTTGAGCATTGTTACCCCTCTTACGATCACTTCCCTCCCCTTCTTTCCCCATTTCTTCCAGAAGATGGGCTCTCAACTGGCTTTTCTGCCAAGAAGCACTGAAGAAGGACTTCCATATGGCCCAACCCCTGTCTTAAATCCTGTGACACACAGAACATGATCATTGGAATACTCATTGGACGCATCTCATTGTGATGCTCCTAAATTGTCTTGTTTGTAAATGGATTTAAGATGGAGAGCTCTCCAAGATCATTTTTCATAGACTTCATGAAATTGTGCACCTCGATGTTGCCATTAGCATGCATTTATTAGCATCATACTCCCACACACCACAACCAACAAAGAAACCTGAGAGCAGGAAAGTACTCATGTACTGGCACTCAATACCAGGATTCATAAGTAGAGGTTAATTCTAGACTACACTAGCTCCTTAGAGAATACCTGTTTCACCAACTAACTTTACAACATGGAAGCTTCAAGTTATGAATTCTTAGATAATGTCCCTGTGTCAGGGACTCTTTTACTGCTCATATTCGCCCTCACTGATTTTGTCTGAGGATGACAAGACTTTATTATGAAATCTGTTTGTTCTTTCTTAAATCTTATTTATCTTCTTTCATTGGGCATTAGTTTCTTGCTGGATAATCTACAGAGTAGTTTATTATGCAATTATGTCATTTAATCTCAGAGACATTCCCATGAAGAAATAACTATTAACTTTTACTGGTGGGAAAAGCCCAAGGCAGAATTTATAGCTTCACCCAAAGGCACTAAATGACACCATCTAGTGGCAGAACCCAGATTGAGACTTCACTCCAAACCCAAAGACAGTTTTCCCTGAATGTGATCCCAATGCTAGGAGAAACACAGTTAACAATCCGTGATATCTAAATTTTTCACATGTATTCGACTCTACATTAATTTTACTAGAGATAAAAGTCATACAGGGAGTGAATTTGATCACTGAATATTATATACATGTGTGGAAGTATCATAATAAAATCCCTGTGTATAGATAACATGCACCTAAAATGAAACAGAAGAGTATCAAAAAAGGTTGGATTTGATCAAAATGCGTTGTATCATGTATAAAAATAGAATTAAAAAAACTCTCTGTGCAACTAATATATACTTAATTAATTAATTAAAAGGAAGATATTCTTAGGAGAGGATCACAAAGGTGCAATAGTTGTGGGTATCTGATCATATAAAATAACATATATCAAAATTAACTCCAGGAAATGGAAACAAGAGGATTTTTTCTTGTTTTTTATTATTGGTTTCATTTTCTTTTGTCTTGTTTATTAGTTTATCTGTTTTTGGAAGGGTGAGTGGTGCAAAGAGTGAACAAATGTGGTAATGAGGCTCACTAGATACTTCATGGAAAACGAACTATACAACTTGGGGGGCGGGGAGTGAGGGAAGGGGTGACATTTGTCCAAAAAGATATGTATTCTTTATCTGACTTATGTAACTGTAACCTTTCTGTACATCACCTTTACAGTAACAACAAATAAAATTTTTAAAAATTTACTAGTCATCTAGGAAAACCAGGTTTGCTACCACCTTGTACAATCTTCTGAAAGGCTGCTGCAATGGCTTAGACAGACCCAAGCAGGTAGCAGCCTGGAACTCAGCCCCTACTCACTTGCAACTGGTTGAACATCTGTCCATTTCCACTTCCCTGGAAAAAGCTGGACATCTTCAGCAGTGTTTCTGATAAAGTTTTTAGCTTGTCCACAAAATAAAAAGTGTAATTGGCCTACAAAATGAAGCACACGTTGTAAGTTTTTTTAGGTCATTATTATATTAGAATAAGTCTTCAATCTTGCAGTAACTATAGGCACAGCAGCAGATAGGAAAGAGCAAAAACCTCTATCACCCTCTGCAGGCTGCCTGGCACTTCTCTTGACAGCAAGAAAATTTCAATATGAGTCAGGAGACAATAAAGATACTTGCATATCCATATTTGTTGCTGCACTATTTACCACAGCCGAGTGATAGAAACAGCTCAGATTCCCTTCAATAAGTTGATGAGAAAATATATGTGTTTGTATGTTTCTTAATAAAAATGTATATATATATGTTTCTTAATATATACTATATATGGGCAAGGAATGTGGCTTAGTGGGATAATGTTTGTCCAGCATGCATGAGGCCCTGTGATCAATTCCTTGGTACCACATAAAGATAAAATTAATAAAATAAATGAAAAATAACCATTTAAAATTATTAAAAATGTGTATCACATAATAGAATTTTACTCATCTATCAGGAAGAATATGTCATCTGCAGGGAAATAAGTAACACCCAAAAAAGCATGCTAAATAAACTAAGTCAGGGTCAGAAAAACAAAAGATTCATTTTCTCCGATCTATAGAAGTTACATATACATTATAAATATATATAAACATATATATGTAATTATATACATGGTCAAATGTACATATACACATGTATGTTAATAAAGTATTGTTTATGCTGGAGAGAATTCCAGTGGTACAACTACTCTGAACAGCTGTCTTAGTAATAACAGGAACCTGAACATGTGTTGGTGAATGGGTATGGTCTAAAAGAAGGCAGAGGAGAGAGGAAGGGTGGGCAAATGCAGTCACAGTATTCCACGTACATATGCAAAAACTGTGAATTAGGTAAATCTGGGAGATGGGTGGAGTTTGGAGAGATAGAGGTGAATGATGAAAAAGATGACACCAAAAAAGTCATAAAAATTATAGTCATAGACCCACAGAAAAAGGTATGCAACAGAATAAAAAGAGTCTATCCTATATCCTAAGGGAAATAATTTAAATGAAATAAAGAGGGAAGATCTCCCATTTCCACTCAACACACTTCAAACTTAAAATAGTATAATTCTTCACCATCTTGATGGAGAGATGAATGCAGGAATAGATGGATGCATCCATGGATACATAGAGTGAAGGATGATTGGTTAAATGGATGGATAAATGGGTAGATGGTTGAGTGGATGGATAAAAGGAGAGGTTAGAGGGTGGAAAGATGGAGGATAGGAGAAAGGGCACTCTATAGTCCCTTTATTAAAGGGACCTGGCCTTCCCAGACAAACAGAAAGGCTGGACATATTCTCCTTCAACAAGGACTGAACAATCCAGAAAAGTTCATGAGTTGGAGAAAATAAGTTGAGTCCTTGAATGGTCACAAGATTCTGAGAAAATTTCCTCAGCAATCTGGAGGAAGCGGTTGGTGGTCAAGTGGGCAGAGCAGAGACTCCATTTCATAGTGGTAGTTACAGTTATTAACTGGAGCTGAAAGCTAGAGTAATAGAAGCTCACAGACATACAACTTCTAAGGGGAAAAGAAGCACATCTAAATATCTCCAGGTCTGGACATCATCTAATCTCACAGAACGAGTACATCCATAAGCCTACTGATAGAGCTTTTGAATCCTGCTGTTTTATAGGGGATTATACCAAACACATCTCATCATAAACTGTAATTATTTCTACTTGGGGCAACATTCCTGAGTTCTGATAAAATGTTTTAGGTCGAACATTTTCACCCACTTGAGCACCTTGCTCCAGGCTGACAACATGCTCTTAGATCACTGATTAGATGCCTAAGGTCAGAAAGCAGATTGCTATGAATTCTATTCCCGCTGCAGGACTCTCTGGGGATGACCTCAGCCTGGAGGTCTTGAATCTCCTTCATGCATCATTCCATCCATGTAAACAGTCCCCAGTGCAGAACTTCTGGTCTCCATGCTCTGCTGGCTGTATTTATAGAGTCCAGGCCTGGGCAACTACCACTCCCTGACATTTTTCATCTTGATCATTATCCAAGTCAAGTATTTCCATTTCTACATGAGTTACTTAATCATCAGGCTTTATTTCCATTCAATTATAAAAACAGAAATAGTTCTGTCTTCATCTTTGACTTCATTTTCACCCTCCCAAAGATGTATCTCTGAAGGAATTCAGAAGGGTGAAATGTCACACCTTTCTACTCAAAGCCATAAGCATGGTGTCAATTTCTATAATTAATTAAGTAGCATCCCAGATGAAGACAGTAAAGGTATCCTTAGTGTACAGGATCCTTATTACTTGATAACTAAGACATAACAAAGAATCTAGGCTGTTTAAGTTTACTAAACATGAATGTGAACCATGCACTTTCATTTCCTAGTTGATAATGCAAATATAAATGTAAACCTAACCGATTCTTACTATAGTTAGTAAGTAAAATGGGTTTAATAACACCTACCCCACCTGGTTTTCTTGTGAGATGTAAATAATCTTTGAGAAAGTATCAATGGTACCTTAAAACTCACAGAAAGAATGCTGGGTGCTCCTAACTACTTAGGAGGCTGAGATCTGAGATTTGTGGTTCAAAGCCAGCCGGGGCAAGAAAGCCCATGAGACACTTAACTCTAATAAACTATCAAATAAGGCAGAAGTGTAGCTGTGACTCAAGTGGTAGAACAGTAGCCTCAAGCAAAAGAATCAGGAACAGTGTCCAAGCCCTGAGTTGAAGCCCAAGGACCAGCATTTAAAAATAAATATGAAACAAAAACTCATAGAAATAACTGTTCCATGGAAATTGGGGCAATGACAGTCCTACAAGAAAATGTAAAACTCTACTTGCTCTCCTCTCTCAGTTCAGACCCAATGAGAATCCACTATGCTAGAGAGATGACATGAAAAGTCAGCCTATCTCTTTATATGCCTGGCTTGAGCAGGGTCCTCTCAGAGGAAGCCTCTTCCTCATCCACACTGTCACTTAGACCCTCACCTTCATATCCTGATCAATGACTCCAAGAGGATAAACTGGATTTTAGTCACATGTGAATCTCCTTGAGGAAAAGCACTTCAGTAAAGCAAAAAAAACCCTAAATATTTTGTTTATGTAATAAAACAGATCAGGTTCAAATGTCATGTCTGCCCCTTCATGAGACTTTGGCAAAGGTATGTATTCTGACTGCAAAATCCAACAAGAGACCAAGCAAGAACCAGTGAAATCTTTGTACGCTGATGCCCAGAACCCACCCCAACTTGAAGAGATCAATTGAGATTAATCATTTATTATGTCTGTTGGCCTTTGCTTTGTTTCCAGTTGATGAGCATTTCCAAAGCAAAGGTCATCATACTAATTATTGTTATGAAAAATCATATAACATAATATGAACAATATAGAAACACATTGATAATATTAACATTTTAATAGTGTATAACATAATTGTAAAAATAAACTATAGCCTCTTTTTAAATTGTACATCTAAAGTAAGACTGTGTCATAGAGCCATTTCCTACGAAGTTCCTAAACTTCACAAAATTCTAAGATTTATCCCACGAGGAAAATCGCCTCACCCTGACTTGGGCCCTGCCTTGGCCTGAGCCGCCAGTCTCAGCACAGCTGAGGACTCAGCCTGGGCTCCACCAGACAGAGTGACTACTGTATGCCATAACTTAAAACCACAATCATTACCATTCCGTTGTAAGTCCAATCTTTTGGCAAAATCATTTTCAAAATTGAAAGCAAAAAGGCTTATAAACAGGACTGAGACTAGGTTGTGATCACTAATGTCCCTGGGCTAAGAGGCCAGCTTTCAGGAGACTCACTCTGACCTCATTGTGCGCAAAGGCAGGAAAAAGAGATGTTATGTAAGTGATTGTAGTCAGCAGTGACTTAACTGACCATATGATCATACAACACTCTTTTGGATTGTGTGTGTGTGTGTATGTGTGTGTGTGCACGTGTTCACATGCATACGCACTGGTCCTAGAGCTTGAACGCGGGGCCTGGCTGCTGTCCCTGAGCAGCTACAGCTCCACTTCAGACTTCTTTGGATGCTTAATTGGAAATAAGAGTCTCTCTCACAGGGTTTACTGCCAGGGCTGGCTTTGAACTATGACCCTGGGATCTCAGGCCCCTCAATAGCTAGGATTACAGATATGAGCCAACAGCAGCCAGTTCATACTGCACTCTTAAGATTTAAGTAGTTGACACTATTAGAAACTTGGAAGTTAATTTAATGTGTATCTCATCTCTTGTGTTTGCCATTAAGTTCAAAGCATCTCATGTCTCTGGCATAGTATCCCCTTTTCAAGGTACCTGCAGGTTCACAAGAAAATAAAACCTGATCATTTAAAAAGGAATCAGACAAGTAAAGACATCAGGACATGACACAATTATTTTTTAAAGAAATTGCAAACAATAATAGAGTAGATTGGAGAAATTAAATAAGACAGGAAAAGAAGGGAAAAACAAAAACAAAAACAAACCATGGAGAAATTCTTTCTGGAAAATTTTGGACCTTCTCCTCTCACCTTATTCTCCAGAAGGTCAGGCAAAGCCCCACTCAATTTGAAATCATCACTCACCAAAAGGCTAACAGTTAGCATATGGGTTGCGGAGTACATCTCTGAGTCTTAAATACCAGGAATATCAAGCAAAGTAGAATTGACTGTTTCTGTCTGCTTTCGTGGAACTATTCCCCTGTACTCAACCTAAACCTGCCCTGTCTAATTGTCCTTGCCTTTAATATTAAAGTCTTGTGAATTCACTGACTTAGTGATTCTAAGTATTATTCACTGCCTCTACAATGTCCTTTAAGAAAGAACTCCACAAGTTAACATTTGATCAGAGGAACAGGAAAGCCAGGGGCCAAATGAATTATGATCAGCTTTTTAAAAAATTTATAATGTAGTGCATATAATAATTACATTTCTTTCCAGAATATCATGCATCAGGTGTAAGATTTTCATTTGTCTCAACATACCTTTTGAATGATTTTATTAATCTCTGGAATGTTTGGTGTATACAGTATTTTTCCATGTAGTATAGGTTTTAGGAAGGACCACACCAAAGCACCATTCGGAAACTGTAGAATTTCCTCATAAAGCTTCAAGCAAAATGGTGCTGTCATAATTAAAAGAGGAAAAAAAGTAAAGGCAGAAAATCCAGATTAACAGCAAACTTTTATACATATCCATATGCATACTTTTAGTTAAGTGATTCAGATATTTTTTCATGACACAAATCTGAACAGGGGAAGTAAGCAAGGAGTGTTTTTCTGTACTGGTACTGGGGCTCCAACTCAGGGTCTAAGCACTGTCACTGAGTTCTTTAGTTCAAGGCTAGCATTCTACCACCTGAACCATAGCTCCACTTCTTGCATTTTGTGGTTAATTGGAGATAAGAGTCTCATGGACTTTCCTTGCCTGGGCTGGCTTGAACCACAATCCTCAGATCTCAGCCTCCTGAGTAGCTAGGATTACAGGCATGAGCCACAGGCATCTGGCACAAGGAATTTTTTTTTTTCACTCATGGAGTTTGAACTCTGGGTCTGGGCACTGCCTCTCAGCTCTTCAGCTCAAGGCTAGCGCTGTAACACTTGAGCCATAGTACTACCACTTCCGGTTTTCTGGTGGTTAATTGGAGATAAGAGTCTCACGGACTTTCCTGCCTGGGCTGGCTTTGAACAGAGATCTTCAGATCTCAGCCTCCTGACTATCTAGGATTGCAGGTGTAAGCCACCAATGCCGGGCCACAAGGAGTATTTTTATATTCCTTTCTTCAGCAGATGTCATTTACTCAGAAACTTTAGAATGCAGTAGTAGTGGCTCATGCCTGTAATATAAGGTATCCAAGAAGCTGAGATCAGAAGGATCTCAGTTTGAAGCCAGTTGGGACAGAAAAGTCTATGATAGGGCTGGAAAGGTGGCTCAGTGGTAGAGTCCTTGCCTTGCATGCATGAGGCCCTGGGTTCAATTCCTCAGTACCACAAAGGCAGAAAAATCTGGAAGTGGCACTGTGGCTCAAGTGGTAGGTAGAGCACTAGCCTTGAGCTGAAGAGCTGAGGGACAGTGCCCAGGCCCAGAGTTCAGGCCACACGACCAGAAAAAAGAAAAAAAGAAAAAAGAAAAGTCTATGATACCCCATGACCAAAACAACCAACAAAAGCTAAGATGGAGGTGTGGCTAAAGTGGCAGAGCACCAGTCAAACAAGAAAGTTGAACAAGCTTGAGACCCTGAATTCAAACCCCAGTACTGGCAAAAATAAAAAACAAGCATACAAATCTCTGAAACTTTAGGATGCTATGTTTGTTCCCATGACATAAAAGAAACATAAAAAATTAAGACTCTCAGAAAGTGATGGCATTGACATTTAAAAGTGAAATGTTTTTTATGTTTTAGAATAAGAAAATTCTCATTTCAATAGTCACAATATTGAAAACACCTGGTTACCATCTTATGGACTCAGCTTTACAAGTAACTTCCGGATTTTCTCTGATACACTGATGCAGAACTGTCAGCCGTGTTACTTTTGTTATGTGAAAGCATCTTATTTTCACAAAAAACACTTCTGATAGGCCTCATCATTGCTATGAAACTAGTTAAATTAAAAGTGTACTTAAATAAATTGTCTAAACAAGTTGGCAATTCATTACCAGAATGTTCAGTCATGAAATATTGATTGTCAATATAAGTAGATCTTTTACTAAAAAAGAGAAAATTTAAACAGGACTAATTATATTAGTTTTGATTAAATGGTTTGTAATGTATAAGTTACAAAGAGTTATTTTGTGATGTTTGTTGGTAATTTGTTTTTGCTGGTTTGAACTCAGAGCCTGAAGCTTGCTTGACTTGTTTGGCTGGTACTCTACCACTTAAACCATGCCTCTAGCCTTGCATTTTGCTGGTTATTTTGGAGGTGGAATCTCATGGACTTTTCTGCCTAGGCTGGCTTTGAACTTCAATCCTATAGGTCTCATCTCCCTGAATTAATTCATAAAGGTATGAGCCACCAAGACCCAGCTGTGGTGATCATTATGAAGTGTTAATTTCATTCTTCCAGAAGTCTCCACGTGAGCAGAAAAGCAAGCAAATTTCTAATACAGTAAAATAATTTACTAAAATATAAATTAACTATACAATTAGGTAAGACATTTTAAGTTAAATATAGACGTTGTGTATTTTTAACTCTTTCAACTTCAAGCTTAGTATAGATGGCAGTGATTTTTATTTTAGAAAAATATAGACACTATATATGTATATATATAGTTCTGTGTGTGTGTGTGTGTGTGTGTGTGTGTGTGTAATGCATGTAAGTACCAACAAAATTGGTCCTCAGTGTAAGTGGAAGGACTGGGTAGATGGATAGGGATGGATGGATGGATGGATGATAGATGGATGGTAGATGGGGTTAATCAATCGTCCTCAAGATTCAAATACAAAACACAAGAAATAAAGTGGATTAGAGAAAAAGATAACCAAATCATTAAACATAAATACTTGAATAGGCCTTTCTACTACCAAATTACTCCAATATTAACTGCTATCCAAATTATCTACCAGCTATGGAACACACTGGCCTACAGCTTCTTTTCTTTCTTTCTTTTTTTAGGTTCAAGACTGGACCTTGAACTCAGTACCTGACACTTTTGTCATTGGCTAGTACTCTACCAACTGGGACAAATCTCCAACCACCTGGCCTTAGCTTTTAAGGAAGCTCTGAAAGCATTGTATCTACCTCTTCTTTCTCTACCTATTTCTTTCCACTTCTCCTTCCCGTCCCACGGGTACTTCTGTCTTCAGGTCTACTGTACATTCTGAGTATGGTAGGAAGAATTCTAAGATGCTTCCTAGAATTGTTATTTTCCTGGGAGATTTTATTTGTAGGATGGGGGCTGCAATGAGTGAAGACAGAGCCTGTGAATGTGATGAATGCAACATCCAGGTCCTTTCATCTCTTGAATTGAAGTTTAGTTGTGGGCCGAGCCATCAGGTATCCTGACTAAGAATCAGGTAAACTCTTTCAAACGGACTGGAAGCATTAACAACATGTTCATATGGGTCTTGATGTGACTTGAGCAGCTGTTCAGCTAAGAGAACTACCTGAGCACCTCACAGGCCAACCCAGCACAGGCCACAGGCCAGTCAATGTCTGTAAGATCTGAGCAAAGGAGCAAAGAACCAGTGGTAGATGTTGGCCTCAGAAAGCTATGACATGGTGAATGTATCATGTCTTCAGCCACTGAGTGGTGACTGGTTATGCAGCAGAGGATACTTTTATACCACTCTGCTAAACATCATCTCCATTACTCTTCTAGATGTTACATTTTCATGCTTTGGATGCTAATAACATGGTCCAGAGAGATTTTAAAAATGTGACCAAAGACACATAACTGAGTACACTGAGGCAGAGGAGACTTGAAATGCCTGAACCCCAAAATCCCTGCCAATGTGTTTAGTCTGCTTTTCTAATGAAAGCCAGCAGGGTACTGTGGCTCATGTTTATAATCCTAACTGCTTGGGAGGCAGAAATGGAAAGGATCATGGTTCAAGGCCAGCCAAGCATAATCAATAAAAATCTGGGCATGGTGGTATGCACTGGTCATCCTAGCTATGCGGGAAGTATGAATAACAGAATCATGGTCCAAGCCAGCCCAGGCATAATATAAAACCCAATCTGAAAAATTATCACAAAGGGCTGTAAGTGGGGCTGGGAAGGTGGCTCAGTGGTAGAGCACTTGCCTTGCAAGCATGAGGCCCTGGGTTCAATTCCTCAGCACCACATAACCAGAAAAAAAAAAAAAAAAGCCGGAAGTGGCGCTATGGCTCCAGTGGTAGAGTGCTAGCCTTGAGCTGAAGAGCTGAGGGACAGCGCCCAGGCCCAGTGTTCAGCCCCACAACCAGACCCAAAAAGAAAAAAAAAAAAAAGGGCTGTAAGTAGGACACAAGTCATAGAGTTCGTGCATAGCAAAAGCAGGATTCCAAATTCAAACCCCAGTACAGCCAAAAAGATAAATAAAATAAAACGTATTCACTGGCATGGATATGTAGCTCAGGTTTAGAGTGTTGCTTGGCATGCATGAGTCACCAGGTTTGACCTCAGCATCACCAAATTTTCTTATTATTTTTATTATTATATTAGATAAAATGATGGTAATGATAATTATTGTTCACTGAAAGTGGGACTAGGAAATTATTCACCAATCTGCTTTCATTTGAAATGAAGGTCTGTGTAAAACAAATTGGTAGAAGGCTACTTAATAAGTTCTCCATGTACGATACTGCCATTTTGCAAAGGTCAAAATAGTGTCTGTGGTTTTCACCCTCAGATCCCTCACTAACACCACTCAACTGGGGATCCGCAAGGGGCTGTGGTTTCAGGTGTGTTAAGTATTTCAGACTCAGCTGTTTGGTAACACACATGAAAGGTTTAGCCTGTGTTCAAGGACTGGGGTTTCTATGTCAATTGTTATGCCAGCTCCTAGTGATCCCATTAAAAATGATGGAGCCAATTGGATGCTGGTGTGTACCAATCCATCTTCCATACAGACATATATAAGTCCAATTATCATTAAACCTAACCATGTGTTACTCTTGTCTTACTTGAGTCTTCAGGAATGTTGAACTTTTCTTTGTCATCTTCCAAGAGTGCATTGACTCTGGGTAAGTTAATGAACATGTTCGAATTGCTCAGAAAAGATGTTTGATCCTTACAAACCAACTTCATCATGGACTGGAAAGAATCAAAGGCTGAACTTCTAGCTTGGCCATTCTGTGAAATCTGGACACATAAGAAAAATAAATTGAAATTACACAGTTACTTAAAAATAAGTTTCCAAAAGACTTATGACAGCATAATCCTTTCTTTGACTAAATACATAAAGTGTTGAACAAGTTGAAAGAATAGAATATTTGCTTTAGTCTTTTTTGTCCTTGGGATACCATTCCAATGGCTGCAGTGACTTGCTGGGAAATCTCTCACCTCTGTGTGTGTGTGTGTGTGTGTGTGTGTGTGTGTGTGTGTGTGTGTGTGTGTGTGTGTGTGTGTGCCTCTCTCTCTTTTGTACACAAATAAGTCCTTGTTATTTGTCAAGTAATAAAGCATTAATCCATAAAATATCCCTAATGTAATACTCTTAATGCATGTTTAGACTGCCAAATTACCCTAATAGTTGATAGTTATCTAAATTATTATTGATGATCAGACTGCCTCCAGGAGGATTGGAGCCCCTCACTTTCTGGATCTTCATTTTATACCTCCAGCTGTTCATAATCCCCCCCTCCGTACATACCTCTGATGAAGTTCCATCAGAGGCAGACTACAAGCAAAAACTAATATCAAGCCACGAACCTAATTCAAATGTGTGTTTGCATTAGCAGAAAATGATCTGTAATTTGTAAGCCAATTATTTATATGTAAATAAATGTCTTAAGGTTCTTGAAAGCAATTTGCTTTCAGAATTAAGTGAAACAGGTCCTTGAAATCTCACTTATGCTAATAATTGACTTCGTAACAGACAAAGCATGAACTTTTCCAACTTCCACATTGGTGGTTGTTTGTCCACCCCATTATTAGGGAGATTCCAAGACATATTCTCTCAAAGCCTTGCCTCAAGCACCACTTAAAGATGTTCCTGTGCCTATCTGTTGTTGTCTAGTACAATTTTTAAATTTTGGAAGATAAAGGAAAGAGGAAGCAAATACAAAGAAGAGCAAATTCAACCATGTCCCTGGAGGGCAAAGATCAAACACCTGTGGAAAGTCCGGCATATCTAGCAAGGCAGTGATTTTCAATGCGTGAAGAAATTCTGGAAGGTACTGGAATACATGCTGGGCTCTATCAAGCAGAGAGTTGAGGCTGGAAATGACATCCAACAGGGACTTGAGCAGGCCATTTGCTTCAGGAGGTATCAGAGCCTACGGACCAACAAAAGAGAGAAAGAGAGAAATAACCAGCATTATTTTTACTCTCACAAGCATCTTTGGAGCAGTGAAAACTTGATTACTTGTTTCTATTGCAGTTCTAAGCTATGTTTGTTATGCTCTTTAAAACTTTTTATAATTCAAAGGCCATAAGTCTGGGCATTTTGGTGGGAGCACATGAGCACATTAAATTGTACCCATATTATATTTTTAAAATATAAACCAAGAACAAATCAATCTTAGTTAAAATTCAAATCATTTTTTAAAATATTTCTTTGCATCTTTAAAATGACTAATATCAACAAGGCTTAAAAAGCAGGGTGCAAGTGACTCGCACCTGTATTCCTAGCTATGAGTATGAGATCTGGAGGAGCTAGCCTGGGCAGAAAAGTCTATATCCAGCCCCAAAATATCCAGCAAGAAGCTAGGCTGGAGGTGTGGCTCAGATGGTAGAGTACTGACCAAGAAAGCAAACCTAGCAAGCACAAGTCCCTGAATTCAAACCCTCGTACCACCTAAGAACAAAACAAAAATACAAAGAAGATTTTTACTTAGATCACAACACTTCATCGTCTCAGTCCTAACACCTTGGGGATGTGGTGATTTTGTGGGAAAGAAAACAAGCTCAAAGAGATAGGTTTCCTGAGTTTTCAGGTATAGGGCTAGGAATATAGGCAGGCTCCTTAAAAAAGAAAAAAGAACTGTTCTAGAGTCCTTGAAAACTCACTGTGCTGTTACTACCTCTCAGTTTTCGCATTCTCAGTTCTACAATGTGAATTCCACAAAGGTGGAACTTTATTTTTCGTCTCTATCATTTATGCAGCTGATGAAGATGAATCAGCTGACAATACTAGCTGCACAGTTAGTACTTGTTGGATGAATGGATACATATTGTTTTTAAAAAATTTCTTTCCATAGGTGGCAAAAATCAGAGCAAACCAAATCGCTTTCCTTGGCATATTAATTGCATGTAGGATTTCTAGTTTTCCCATTGGAGTGAGAAACTCGGTGGTCACAGATGGTTTGTTCTTCCTGCTCCCTAGAGTTCTATTCCTGCAGCTGACCTTTGGGGCCTCATAAGCATTAAAAATTTCCATAAGACAAGAAACACAACTCAATCAGGAGAATCCATGGGTATGGCCTTTTGTTTGCTTATTTACTTCCCTTTCAAAATTCATATATGTATGTGTGTGTGTGTGGATTTTACGTATCCATCAGGAAGAATAGTATTATTATGTCGTTTGCAGCAAAATAGATGGACCTGGAAATCATTATATTAAGTGAAGTAAGTCAGGCTCAGAGAGAAAAAAATGGGCACATGTTTTCTCTCAAACGTGGAAGTTAGATCTAAATTATAAACATATATGAAAACATATACATGGTCACATGCACATACACATACATTGTCTAAAGTATGGTATTTACCATGGGAGGATTGCAATGCTGTAATTCCTTTGAATGACTCACTGATAGTTTACCAGCATGAATATTAACAAGCTGAGACATACGTTGTCTGGAGTAGAGATGGTCAAGGGAAAAAGGGCAGATGAATGGAGAGAGGGAAGGTGGGAGAATATAGTCATAATATCCAGTATACAAATATGAAACTTGAGGGGATAGGTACAGTTGGGAGAAATAAGAGAGAATAATGGAAGGGATGACATTGATCAAGATATATTGTACTCATATTGTTATATTGAATCGAAACTCCTTTGTACAACTACCTAAAGATAGAAAAATTAAAAACAAGACTTGGAGTAATAAAAGGGATGGAGACTATGAATGGCTGGAACAGCAAATCTACCCTTTCCTAACCAAAGACTTGTCCCAGACATGGAGTGACCATAGCCACCTTGCCATATCAGATAACCTTACTGGTTAATCCAGATGTTGTGACATAAAATCCTAAGGAGAAACTAAAGCAATGCTGTTCCTCGAGGGTAAGGCTTGAGGCTTCTGGACATGAAAGGATAAGCACTCACGTGGAAGCCAGGAAGAAGAACTTCCGGAAAGGACAGCCTGAAAACAAGATCAACCCAGCTGGGTTAGGCCTCATTCCAGCCCTACTCACCTCCCACTTTTACTTATTTCCTGGAGATGCTACCATCCTCACATTCCTCCAGCTAAAGAGCTATCCTGTTGTGTGAAGAGCCACTGTGGGGCAAGTGAGGAGCTGGCAGGGAGAAGAGGCTACTGTGCCCAGTCCCTTCCCCAGGACCACTCTAGGGTAGCTGGAGGCACCATAGAGACTATGGAACAGAGGCCACAACCCAGGCCATGGAGAAGGAAAGGGCCAGTGTAACTGCCATCCTCTGGCAGCTCTGTGTGAACTGGGTTCACCTTAGCTGCCCTCAATACTCCAGGAAGCTGGCCCAGAGGGAGGAAGGAAACCTGGCACTAGGCGTGGGTGACGTTGGATGCTGTTGGTCTTCTTCACTTAATGTATAGATTGCCAACAACTGTGCCAAATGTCCCAAAGGGCCTGTCTCCACAAATGTCCTACAAAGTGTCCTCAACACACTTTTGTTTTAACAAAGCCTAATTGAAAGCTTCAGCCCCTTAGTCAACCATCAGGTAACCCTAGAAGTGGCTGAGTCTCCCACAGTATCCCTCCTTGTTGTTATCAGGCTACAGAGTACAGTTGGTCATGTGCTATTCATGGATTCCATCAACTCAGAGACTGACTAAAAACATCTTTTTTTTTAATTGCATCTAGCCCAGTACTAGTGGCTCACACTTATAATCCTAGCTACTAAGAAGCTGAGATCTGAGGATCAAGATTCAAAGCCAGCCCTGGCAGAAAAGTCCATAGATGCTCATCTCTAATTAATCACCAAAAAGCCAGAAGTAGAGCTATGGCTCAAGTGACAGAGCACCAGCCTTGAGCAAAACAGCCAAGTGAGAGCACAAGGCCCTGGGTTCAAGTGCTCGAGCCACAGTTCCAGCATAAAAAAAAATCCTACATCTAGCATTAAACATTTTTAATTTTTAAAAATACAGATAGCCTACAGACAGCATAAAAACTATGTACATCAGTTTACATCACTTTTATTAGGTCTTCGGCATTGTAAGTCATCTAGAGATGATTTAAAGTATGCAGGAAGATGTGCACCTTTTTAATGAAATGCCACATTGTTTCATGTAAAAGATTTGAGCATCCTTGGAGTTTGGTAACCAAGGAAGATCAAGGATATCAAGGATGAGATGATTGATTCTGCACAGCCAGGCAGCAGCATCCTCTGCACAAGTCCACATGCCCCAACAACCCCTCCTCCTTACTTTGTAAACAAAAGCCCGCAGGTTCAGGTTCTGACTCATGGCCACAATCAGAGTATATACTACAGACCCAGGCAAGCCACAGAGCTCCTTCACAGCAAGCCAAGACTTTTCATCCTCAGGAAATGTCAGCAGGAGATGAAGAATTTTTTGGTCACACTTTCCAGAAAAAGCTGCAGTGAGGACACTGGTGAGAATCTGTTTCAAAGCACAAGGATAAGAAGTGAGCATAACAAGGACATTTTGAGCTTCAGCTCCTCACATTCTGCTTCCTCCTGGCTACCTGGGAACCTGTTCTGAAGATGTGTTGAAGAGTCACCTGCATACAGGTCTGTCTTACTCAGCTTTCCATCTTTGTGACAAAATACCTCAGACAAACAACTAAAAGGAGAGAATATTTATTGTGGCTGCTGGATTCAAAGGGTTCAATTTCTGAACCATTGGCTGATTGTCCTTGAGCCTGTGGAAAAGCAGATAGGGAGATCATGATTGAGCAAAACTGTTCATCTCAGGAACATCAGCAAATGAAAAGAAAGATATGGTGGGTCATGATCCCAATGTCTCCTCCAATGACCTAACTTCCTCCCATGAAGCCCAACCTTCTGAAGTTCCACTACCTCTAGCAGAACCATAGGCTGGAGACCAGGCCTTTGGGAAACATTCAAGATACAACAATAATTGAGCCCAAGTCTCTCTTTTGTCTTCAACATTTTGAATAAACCTATTGCTGAAATCACACGTCATTATCTGGCTGCTTCTACTGCTTACCCTGAGTGCTCAGAACACAATGGCACAACCTTTTACTCCTCTCCCAGTGAGGCTCACCTCAGAGTGCACACCCACTCTACCCCATGCTCCCAATCCCTGCCCTCATATTTGGAGTTTGGGTCTTGCTGGCTTGATACTGAGTCTTCCCCTTTGCTTTCAGTTTATCTGTTTATTCAGCTAACAGTGTGAAACTAGCTTTTGCCTCCTCTACTTCCTGATTCAAATGGGATTACCAAGTTTGTCGTCATCAATTTTAAAAAGAGGAAGTAAATAAAGCTCAGAGGAAAGACCATCATAGAACCACAGAACCTCCTTTATCAATCTTACATGCCAGAGTCAGGGACTGCAGCTTGAATATGTCTTTCACTGAGTGACATTGTTGATAAAAACTAAAAAGCAAAATAAAAACAAAACCAACTGTACCTTGTATGGTACTGTTATTCTTCTAATGAGCACAATCATGAGACATTCTACTCAAATGAGACCTGCATGTGGGAGCCTTGGGCACAGGAACTACCATCCATGTTTTTTAGGAGTTCTGTGACAACCTGGGACTCACCAGCTGTTTCTAATGCCAAAAATTCCCAGAAGAAAGTCATTAAGAAATCATCAGGGATTATTAGGGCCCCCAATAAAGTGTGTTTGTGTGCATATGTGTGTGTGTGTGTATGTGTGTGTGTATGTGTGTGTGTGTTAGAGAGATAGAGACAGAAACAGAGAAACATAGGGACAGTGATAGAAACAAAGAGAGACCAGAAAGAGAGAGAGGTGCTTTGCTTATAAAGCAAGAACCACACACATCAATTTATTTTAAGGAATTGACTCATAAAGCTGTAGGGCCAGGAAGCACAAAATCTACCTACTTGTCCAGCAGGCTGGAAACCCATGGATGTTGCCTCAGCATTAATGGCCTCAAATCTAATGGCCCCTTAAAGGCAGAACTCTTCTCTGAGGGTCCTCCATAGTTTTTCCTCTTATGGACTTTATGGATTGCTGGAGTGTGGAAGGTAGGGGGATACTGGAGTTCAAACTCAGTGTCGTCTTCTCAAGCAGATGCTTTTACTGCTGAGCCCTGATTTTGGATGGTCATTTTTCAGGTGGGATCTTGCTTCTTGCCTGGGTGTGAACTTGGGCACAATTCACCTATGTTAGGCTGGGAAGTGGCTAGAATAACAAGTGTGTGCCAATGCTGCCAATTAACACAAGGCCAATTCATTGAGAAGGAGCCATGTGAATTTTCTCTGCTCAGGCTGGCCTCAAATTGTGATCCTAACAATCTGAGCCTCCTAAAAAAGCTAGGATTACAGGCATGACTTGGCCCTTCAGGGGACTTGGTGAGGAGGCCCAGTACACCAGGAAGAGTGACCCAAAGTCTGCTTATTTAAATGTTAACCTCATCTAAAAGTACCTTCTAGGGACATTCAAATTAGCATCTGCCTTTACAATTAATTAACCAAGCAACCCTTCATTTATATAGAATGTATATGGAGCAGACACACTTTATAGAGGTTTTCTTGCTGCCTCTAATTCCAGTTGTGGTTTTTGAAGGTAAGGGGAAGTTCTTAGGGGAGATCTGGTGGAAACAGGTGTCCCCCACTGCTTTTTTTTTTGGGGGGGGTGGTTGGTCATGGGGCTTGAACTCTGGGCCTAGGCACTGTCCCTGAGCTCTTCTGCTCAAGGCTAATGCTCTACTCACTTGAGCCACAGCACCACTTCTGGTTTTCTGAGTGGTTTATTGGAAAAGTCTCACGGACTTTTCCTGCCTGGGCTGGCTTTGAACCATGATCCTCAGATCTCAGCCTCCTGAGTAGCTAGGATTACAGACGTGAGCCATTGGTATCCGGCCCCGCTGACTTTTATTAGAACAGCTCCTCTTTAGGCTCAAGGATAAAAGTTTTACCGGGAAAGTTTACCATCTAAAGCCAAACCCTTGACTCCAGACAATGTGCTCCCAGCTTTATATGATTATCAATTCAGGTTGGCCCAATGAAAATCCTTGTGTGTCTCACCATGGTTTCAAGAAAAGGTCTTGGAATTGACCATTCTTTCTTAGAAATTTTTCCTAGAGCAAAAATATTTGTATTGAATTTTTTTTCCATCTTTTGTAACCACCAGGGGAGTGAAGGACCTGGAGCATCTTATACCCTGTCTTCTGAAGGCTCAACAGTCATCATACACAAGACAACAAACCCTAGTGGCACATTTCTATGACTTTCCAAATTTTATAATTTGTGTTTTTAATATTCTGTCCTTCTTTTTGAAGAACACCTGAAACAAGTTAATGAATAAAATAATTAAGATAATAAAAAATGAATAAAAAAAGATAACACTCCTTTGCATGGCTGGGAACATGGCTCCTATTGGAATTACAACCCGGGTGTATTGAGTTAAGGTTTGCTCATCATGAGAGATGCTGAGTTCTTGATGTTTATCTACATATCTGTATTTGGCTTGAAAAACCTCAAGAAGATTTAAATCCCAGGGCAGATATCTTCCTGCTGTTAGCACATATACTCAGTCACTTAGATTTTTTTAAGTTTCTAGCACAGACAGGAAAGTCCAATGAGCCACTAAAAAGCCAGAAGGGGGAGCTGTGGCTCAGATGGTAGAGTGCTAGCCTTGAGCACAAAAGCTCAGGGACAGTGTCCAGGCCCTGAGTTCAGTGATTAGCAAAAAACAACAACAACAAAAAGACATGATACCCAAGAGAGGTATTTGTCCTTTCAGCAAGAGTCTACTAAACATCTTTGGATAAGATGACTTATGTTTACAACAGAGAATAGAAGACAATACTTACTCCCAGCTAATAGTCTTAGACTTGATGAAGAAAACATGTGAACTGGGTACTTACTCTTGGTCCCTTTGTGACTAGAACAAAACCACACAACCATACAGAGTACAAGATCATTGGAAAGAGAGACTCTTACAAATTAACATTTGAAAGATAAAAGAGTAAAGTGAGGTCAGGTAAGAAAAGGACAGATTCTCTACATTCCCATGGGCATTTCTCTGTTCTGAATGCATCTCTGCTCGGCTCTGCTGACATAATAAAGAGATAAATTCAGGAGCCAACTATGAGAGATCAGCAGAGAGCTAACAAGGATCTTTCCAGAAGGACGGAAGCTATAGGTTGCAACGTTGGTCCAGAATGAGTTATAGTAGAGCCAAGGCTAGTAAGAGCTGGCTCCAGCACTTACTGCTTGATCTCTAAGTTACTATGACTATATGGACCTCAGCTTCCTTGTCCATACAACAGAGTAACAATGACACCCAGGGACTACAAAGGTTTGTTAGAAGAATTAGAGATGTGAGCCGCAAATGACAGTGTGTCTGAAAGTCCAAATAGCTGATATGACTGACATGCCTAGCAACACCAATACCACTCTGACCAAAGGGGGAAAGAAGGAGGAGGAGGAAGAGGAGGAGGAAGAGGGGAGAAGGAGGAGGGGGAGGGGGAGGAGGGGGAGGAGGGGGAGGAGGAGGAGGAGGAGGAGGAGGAGGAGGAGGAGGAGAGTTCTATAAGAGTTATATTGATCAAGGCTAGCACTCTACCATTTGAACCACAGAGTCACTTACAGCTTTTTCTGTGATTAATTGGAGATAAGAATCTCACAGACTTTCCTGCCTGAGCTGGCTTCAAACAAGATCCTCAGATACCAGCTTCCTGAGTGGCTAGGATTATAGGTATAAGCCACCAGTGCCCTGCAAGAATGGAGATTTTTCAAGGGAAAAGAGCTTCCTATAAGTTCCCATTGCAGGTTGTGAGAAGAGGTCTGGGAAGGGAAATCGCTTGGCAGTAATGGATCAGCCTGTTCTTAACCTCCTTTTGGCTCATCCTGTGCCTGCTCATTTGGTACAATTTCCCAAACTCTGGCTCTCAAATTATTCCAGTTGGCCTCCAACATTGCCTGCCTGCGGAGGCTCCTGTCCATGACCCCTATCAATCATTGTGTTATTTGTACTACAGAAAATGTCCCCAGTCTCTTCTCTTCCATGGGTATCATTGGTTATGTATTTGCTGTGCTGACTCCATGGAATGCTGGCTTCCTTATGGGACTCTGAGCCTCAGATATCAGATTCAAGCCTGGCAAGCAGGAAGATCATAAGTAGATGAGTTTGCAGAGGTTCTGAAATTTTACAAGGTCCCTGCAGCCTACCAGTGGCCTATACCATGAATCCAATATCATAAACTTGCAAACTGGCCATCAAAACTACCAGAGATAAGCCAATAGGAGGGGACAAAAGTAAGAAAAATGATACAAAAAATGGGTGTTAAATGTTAAAAAAAAAAAAGAAAAGAAAAAAATGGAGTGTTGCTCAGGGTAAAAATCTAAACAACAAACAAATCAAAGCTCAAAGTGACACCTGCAAATTCCTATGTAGATCTGCAGATCCAGGTAGGTTCGTGGATATTCTTAGATATCCAAGAAAATAACCTCATTATGCATTTGAGTAGTAAAAATACAACTTTGTTTATACCCCTCCCAGTTCCCTAACTGTCCAAGTATTCAAGTGCCCACAGTAACTTTACTGTCACTTCCAAAGAAGTAAGAAGTGATAGAAGACACAGAGATTTCCCTCAAGCATCCAGGATGCCCAGTGTGGCTATATTGCTTAACCAAGTCAAGCTTTCTCATAGCACGTAGTACAGACCTTGCATGGTAGAATATCAGCGACACCTTGTGGCCACTTGTATAAAACTGGCAGGAAGCAACAATATTGTACCCAAACCAAAAATATTTCATAAGGCTAAATTTAAAAGGTTCCCAAATAGCTAGCTAATCTGTTGTCTCTCTCTCTCTCTCTCTCTCTCTCTCTCTCTCTCTCTCTCTCTCTCTCTCTCTCCCCCTCCCTCCCTCGCTCCCTCCTTCCTTCCACCTCCCTCTCTATCAGTCATGGGGCTTGTAATCAGGGCCCAGGGACTGTCTCTGAGCTTTTCTGTTTAAAGCTAGCGCTCTACCACGTTAGTGGTTAATTGGAGATAATAGTCTTAGCAGACTTTCCTGATGAGGCTGGCTTTGAACCACAATCCTCAGATCTCAGCCTCCTGAGTAGCTAGGATTGTAGGCATGAGCCACAAGCACTGGGCTTTGTCACTTCTCTTAAAGCAATCCTAGGTATCTAGTCAATGTAATTCAGTCCCTGTCCCAATTCTGCTATATGCTGCAATAACTCTAGAGTTCAAGCCACAAGTGGCCATTATTTCAACTGAGAGCTGAGTGGAAGAAATTTTACCACTGCTGTAAACTTCCCTCACCTTAAAATTCTTTCTCCAAATTCCCAGCCTAATAAGCTGAAACTGATCATTTTATTTTTAAAAAAGTTCCTATGTGACTTTCTATAAATAACTTGGCGATACTATAAACTAAATTTTGGATTTCTAGCTTCTCATCTATTTCTTAGATTGATTCTTACTGACGCTACCATGCTTGAACTTTACTATACAGAATTGTATAGTATGATTCAATCAGTTGTCAATTGAAATGTTGACCGGTTTCTGGGTCCTGTAGAAAAGGTAAATTCCACTGGACGTGCTGAGAAGCTGCCACAGAAAAGCACTGCAGCTGGCACTGGTGGCTCACACCTGTAATCCTAGCTACTCAGGAGACAGATCTGAGGACTGTGGTTTGAAGGCATCCAATGTAGACAAATCCCTAGGCTGCCAAATTCATATATCAAATTAACCAACAAAAAGCAGAAAGTAGGGGTGTGGGTCAAGTGGTAGAGCCTTGAGGGGGGAAAAAAAGCAAGAGCTCAAGGCCAAGAGTTCAAGCTCTAGTACCAAGACAAAGGAGAGGAGAGGCGAGGAGAGGAGAGGACAGGACAGGACAGGACAGGACAGGAGAGGACAGGAGAAAAGAGCACCTGCTAAGGACCCAGGTGACATCTGCCATGGGGGACATGAAAGTTACCTGCTCTCTCTTCCATGATCGATCACATCACAATGTTGCCTAATAGTTTTGGCCCCTTTTGCTTGCCTTACCCAGTACCTTAGAGATGACATGACCTGCCATCATTCATTTCCCTTCGTGAGTGGCAGATGGTGAGACTACACCAGTAACTCTCCACATAAGAGGGACATTTCAGATCTTTTAAGTTGCTTTTATTTGAGGCTATTCCTGTGTTTTAGAACATCTATAAAACCAAGCAGAGACACCCATACATACCTCAGGTGTCATGAATCAACATTAGAAAGGACTAGAACAAATATTGTCACTAACTTTGTCCTTTCTAACGTCGAACAAAGACAGTTGACAATAAAGGCTCGGGTTTTGGCATTAGACCATGATAACCGTTGGTTCTTTGCAGTCCTCTCTTTTCCATTCTGCTTTTGGATATCTCATTTACAAAAGAACTCATCCCACCAGCCGTGAGAGGAAGAAGAGGGCAAGGAGGAAAAATGACATGATATCTTTTAGACAGAGGGATCTTAGGTGGCCCAGTACAAGCAGTAGCACTGTACCTGTGAGTGGGAAATGTTTGCCTCTAAGATAGTATGGATGGTTTCATTGGAGATATGGATGGAAGACTGAAGCTCTTCCATTAACCTGGTGATGTTCCTCATCAAATCTTTTATTTTCACATCTAAAAAAGGTGGAGCAAGAGGAAATAATGATATTTACATATTTATTATAACAAATATATTTATAAACATAAATACGTAATAAATACATTTAGATTAAATACATGTATGTATTATAACAAATATATTAAATCAATATATTTTATATTTATTATGATAAGTATACTAAATAAATACATTTGTATAACTGAACTTGAGATCATTTATACCATGAATAAATTTGAACAGGGCTTATACGGTATTTGCTGGTCACTTCTTTGCTCTCTGTAAACCCTGCATATTTTGCAATTTATTTTAGAAGGAGATTTTCTTTTTTTTAATTTTTATTTATTTTTTATTGTGAAAATACTGTACAGAGGGGTTATACAATTACATGGGCAAGATAATGAGTACATTTCTTATCAAGCATTGTAGCCTCCTCCTTTGTTTCCCCTTCCCATCCTTTCCCATAGAAGGAGATTTTCTTAATGAACAATGACTGAGTGCAATGTGAACATAATGTCTCCATGTTTTATACTTGTCTCACATTTTTACAAATGGAATGTTACCTAAGGATTATCCAGAGTTCTTCAGACTTAGCATGTTGATGTAACAAAAGATTTATGAACTTTGTAGATGATGTAGACAAAGAAAGATTTGTAGATAGCCAGGGATTTGGGGGCCAGGGCAAATCCCAGACCACAGATGTTTTTCTTCTGCTGCTTGATTTTTTTTTATATTCCAGAATTTTAGGACTTTCCTTATAAACCCCAGATATTTCAGATCAGTTAAATTCTAAACTGTTCTTTATTGTGTCTAGCATAACTTTCTTTCATGTTTTATTCTGAGTCTATATTTGAATGAGAAACTAAATTTAACTTTTTAATCAAGCAAACTTAGAAAACCACATACTTACCCTCAGTGACAGTGAAATTGCTAAGAAAAGACATAATAGGATTGCCCGACAACCAACTCTCCTTGAAGCTTTTGGCCAACCTAAAATGGTAGAAAATTAAAAATGAAAATAGGCAAGATAAAATAGCAGACATAATGTTGGCATGAATAATGCTGCCTAGGTTCCCAGGATATGAGCTGGGTAAGAAAATACATTTCTATAGAATTCCTCTGATAGTTATACACTAAGTCCCCTTTACACCATTTTTTGAACATCCATTAAAACCAGAACTTCAGTATTTTTCCATTCAGAGCCCCTGCCAATCACGATGAATCAGGGGAATAAGGATGCATAATAAATGCCTCTTCAATGAATTTGGAGCAAATAGATGGGATGGATCATAGGATATCTGAGAAATTAGTATAGCAAGTGTTAGACAAACATCTTTCTGTAGAAAAAATAAGTCATCTAGAGAATGAAAAGTCCCTGTGCACCCAAAACTCTGAGAAGAACCAATCAAATATGAATTAATTTTAAAATATGTGACTGCTCATATATTCATGGTGAATATCATATTGGAATTGTTAGCCTTATGGCTAATGCTGCTCATGTGAAAACTTAGTCATAGAAAATGATATTGTTTATAAATGTACATAGAAATATGTATGTGACAAGTGGTGAAATTCACAATTTGAAAATGCTAGAGCTGGGAGCTGGTTCAGATCTGGAGCCAGCCCAACCAAGAAAAAGTCTGCCAGACTCACATCTCCACTTAGCCAAAAGCTGGAAGTAGAGGTGTGGCTCCAGTGGTTCTAGTGGCAGAGCCCCACCTCTGAGCAAAGAAGCCAAGCTATGTGAGAGAGTGAGGTCCCGAGTTCAAGCCACAGCACCAGCACACACAAAGAGAATGCTAGAAATCTTCCTGATGAAGAAAAAGAGAAGAGGTGTGAGACCCTCTCTGGTACGTACACACGCACATGTTGCTCAACAGTTTCCAGTGGGGGATGGCATATGCAGTCTTGGTTGGTGACGTGATCCAAGTTGCTTTTGAAGTGTTCTAAGGTCCGAGAAAGATTCTTGATAAGACTTTCACAATTTAGTTGACTGGATGCCGACCATCTCTTTTCAATTTCCTAGAAAATATAGATCAGAAACACAAATACTTGGTTATATAAGCTTTAGTCTAGTTTCTGGATCAACACCTGTTCTCACTCAGTGTTATGTGTATTGTAAGGGTTTATTGCTTATTTTCAGCAATCTTGAGACACAGAATGAATAAAATTATGGCACATTGTGAAGTGCATAGGAAGAACTCTTGGCTGAGAAGTAAGGAAGAAAGAACATTACTCCTGGCTATACCATTAACCAAACCAGCAAGACAATAATGCACAGCAGAAGACAGGTGCTCTTATGGCTGAGATATACCTCCAGCACTGATTTTTGCTGGTTATTTTGGAGCTACTGTCTAGCTTCCTGCCTGGCACACACCTGGGCATGATCCACCTATCTAATGTTTCCCATGTGATTTATGCATTTCATCCATCCAGCTTTTTGTTGAGAAGGGGTCTCATGAACCTTTCTGCCTTGCTGATGTTGAACTTTGAGAGTCTCAGCCTCCCAAGTAGCTAGGATGATGAGTACAAGCCACTGTCACCCAGCTGTAAATTTATTTCTTATAAAATGCTGAGTAAAGCCAGTTTATAATGTTGAGAAAGTCCTTACAAATTGCTTTTTCCTTTTCTCAAATTATCTGAATGAATTATTCTTATGAACTTTTTAAATAGTTGTCAGAATAATTTAGAAAATTAAAAAGGGAAAAATAACCTTGTGTATTCATAATGAAAATAGTATTTACCACTTCTTGACATTCACTTGTATCTGTATGCCACCCAATTGTGACTTACTAAAAACCTAAAAATTAAAAGAAAATTGAAAATAAAAAAAGAATGCACAGCAGAGAACATGCAGTATCCTGCTGAGTGACTTAGCATTGAAATTCTTGGAGCTCAGATCCCAAGAACTTACACAACTCAACAGGAAAAAAAAATAAACAAGCAACCTAATTTTAAAATAGGCAAAGGACCCTGAATACATGCATTTCTAAAGAATATACAGGAATGGCCAACAGGTGTGAAAATGTGCTGAACATTACCAATCATATGAGAAATAGTGGGAATAGAAAGTAGTGTAGTCAAAAAATTCATGTTGGAACTGTTGTATGATCCAGCAACACCACTGAGAGTTTATATTCAATGGGAACAAACTCATGTTCACTGCAGTATTGTTCACAAAAACCTCAGCATGGACTCTGCTAAAGTGGCCAATGACAAATTGGTAAAGAACAAAAGCTTTGTACACAGGCACATATTCACACACATACATATACACAGAATGGAAGATTATTCTTACATATAGAAAGAAATCATGCCATTTTCAACAACATAGGTGAACCTTAAAAAAATGCTTAGTGAAACAGATCAGCTAACTCCTAATTTGTAAATATGTATATTAAAATTAAAATTGTATTAAAATGCGTATTATTAAAATTAATTAATTAAAAATTAATTTAAATGAATGCACTTGATTTTAATTGAAATATAATTTAGACTTGTGAAGTAAAGAAGATGTGAGACCCTCTAGTTCATACAAAGTGAGTTCCAAATGTAATTTTAATTTCAATTACATTTAATTTAATGACTTTTAATTTAATTAACCTATAATTAAGTTTAATTTAATTAAATGTTAATTTTATTTTAATTTTAAATTATGTTATATTATTTAATTTAAAATTTAACAAAATAATAACTTTGTCATAGAGCCAATTATTTAACATGAAAGCATACTTCCTACCCAGAAGCAAGAAGTAATTAAAGTTTCAACTTCCTTCAGTACTTGTATATTAGGGTCAGATGAGAAGTACTGCACAGAGTTTGAGACTGGCACCCATTAGTTACACATGTAAAATAACCACAGAAAAAGGCAGTTTATCATACCTCCCTTCTCTCCTACAACAGACCTGAATCACTCAGGAACTGGCATATACATGTACACAGGTAAACATGTTTAGATTTGAGGAATTGGCCAGGCCACCCAGTTTAACCTGGAATTCCAGCCACTTTCTCCAACTCAACTTATTCTAAAAGCTCCATTGGATACTTGTCATTTTAGAAGCTTTATTTCTGGTTCTCCTTTAGCTCCCAATTGCTTCTTTTTGATGTCTGGGCACCAAGAAAATAAGAGAATAAAGAGTTTGTTCTCTGAATTCCTATTACATTGCCATTAGCAGAGAGCTGCACTTTCCCTGGGAATACAGGTTCTGTAAAACTGCCTAGAAAAGTTTAAAAATAGCTTTGTACTATTTGCCTCCCTCTGCTGGGCAAAGCAGATTCCACATCCTACAGCCTAGAAAAGATGACTATTTCTTAGTCTCACACTTAAACCCAACAACCCATGAACCCACACCAAAATTTTTGCATCCTGAGATACCAATGCTCTTTCTTTGTCATCAAAAGAAAGAACTTCTGACTTTTATCAGCAATAGCTTATCACTAACCAGAGCTATCGACACTCATGACCAACTATGAACTTTAAATGTAGTCTTTGTGTCAATCTTTTGCCTGATTTTTTTTCTGCCACAACCATCTTTAATGCACTGAAAAAGGGTGTGTAGGATTTTTTAATTCTTTTGGTTTATCTGCATCTAATACAAATTAAATATACTGACTCAAAATGTTTGTAGCCACAAAGGGAAACTTACTGCATTGTTGGTAGGAGTGTAAAATTGTTCAACGACTTTGGAAAGTAGTATGGAGGTTCCTCAAAAGACTCCACATAGAGCTCCCTTATGACCCAGCAATCCACTTTTAAGCATTTATCCAAATGATCACAAACTATACTAAAGCTACCAGCACAACTATTTATTACAGCATTATTTACTATAGCTAAGCTATGGAACAACCCAGAAGTCCTTCTGTAGATGAATGGATCAAGAAAATGTAGAATATATACACAATGGAATTTTATGCCTCCATCAGAAAGAATAGCATTGTCCCATTTGTTAGGAAATGGAAAGACTTAGAAAAAATTGTATTAGTGAAGTAAGTCAGGCCAAGAGAAACATAGGTCCCATGGTTTCCCTTATTTGCAATAACTAATATATGTCTAGGATAAGCAGAAAGAGTCAAAAGCTATGTACATATGACTATATAAAATTATGCTAAGCAAAATGAACCCCAAGATAGGGATACAAGTGGTTTTATCTTTCTTGTTATTGTTTTGTATTGTTGTTGTTGTTTGGATGTTGTTGGGTTTTTTTCATTCATGGGACCTGAACTCTAGGCCTGGGCACTATCCCTCAGCTCTTCAGCTCAAAGCAAGAGCTCTACCACTTGAGCCACAGCACCACGTCTGGCTTTTTCTGCTTATGTGGTGCTGAGGAATTGAACCCAGGGCCTCATACATGTGAAGCAAGCATTCTACCACTAAGCCACCTTCCCAGCCCCTTGCTATTGTTTTAATATGTTTATAATGTACGATTTCTTTTGTTTCTTTTGTGTGTTCTTCCCCCCCCCCCATAACCCTTGTTTTCACTGTAGTTGATTGCAGTGCTCTGCATCTTGTATATACATTTTACTAATTTGGGGAAGAGATGGGAAATAACAAAATGCTGAAATAAGGATACAGATTGACCCATTGTAACAATGAGATGTATAAGACACTATATTGAAAACGAACTTTACAACATGGTGGAGCAGGGTACGGGGAGGGGTTGTCGGATGGGGAACAGGGGGAAGGAGTTGGGGAGGTGGGGAAGGAAGGGATGATAGGGGAAAAATAAAGGAGGAGGTAATAATGCTTGACATCGTTACCTAACTCATGTAACTGTAACCCCTCTGTCCAGTATTTTTTTTTTTTTTTGGGTCCGGTCGTGGGGCCTGAACTCTGGGTCTGGGCGCTGTCCCTCAGCTCTTTAGCTCAAGGCTAGCGCTCTACCACTTGAGCCACACAGCGCCATTTCCGGCTTTTTTTTTTCTTATGTGGTGCTGAGGAATCGAACCCAGGGCCTCGAGCATGCAAGGCAAGTGCTCTACCACTGAGCCACCTTCCCAGCCCCTGTCCAGTATTTTTATAATAAAAAATATTTTAAAAGTTTGTGGCCAGAATTGTCTCAAATTTTGGATTTTTTTCAGATTTTAGAATTTTCCATATACTATATATTATATTTTATGCTATATAATGAGCTAACTTGGGGACGGTACTCTAGTCGAAGCAGAAAACTCATACCAATTCTACAGACACCTTCATCACATAGCCTGAAAGTCATTTTACACATTTTTGACGTTCTGGGCCTGTGACAGGTTAGAATCACTGTACCACCAAAGCAACATAATATTCAAAACCAGACCTACAAGAAAGACAAGTCCTCTCTTCACTGTTAGAAAATCACTGGCATCACACAAGTTATCTGAGCAGTTCAGGCCTCCTCTACACCCAGTGTTTGTGTGTGTGTGTGTGTGTGTGTGTGTGTGTGTGTGTGTGTTAATTCCAGGCCACTGAATGGGCCCAAAAAATATCCCATTCTCTCACTCAGCATAAGTTGAACCCTGCATGGAGCTTTAGGGAACTTGTCCAAATTAATTAAAAGGGAACTGCAAAGCCAGGCACTAGTGGCACATACCTGTCATCCTATCTACTCAGGAGGGCTGAGATCTGAGGATTATGGTTGGAAACCAGCCCAAGCAGGAAAGTCTGTGAGACTCTTATTGCTACAAAACTACAAAAAAAGCTGGACGTGGAGCTGTGGCTGAAGTGATAGAGCTCTAGCCTGGAATAAAAAGGTCAGGGATAGAACCCAGACCTGGAGTTCAAACCCCAGGACGAAAGAAAGAAAGAAAGGAAGAAAGAAAGAAAGGAAGAAAGAAAGAAAGAAAGAAAGAAAGAAAGAAAGAAAGAAAGAAAGAAAGAAAGAAAGAAAGAAAGAAAGAAAGAAAGAAAGAAAAAGAGAAAGGAAGAAAGGAAGGAAGGAAGGAAGGAAGGAAGGAAGGAAGGAAGGAAGGAAGGAAGGAAGGAAGGAAGGAAGGAAGGAAGGGAGGGAGGGAGGGAGGGAGAGAGAGAGAGAAAGAAAGAAAGAAAGAAAGAAAGATGGGTTGGGAAGGTGGCTCAGTGGTAGAGTGCTTGCCTTGCATGCATGAGGCCCTGGGTTCAATTCCTCAGCACCACATAAGCAAAAAGAAAAAAGCCGGAAGTGGCACTGTGGCTCAAGTGGTAGAGTGCTAGCCTTGAGCTGAAGAGCTGAGGGACAGCGCCCAGGCCCAGAGTTCAGGCCTCACGACCGGACCCAAAAAAAAAGAAAGAAAGAAAGGAAGGAAGGAAGGAAGGAAGGAAAGAAGGAAGGAAGGAAGGAAGGAAAGAGAGAGAGAGAGAAAGAGAAGGAAGGAAGGAAGGAAGGAAAGAAGGAAGGAAGGAAAGAAGGAAGGAAGGAAGGAAGAGAAAAGAAAAAGAAAACTGCAGTCCTGGGCCCTATTCAACTATCAATTCTTGGAGCTTGCCACTTATATTTAGTTCATTAGGGAAAGTGATGGGCTGGTAAATTCTGAAACTTTGTCTTCCATACAAAAATGAGTGAACGGATAAACAAACAAACAAACAAATAAATAAATAATCTGATAGACTTGAAAATTGCCATGGTGTAAAAACTCCCATATTGGCTGATTCACGATGTCAACAGGACATTGTTGGACACAGAGTTAGGAAGAACATGAATATACAATATTCCTTTCATCTATAGAAACCACCAGTACAAACCATCTCTGGAGGACTGATAACTGTAAATCATACTGAGATCATGAAGAAGTGGTAGGTCTTGTGTATTTGTCACTCTTGTTTTAAATATAAATTCTTTCATCACATGTTTATACAGTTGGATTGTTAATGATATCAGGGCTTAATAACCAGCAACTGGCTTGGAGAGTTCCTGAGAATTCAACAAGCAACTCTTACATGGAGGAGGGATGGCAAGCTCTCGATCTGCAAGCTTGATTTTCAGTGTGACTATGCATAGTGCAGTTGTTCTAGTTATCTGAACCCGGCAGCAAACTTAGAATAACTCCACTGCTGTCTCTGCAGGAGTCAATGATTATGAATTCTCCGAAACACAAGAAAGGACATACCTGGTAGTGGGTGTACACAACAGTGACTCCTTGTATGACAGCTAAAACAAGATGCCTTGTCTCACATGGCTTGCAATTCAGAGTGGCACACAGAACATCCTTGGTCAAGGAAGGGTTGTCTGCCAGAAAAACACACACAAAGCCAAATGATTTTAGGAAATGATTTTAGCTCTCATTCTAAATGGCCACGCTCACAAAAATCATCTTTTAATTTTTTCAAATGTTACAAATTTCTTAAGTCATCCAAATGAATGAACATTCAGATAATAACACATGAGAAGATTATATCTGAGATATATTATAGTATTTCAATACATGCATAGAATGTATAGTAAGTGATCCGATCAGGATAACTGGCATATCCATTACCCTAGAAAGGTGTTAAGACCATTTGAAACACTTTGTCCTAATTCGTATTTTAAAATATTTAACAAAAATGTTGTCAACCACAGTCATTTAACTCTGCCTTAGACCATTAGAAGTCATTCTTCCTATCCAAGATCATCTTTCCTCTACCTCTGCTCCTCCCCCTAATGCCCTTCCCCACTCTGTAACCAAATGCTCGACTCTTCTATAAGATCAAACTTAGAGCTTCCAAATATAAGTGAGATCATGGGATATTTGTAATTCTAAGCCTGACTCATTTCACCTAATGCCTCCCAGCTCCATATCTATTGCTACAAATGATAGCATTTCATTCCTTTTGATGGTTGTATAACTTTATAGCGTGTAGATGTACCATGTTTTCTTTATTAATCGAAGCAATGACTTTGGGGTTTCAAATATAATAAAAAAAACTCTGAGATGAACTGAGAACATAGAAATGGATGCTCTTCCTCTACCTATGGCACCATTTCCCCAGGGCCCCTTATAAACAAAGTATGGTTATCCAATTTTGCCTGGGGTAGTCTTGATTTTTCACCTATTGCCCTATCTGTTGAAAATGTAAGTTACATTTGTGGGCCACCCTTTCTTCCACACCTTACAAGTCATACCTGAAAGCTATTCAAGATGGTCACCCGACTTCATCTTGTAGCCATCCAATCTCTTCATCTACTCTACCTCCCAATAGCTCAGAGTTCTGTGGCTTTGAATAGCAACCCACTAGGTCAAACTCAAAACAATTCCAGACTCCTAGCAGAACCTATCCAGACCTCTTCCTCAAAAGAGATGGCTAATATAAAAATCTGACTAAAGGTTCTATATTGCATTCAAAGCTTTTCTGCAGCCATCGGCTTCCCACAATCCTTGAGTACGTCCATTCATGCTATGCACACCTGCTACAATAGCATCACTGCCTCCTTGCCTGGGCATACATACTTATCAGAACTCTGCCTCAGGCACCTGCCCCAGGGCCCCTGGCCATGACCCTCCCCTGACTGTGCAGACCTGCATGAGCTCATTTCCTGGATCACCCCCCAATTCCTCAATCTCATCTCTGCTTCCAATTACTGCTAGTTCGTAGCACATGGATTTGTGCCTGCTAGATGCTTGGCCATCTAAGAAAATGAAGTAAGTGTACTTTAATATATTACCAAACTATTAGTGTTTCAATTAGTAAAAAAAATGCAATCCTGACAAATGATTACATTGTTTCTCAAACATCATTTTATAGATCATTTGGATCATGTAGGCATGGTGGTTTATGCCTGTACTCCTAGTTACTTGAGAGGCAGAGATGAAGGGACTGTGTTGAGAGCAGCCCAAACACAAAGTTTATGCAGACAACATCTCAACCAATAAAATGCTCAGGTGAGGATTAACCGATCCAAGAATTAAAACAAAAAGGGGTGCCCTGGGTTAAATCCCTAGTGCCATAAAAAAAAAAGAAGAAAGAAAAGAGAAGAGAAGAAAGGTAAAAGGAGAAAGAGAGAGAGAGAGAGAGGAAGGAAGGAAGGAAGGAAGGAAGGAAGGAAGGAAGGAAGGAAGGAAGGAAGAAAGGAAGGAAGGAAGAGAGGGGAAGAAAGGGAGGAAGGGAGGGAGGGAAGGAGGGAGGGAGAGAAGGAGGGGGAAGTGAGGGATGGAGGAAGGGAGGAAGATTAGAGAAATGAAAAAAGAAAGAGAAAGTTAGTGGAAAAAAGGCAAAGTAAAAGAAGCCAATTTGAACATGACACTACTATGAAGCCTTTGACCTTCTGGAAAATGCTAATTATGGCCAAAATGATTGGTCATCAGGAGCTAGAGCAGGAGCATGTGTGAATGGAACACATAGGACTTTGAGGGCAGTCAAGCTATGTGGTATGGTACTAGGACGGTTGATGTGTCTCGTACATTGGTCCAGATCCTTGTAATGCACAACACCCAGTGAAGCACACCATAGGTAACAACGATGTGGTCACTGATGAGGAGGATTATCAGTTGGAACAAGAGCACTGTCTGGTAGGGGATATTGACAGTGAAGTAGCTTATGTGTGTGAGGGCAGGGTATAGACATATCGAAGGTATCTGTACACCTTGCTCAGCTATTTTCTGTCCACCTAAAACTACTGTTTTCAATATGCAAAATATCTCATCTTTATTTTGTGTGGATAGTTGTCAATATATCAGGAACTGAAATGATTACACAAAAGATACCAAAAACTCAGAATGTTAAAAGCATTGATAGTTGTTAATACCTGATTGGAAGTGTAGGCACCTGGCAGGTTCTGAATCCTTAAAACTACTCCTTAAAAATTTATTCATTAAAAAACATTGTGGTTATATACAAAATAGATGTAAGGATCTGGGAAGTTGGCTCAGTGGTAGAGCGCTTGCCTTGCATGCCTGAGGCCCTGGGTTCGATTCTTCAGCACCACATAAGCAAAAAGAAAAAAGCCAGAAGTGGTGCTTTGGCTCAGGTGGTAGAGTGCTAGCCTTGAGCTGAAGAGCTGAGGGACAGCGCCTAGGCCCAGAGTTCAGGCCCCACGACTGGACCCAAAAAAAAAAAATAGATGTAATAAAGATAATATACCTAAAGTCATGCTTTTCAAAAGCATAACTTATTACTCTAATTAATCATATTTCAACAATTAAGGGTAGTAATTTGCTTTACTGTAGAAAATGTAATGTAGTTGGACATGGTGGTACATGCATATAATCCAAGTACTGGGGAGGCTGAAATAGGATTATGTGCTGGAGGCAGCATTGGCTACAAAAGTAGGACTCTGATTCATGAAAACTAATGTATATGTATATATGTATATACATACACATATATGTATGGATAGATAAGATAGAATCTCTTAATTAAATAGGTAGATAAGTAGATAGATAGATAGATAGATAGAATCTCTTCATTAACTTCCAATTGAAATGCAAAGTGATGGAAACAAAAGGCTCTCAAACATCCCAGCATTTGCCTTTGAGCATCAATGGACCTTCTACTGTGGGGAAAATATAATAAAAGAAAAGCACGTAGCAATTTTACTTTAAAAAACAAAAAAGAAAAAACAAAGCCTGGCAGTCACCAATGACTCACACCTGTAATCCTAGATACCCAGCAACCTGAAATCTGAGGATCTTGGTTCCAAGCCAGCTCTGGCAGGAAATTCCATGAGACACACTAATCTCCAGTAAACCACCACCCTCCCAAAAAATAAAAAATAAAGCCAGAAGTGGAGCTTAAGGACAGCATCATCCAGGCCCTGAGTTCAGGCCCCAGGATGAACACAAAGGAAAAAATAGCCTAAGAGAGAGGAAAATGCACCATGAAAAAGTTCATGTAATGTTTGGTGCTCAGCTAGCCATGTCTGTCTGAAGTGAGGCTGTGATTTCAGAATAGCTGAGTGACCATCTGAGGAGGCCAAACTCCCTCTGCATCTGGACCTGGCACCATGCAGCCCACCCTCACTCATCACAGTGAAGATGCTGCACCTTGATAGCAACAGCCCAGCTCAAGTCTGGACTGTCCTACTTCCCAGGGCATCTTCTTCCCCCACATCACTTCTTCAAGGGCTGAATTCCAACCCTTCCCACCTGCCTCTGGTCCCTTCTTGCCTTGAAGAAACATTCAGAGGCTGTTGTGGCCACCAGCTCTCTCTAGGGCTCTCCATTCTGCTCCCCTAATCCCTTCCCACTTTATTCTCTCCTCAATCAGAGAGAGGCTCTGACATCCAACTCCTCATTCTAAAACCATGAGCAAACAAAATAAACATGAGGAAATAGGTACTTGCAAGGGAAGCCAAGGGGGAAGGGGTAGATAAATGAAAAACAGAAGATAGGGAGGTTGCAGTCAAGAATTTGTTGAATATACTACAAAATTAAGTAAGGAAAGGGGTGGGGATGAGAATTTTGAAAGGGGTGACACTGATCAAGATGCATCATACTCATAAACTGCTGTGTAAAATGGCAATCTCTTTGTACAACATTTTAAAATAATAAAAAAAACTAAAATTAAAATAAATAGTAAGTAAATAAAACAATGGGCAACTGACCTCCATTCTCTGGGCCTCGAATTACCAATTTGTGATGTGGGAAACTTAAAATAGATGCCTACTGAGGCTTCCTCCATTTCTATGAACCTAGCAGACTCTCAGTGCTGCCATACAGAGGAGAAAAATGATGATTTCCCTCATGGACATACTTGATCAACCTCAAGATAGGGCAGAATGTGGTTTCATTTATAGTAGTAACAGTAAGATCTGACTGTTATGCTTCTGGAGTCACCAGCAAGCATTGGCCTACTTGGTTCTCTTCCACCCCATAAGATTCTATCTTATCTATCCACACATATATGTGCATGAATATACATATGTACATATGTATTAGTTTTCATGAATCAGAGTCCTACTTTTGTAGCCAATGCTGCCTCCAACACATAAGCCTACTTCAGCCTTCCCAGTACTTGGATTATGCATGTGTACCTCTTATTCACAGAAGGGAGTGACAACTTAACAAGGAAAGTGGGGTCGTTTAAGCAATGCTCATTCAGGAGTTTGCTTGAAATGAAATTTAATAACCCAAAGTTAATTTTCTAACATCATTTCACATTCATTTAGCAGCTGTAATACAGAATGGCAAGATAGTGTGTGTGTGTGTGTGTGTGTGTGTGTGTGTGTGTGTGTGTGTGTGTGTGTGTGTGTGCGTGTATCCAGGAATCAATGAATATTCAAGTCATTGAAAATTCATTACTGTAGCTAACAGGGAAATGTCAAAAATAATTCCGTTGAAAAGCTGGATTCAATATGCCAAGAAAATGTACTGAAGAATCAGAATGAAATTTCACTTAAATGTTGCCTAAACATATTTCTATCAGCTATATGCTAAGACTTTGATTCAAAAAATTTTAAAGTATTGATTCAAAAATTAATTGAGTCAATTAATTAATTCAAAAATTCAGTTAGAATCTCATCTATATCAACTGAGTCCTTTTAATTCCCTTCATTCTTCACTCCATCTTCATAGCTTCCCCGTTGCAACATTCATTACTGATAGGGTTCAAGGAGACTTTTATAATACAGTAAAAGATATGAGTGGATGAGACAGTTGCAAAGTACAGGAATCCATTGTGAACCATCTCTGTGAATTCTGAGAGCAGTTTTCCCAATAGTATGCACACAGCTCCATCCTCAGCCTGGAGAAGGAGAAAGAGGTGTGTCCTACACTACCTACCCCCTGCCCCCCGGCCAGCCCTTAGGAGTTGCTTGTGTTCACTGTCCCCTCTTACTCAATCTTCTCAGCTGCTGTTGGAAATGAGGGTCACCCCGATTCTGTATAAAGCTCAGAACGATCTCAGTGGCCTTCCTGGTGTCACTCAGGGAGGCAGAGGAAGGTGGAAGCTCTTGTTCCTTCCATTATACAACTTGTTCTCATCTCAGTGACTGCGAGAGTCAAGATGCATGCCAGACCTAGCGATACCTGGGCACAATCACATCTTAGCAGACACGGCGCCACATCCTCAGAAGTGGTCCTCCATTCGCTTGACCTTGAGGATCTGGAGAACCCACACACTGTCCATAAACCTGTGGGCAGTGGTGTTGAGCCCACACCAGCCCTCATTCAGGGATCTCTGCATCCTGACATAGACTTTAACTGAACACCTCCCAAGTCATCATCCCCACCCTGGATTCCGAGTGTGTCTGCACCTCCTCCTGGCTCAGGCTTTGCCTACATGCACTCACCAAGGATGCCTCCATCAAGGTCTCCACTCTCCTCCACCCCTTGCTGGTTCACCTCACCCCTGTTCAGCTTCTTCCTAGTGTTTCTCACGTACAAGTGTTCATTGGCACTCTCATTCCTGCCTAAGGCTCACCTCTGCTCCCTCCTCCCAACAGGTGCTTTTCTGCACACCTAGCTCTAAGGCTCAGCTGCCAACACCCAACAATGATTCCATTCCAGGGCTGCCGACCCATCCTCTCTGAGACTGGACTTTGGTCTTTCATCCACAGTGTCCCTTCCTGAGGAAGCCAGGTTCTTTCCTCTATGACATCCTTCACCATTTCCTCACTTGTACCCAATGAGCTCCAAATGCAGTATCTCTTATACACTCCCATGTGAACACACTAAATGTTTAGGAATCTCAGGGGATGGAGACATGATCACAGAAGGGATCTTGGCATTTATTTGCTCACAGCACTGGCTGGTGTCAACTGAGCTCTAACCACCATACATTGGGTTCACTCCAGTCAGTAAGACAGGCTTCATATAGAATGCAAGTGCTCACCATGGTGGGACACCACTCTGAGAACATAGGTTTTCATAAGAGAGTGGTCCTTCTCTCAGACCGTAGAGGGAAGGGAGGGCCAGAGGAGAAAAACAAAGGAGGGAGTAACAATGGTCAACAAGAAATGTACTCATTGCCTTGCTCATGTAACTGTAACCCCTCTGCACAGTATCATTACAATAAAATAATTTTTTAATGGGAAATGCTTTGTGGACCACCCAGCATACCCTGGGGGACTGCATCTTCTGTGTCACAAACCAATGATTAGGACATGGCTGCTGCCTACAAGAAACATTGACTCTAGTAAAAATGAGAGATACAAAAGTATTGTCTTTGATAGACAGTTCCTCAAAGTCCTTGTAGCAAAGGAGGTAGGAAGTCCAGGACAAAATGTCCCCAACTCGAGGCTACAGAGCATAGCTGGAGGTCATGTCAAGGAGACAGCAGAAGTACATTCCATGGGAAAATACACAATGACCAGAAAGCTCAGCATCAACTCAGGCACAGATTGCTCAATAAGGCTGGGACAGGATCTGGAGAGGAGAGTATAGGCATAGGCCAGATGGGTTCAGACCTAGTAGCCAGATAAACAAGACTGTGGTCTGTGCTAAAAGAAACTCAGAATACTGCATCCCTTACTGGGAAAGTTCTGGAAAGTAGTCTGGGCAATTATCAAGCAGCTCACCTGCAAAGATGATGAACATACGTAGAGCAATCATCTTGGCTTTCTGCAGCATCTCCATGTCTTCTGAGGACATCTCTAGCTGCTGGAAAGCTTGGCATATGTCAACAACACTTAGGAAGAAACACAATGGCATTAAGCATTCAATATCTGTAACCAGGTACATTGCTACACATGTGCATTGTCTCTGCCCAACTGTATTCATGTCACAATAACAAGAAATGCACAGATAACACTAGTTAGACTCCCAGAGAGATTTGTGTCCCTATTTACTTAAATCATTGGTTTAATTGCCAAGAGGCATAATATTTGCTTTCTTTTTGTTTTTGCAAAGGCAAATGATTATAGGGAATCAAATGATGATGACATACAATGGGTGCCAATGGTTCACACCTGTAATTTTAGTTACTAGGCGGCTGAGATCTAAGGATTGTGGTTCAAAGCCAGCCTGGGTAGGAAAGTCCAAGAAACTCTAATCTCCAATTAACCACCAAAAAATCTAAAAGTGGAACTGTGGCTCAAGTAGTAGAGCACTAGCTTTGAGCAAAAAACACTCAGGAATAGCACTCAGGTCCAAGCTCCAGTACTGGCAGAGAGGAAGGAAGGAAGGAAGGAAGGAAGGAAGGAAGGAAGGAAGGAAGGAAGGAAGGAAGGAAGGAAGGAAGGAAGGAAGGAAGGAAGGAAGGAAGGAAGGAAGGAAGGGAGGAAGGAAGGAAGGGAGGAAGGAAGGAAAGAAGGAAGGGAGGGAGAGAGGAAGGGAGGGAGGGAGGGAGGGAGGGAGGGAGAGAGGGAGGAAGAGGGAGGGAGAGAGGGAGGGAAAGGGAGGGAGGGAGGGAGGGAAGCAAGGAAGGAAGGGAGGAAGGAAGGAAGGAAGGAAGGAAGGAAGGAAGGAAGGAAGGAAGGAAGGAAGGAAGGAAGGAAGGAAGGAAGGAAGGAAGGAAGGAAGGGAGGGAGAAGGGGAAAGTGTTTTAGAGGACATTTATGCTAATTACTGTGAGCTGATCATTGTCCAATGTACATATAGTATCCAAATACCAAAGGAACTGAACACCAATGTTTCATTATGGTAATCCCAGCTACTTAATAGGTTGAAACCAAAAAGATTGTGGTTCAAAGTCAGCCTGGCGGCAGAAAAGTCTGAGAAATTCCATATCTAAAATAACCGTCAAAAAGTAGGGCTGGCCGATTGTGGGTGGCTTACACCTGTAATCCTAGCTACTCAGGAGGCTGAGATCTGGAATCATGGTTCAAAGCCAGCCCAGGCAGGAAACTCAGTGAGACTCTTATCTCCAATTAACCACCAGAAAACTGTTGGCTAAAGTGATAGAGCACTTGCCTTGAGCTGAAGAGTTCAGGGACAGCACCCAGACCCAGAGTTCAAGCTCCATGACCCCAAAAAAGTAGGGCTGGAGGTGTGGTTCTAGTGGTAGAGCCCCAGCTGAGTGAGCAGGTATGGGGCTCTGAGTTAAACCCTGGTATCAAACTCTACCCCATAAATATAAAACAAGCAGCTGCTCTAAAAATAAAAACAAAATAAGCAATTTTTAAAACTTTATGTATATAGCATTGTGGAATAAATTCCCTTAACAGAAGACTGAAAAAAGTAAGATGAAACCAGGCATAAGTGGCTCACATTTGTAATCCTAGTTACTCAGGAGATTGAGATCTGAGGATTGAGGTTTGAAGGCAGTCTATGCAGGAAAGTCAATGAGACTCTAATATCCAATTAACCACCAAAAAAAAGCTGGAATTGGAGCTGTGGCTTATATGGTAGAGCACTAGCCTTGAGCACAAAAGCTCAGGGACATCGCCCAGGCCCTGAGTTCAAGCCCCATGACACACAAAAAAAGGTAAGATGAGATTGGTGAGAAACAGAAATTGCCAAGCCCACCTGCACTTCAAAAGTAGAGCAAAACTAAAGCCACAGTTTAGTTTCATTTCAGAAGCAAGAAGGAGATGAGGCAGGAAGCTCTGAAAGCCAGTATTTGTATTTCAAAGTAGTTAGAGTTTTATGCTCCAGGTACAACTAAAGACACCTTCCTAAATATGATAAAAATGACTGGGTTCAAGGTGAAGCTCTGTAACAAAGCTAGCAGAAAATAGGTCAGCTGGTCTGGTGGCATATGAACAAGGGTTTAAAGATTCCTTTGATCTCTACATAGGAGTGAGAGAGACAGGTATAGTCAGGACCATGAACAATCTAAACAGTCCTGCCCTCCTTAAATGAATAAATTGAGCTAGCACAGAACTTCTGGGTCTCTTCTGCACACAAAGAGGAACAAATCCTTCAATCTAAAGAAGCAGAGAGTTTCCAGAGCATGAGGCCTAACAAGACTGAAGCTTGTAAGAAGAGTTTTCCTTTGTCCTAACTTGAGAGATGGATCAACTATTTAAAGGTGGTTTTCAATCTAAACAGTGCAGAACCAACCAATGCCTGGGTTGGATTGGGTAGCTATCAATGCAAGCATTATTTTCTGCTCAAAATGAGCTAATATTCTTGGCTTCATAGCTAATATTAGGACCCTGAACTATCTGAGTATATTCAGAAAAAAATGGTTTTTATGTACCTAGTCTTGAGATATGTAGGTAGAATACAAGGCTGTGTGTGTGTGTGTGTGTGTGTGTGTGTGTGTATTGGTACTGGAGCTTTGACACTCTCCCCTTAACTTTTTCACTCGAGGCTAGCACTATACCACTTCACCCTTAAATCCACTTCCGATTTTTGGTGGTTAATAGGAGATAAATATCTCAGAAACTTTTCTGTCTGGCAGGCTTAAATCCAGCCTGGCTTTTGCTTTTAAGAGTAATTTACTTTAGAAAAACTCTGAATACAAAGCATGTTCGCTTGTCAAATAGTGAGTTAAATATTAAAAAAATTATTATTGGCCTGAATCACTCTTGATGGAAGCCAATTGCAGAAGTGTTGAGATCTACTTACCCTAATCTGTTGTTGGGTACTGCAGTAGGGGAAAAGTAGAGTGAGTAAGGGTTTTTGATTACCTTTGATCTGCCAGTAGAATCTTTTGCCAATATCCAATGAATACAAGTAATCTCTTCAAGTATGTACTGAATGGTGATAATGGTTTGAGGTTATACGGGAAATCTATCATCTCTTCTTTTGGTAACATGACATTCTTTCCAGTAGTTGCATTAAGATAGATTTCAAAAAATTGATGGAATGACGTGTTGATGGAATTCAGCCACTGAGAGTTGTATGGGAGCGGGGGTTTTCCTAAGAGAATTAGCCAATCTAGCAAATTTTGGATTGCTGTTTCAAGTTGATGATGAGTGATATCCTGAGTCAAAGACATGTTGAAAAGTAAATCTTTGCTTAAATCATCTCCATCTTCACTTGTAATTCCACTGGAGGTCTCTACAACTGTTTCTATCATTCTGAACAGGTTATCTGAATGATCAACCAATGCCTGCAGCAGATTAAAAGCTTCCCAATTGTCCTTTTTTAAGCTATTCCAAAGGGCTTCTAATGTGAGATCAAGTATCATTTTAAAGGATTTCCCTATTTTTGTGCTATTTTCTGTTAACATTCCATCCCCCAAATGAAACGGTTCATAGATTTTTTCCCATATTGTATCTTGAGGACTACGATGAGAGGAAGTTGGATTAAGTTTCAAAAAGTTTATTTTGTGGGTGATGTTATTGATAGGAACTAAGCAATTCAAAATTTCTTCCCCCAAGTTGACAGAATCCATAGAAAATATTTGAGTCCCATTATTAAATGCCACCACAAGATGCTCTAAATCTCCCAAACTGATTTCCATTGAAGTTAAAAACTCAGCTATTTCTTCCAAAATATTGGAAAAGTCATTGGATTGGCTCACAATTGAGACTACACTAGATGACATATTGAAAACGTCAGAGTCCTGTGAAATATTGGGCTTCACCCCCAACATCTCAAAGGCCAAGTCAAGAAATGGCATCAGTAAATCATTGATATGTTCAAATGTCACATGATCTACTTTTCTCAAAGGAATTCTTTCCTTCACAAGATGCTGGACACTTTGCTGCATGACAGAATAGAAAATATTAAAGAAGTCCACGGTGTCCTGAGTGTTGGGGACAAAATGAGTTTCAAAGATGGTGGCCATCTTCCCTGAAACTTTCTTTGCTAGCTTCAGAAGTTTCACAGCAAAGTCCATATCTGTGGCAATATCTCTCAGCTCAGCACTGCCATTCAGCAGCATGGTGAGGATTCTAGACATTTCTAAGAGGGGCTCCAGGCCATGACTTTCTTTATCAACTCTAGAGATAACATCGAGTAACCTCTTAGTGAGTTCTAATGTTTCTCTATTTCTTAGAGGAAATGAGTCCTTTATAAAGGAAAGCAAGTTGGTTAGGTCAGCAAGTACAACTTTTTGGAGTGCAAGAAAAGAGGTATGAAAGTCTTGATTATGAGACTTTGAAAGAGTGTCCATAAGATTTGACATCTCTGTGGAAATTTCTCTCACAAGGTGAAGGATGGAAGTAAGATTTTGGTTGAGGCTGATGAGTTCCTCAGAGTTATTCATATGGAAAAGCAGTTGACTCACCACCATAAGAAAGTCTGGATTATCTTCAGTCTCATTTTGCAGTGAAGTTTCCCTTAGAAGGGCATGAAATAAATCTCGTACAAATGTCAGTCCTCGTTGGCTATCAAAAGAAAATTCTCCACTGTCTAACATAAATGAGCTTCTGATTAGATGAAATATAGTTCCCTTTAACCATGAGAAAAAGCTCATCAATCTGTATTCATTCATCAGTGTAAGAAATTGATCCAATTTCAGTACCTCTCGAATTTTATCTTTTGAGATAAAGCTGTAAATATGTATTAATTTTTGTTAATATATTATCAACAGAAAGATTAAAATATATAGTGATTTTAATGATGCCATTAATTTCATAATAGCATGGAATGATAATGCTTAGTGAAAGATGGATTACTGAAATAATTCTAGATGAACCTTAACAATTTGCTACCAAATAATGCAGAGTAGAGGACTTGAATGGCCAATCCTACCGCAATTCTTTGAAGCTAATGTTCAAAAAATATCCATATTCATTTGTTTTTAGAAAAGAACTTAATTCACTACAAAGCGATTCTTGATGTACAAGGTAAATCTCTGAAAAATTTCAAAGTCTATTTTATACTTTCTGTGAACTTTTAAATTACTAGCTGGTCACTGAGACACTGTGATTGCTTTACGACATGTCAACTTGGCTAAGCTAAGCCACAGTCCCAGGGACCTCTTTCTCTCTTATGTCTCTGATTTGGTTATGCTCTAAAGGAGATTCCCCCTTGGGAGTTGAAGGGAAGATGGGAGTTAAAGCACAAGACATAAATATGTCTACTACTAGCTACCAAGTCTAAGGCTAATAGAAATGCTGCTGATACAGGACTTTACATAAATAAAGTCCCTTGTCAGTTAACTACATGTTAGTCAAAATGAATATTGTCTAGGTGGACCTGACATCATCAGGTGAATTAATTGCAAAAGAGTCACATAGAGCCTCCTGACCGAGAGACTCCAATAGTAGCTATAAAGGCCTTTGCTCTCCCTTCCCCTTAAAAGTTCTTTATATACCATCAAGAGGGAGAACTTTGGCTCATGTCCCTGATGTCTTTGCCTACTATGAACTACCCTACCTGTACCCTTTCTGAATTTGCATTTTCATATCATGTTTCCTAAATTATGTACCCAAGTCTCTCTCTTCCATCCTTGGTATACATCCATGGTTGAAACTTGAGTGGTGGAACATGGAATATAGTTAACTTTCTCAGTAGTATTTTCACTAGTAACTGACAGAGATTTTTAAACACCCTGAACAGAAATAATGTGACTAGTAACTTTAATGCTCCTAAATACAAAACCACAGTAGATACATTAGAGGGGAAAATATTAAAACCCTTTAAGATTAGACAGAGAACAGAAAAGGTTGTCATGTTCATGTTACATGTACATATTTATCCATAAAATATTAATTTTTCAGTTGTACATAAGACAGAATTTTAATAACTGTTTTCATAATCTAAAAATTGAAATATAATGTATGATCATCCCTGGCTAGGTTTAAAAGCTTACTGATGAAATGGCAGTAATCAAAGTAATTTTACCTTCACAGTTTTGAAAAATGCTCATTAAGGCAATGAATTAATTGGCATTTCTCTACTCCAGAAATTAAAGTGGGCTGAGCCATACACATATTATACAGAGGCAAGGTACACTTACCTCATTTCTGCAATAACATCTTTGTGGAAGTCTTTCAGCAGGAAAGAAATTTTGTTCCCAGATTTTTCTTTTAGGGAGAATGTTCTCAAAAGCTCTTCCATGAAATCCATTATACTTCCCAGAGGGAGAACTATCTCCCCACCTTTTTCTGACTGTAAATGATCCAGGGTGAGGTTAATGAAATTCATCATTTGGAGATCACTATCACCTAAATTTGGAGCTGTTACTTGAGAACCTGATGCTAAGTTATTGAAAGAATTAATTAGAATGTTGACAAGAAGTAGCTGTACAACAGAGAAATTACTTAGTTGCTCTTCATTAAGCAGCTGTGTGAGAGTGGCAATGTCAGAATTGTTTTCCCTAGAAATGTCTTTTAGATACCTCAGGTTGCTAGTGATATCTTTAGTCAGCATAGTTATAACATCAGTTGAATTTTCATTGTCCATAGTAGCAAGTAATGTTTGCATCAGTGGGGAATAATCTTCATTTGCATACACAGAAAGCCATTTTTTTGTCACCAATAGGAAATCTTCAATAATTCCTAATGCCTTTGATGTTGATAAATTTAGGATTTCCAAAAACTGGATAAGTTTCAGAGTTATATTTGGAAGATCCACAGAATTTATGTCTTGTATTTCTTTGTTAAGTTCAGAGAACAGGTGCTTGATACTAAAGTTGTGGGTTAAGTCTTTCATGATTTGTTTGAAGTAAACCCACAGTTCTTCAAAGTTGTTAGTTGATTTTATTTTCTTAATAAAATCTGATACAGTTTCTAAACTACTGTATGTAAGATTTGCATTCAGAAGAAATAAAAATGGAGACAGTAAATAATGAGTACTATTTTCTAGATACCTATCTCTAGAAATCAATTTGACTATCCTTTCCAAGTTTAAGAGAATATTATCATGGGCAGCTATCTCTGCACCGTTGGTAATGCTAATAATCTTGTTTAAATCAGCTAATTTAGTAAGAATATTTTCGCTTGATGTACCTTTTGTAAAGTTCAGATGCTTTAGTTTTTCTATTATTTTCAAAGCAACCTGTTTCATGGGACCACCAGGACAAGCTTCGTGGATGCTGTCATTACTTTGATTTCCAAAAGGTGAAACAAATGGTAAGATCCTGTGCCAAAATTCTTGTACCGTTTTCACAAGTGGAGTTTGAATATGGAAGACTTCAGACAAATTTATAAGAATACAATTCCAGTCCACTAATCCATGTATTACACAGACCACTTTCCTAGTCATTTCAATTCTTGAGCTTTCGTTTGAACACTGTGACTCTTTACCAAGAGGAGACAGGTGGAGATGGTCAAGGGTGCTGGTCACTTTTTCATAAAAAGAAGAAGACATAAAGCCATGGATATCACAAGTTTCTAACTTTGACTTCTGCTGAAACCCTGCTGTACCGTTCCAGCACCAAACCACAGGAAAGCAAGTTAGAGCTTCAGACACAAGGGCTGGTTGGTCTGATATTAACTCAATGACATCTAGAAGAGTTTTGATCACAGTGGCAAAGTCTTCCTTGGTGATGTTGGCAGTGCTTATACCATGAAGGAGCGTAAAGTTATAGATATCCTTGAGGCTCTCTGTGATATTTTTATCAGCAATTCCCTGGAGAAGCCCCGTAATATGAGGAAGAGCATAATATAAATCCACCACAGCATTCACGTCATCTTTAGGAAATAGCCGAGAGAGTTGCAGCAGATGATTAACATTCCATGAATGTGAACCAGCCATAAATTTTTCCACCAAGCCAATGAGTAAGTTGACCCCTGAATTGTCAGGACCTAATCTGCTAAGATTCTTAAAGAAATCTACTAGGCCTTCACTGATTTGTTCAAGTTGGTCAACTAATAAGTCTATGTCAGCCTTCTTGAGAGCATGCATGAGGGAAGTCACTTTATTTAAAACTTGAACATGACTCATATTTTGTGGAGTATTGGAATGAATGGCAGGCATCAAGGAGTTGAACACATCCCTAATCAACTGAATACCAAGACCCCAAGCTTTCACTAATTCATGTGGAGTACTTACTGATGAATTTTGGAGATCATGAGTTAGGCTGAAGGCAAAATAATTAGCTAAATGATAAATGGAGTTGCGCAAATTGTTTATATCCTTTTCCTTTGGATTGATGGAAAATATTCCAAAAAGTTTTTTCATACTAGGAAAGGTATTTCTTTCCAGGATAGCAGGAGAAAGATCTTGTAAGTGTTTCTGTATTTCCTTCCCCAGAGTTGTTATATGCAGCCATATGTTTTGAAACTGATTGGGAATTCCATCTAATGTATCTACAGGTGTTAGAAGTAATTCATTAAAATGTTTCCAATTGGATTGGGAGAGGAAATCAAAGTCCCTTGTTAAATTATGGATAATCATCTTTACTTGGTTTGTAGAATCATTTAAAAGAGCTAATAAAATCTCAAATTCTGGTACCTTCTCTTTTTCCAAGACTGTATTAAATATAATATTTAGAAAGTCAGCCAGGTCTTTCAAGTAAATATTTATACAATTTATAGTAGACTCATTTAAAGAACAAAGCCTTTCCTTTGTATTGAATAACCAAGTTAGAATTTTAAATGTAGAGTTCATTGTGTTTTCAATATCCCTTAAATTACTCAAAGTACTATGAAAAGACCCCAGAAAGAAACTTGAGTTAGACATGGCGTATATATGGTTTATGACATCTATCCATGCAATGCACCCTTTTAGTGTACTAACTGCGTCTTCAGAAGAAAATGTGGAATTTAACATAGCCAGAATCTGTACAGCCCTCTGGGAAGTATTTACATCCAATAAGCCATCTTCCAAAATCAATGGAATAACTTTTTGGAAAACATCAGCACAGGACAATAAATCTTGATCATATGATACATTTCTAAAAAATGTTATTGTTTTTCTTAGTTCATTAATAACACTTTCAAATTTGGCTCCACAATCTGTGAGATTTTTTAAAAGATCGTCATTTATCAAATCTACATTTCTGCCCATATACTTTGTGGGATTGCTTAACCTGGTGAAAACTTCCAGCAGAGAATATATAAACTTCCTGCTTGCACTTGTTTTCAGTGGAGCTGACATTAGCTGGTGTAGGGCGGTTTTCATGGCAAAGAATGATTTCTCTACTTCATCCAAGTTAAGTGATTTTACTGTAACTAACTTGTCATCTACTGCTACCCACAGATTCCTGAGGTACAGGAGAGAATTCCAATCATGGAAGTCATTGGCTTGTGTTAAGTTTTTTAACAAATTTAAGATGAGTCTAGCAGCATGATGGGTCAGAAACACTCCCTGGCAGCTTTTAGAAATGTTCACGTCATTTTCTAATTCATCCAAAAGCTGAGTGAGACCAACATGAAGAGGAGGGAAAATATGCAGTTCAAATTTAAATATCTGAGAAATGCTTGCCCAGATCTCTGTCCACATTTGCAGCCATGATAGAGTACACTGAACAGCCCTGAACTCGTTGAACACACTGATATTTCCCGAAAGGTTGGAAAACTTTCTGTCCCATGGAAGAGTGGAGGAAGTCCCCTCATTTGTTGAATAATTCATAGAAGAAAAGTTATCCAGAATAATAAAGCATTCATTATTCAGCAAGGCTTGTTCTGAGCCATTGAAGAGTTGGCTCATATATTGGAACAAAGAAACACGAAAATCTTCATCTACTACTAGCAACTGTTTGAGGCCTATCAAAGTACTATAGATCACTTCCAATTCTCTGTCTTCGCTAGACTTCAGAGATTGGGTTTTAAGCTCTAAAAAATTAAAAATTGAAAGCAACTGTTGACAGTAAGAAACTTCAGAAATCCTCCCAAGAAACTCTGCTGTCTCTGATAAAAATGCAAATGCATTGCTGATGTTTTGGAAATTAAATTGCTTAACGATGTCCAAAATATTTCTGGAGATTTGGGTCAGATAAGTTATCAAAGACTCTCTACTCTGAATGCTCAAGAATTGATAAATAAGTTGGTAAAATGAAGAATAAATCTGCAGAAGTAAACTTGAATCTTTGTTGTTAAAGACATTCAGGTAGAGATGAGTCAAAATTTTTTCAACTTCCTGCTTTTGGGGTTCAGAAAGGGCTAAGAAAAGACGAGACACATTTTTAATCACGTAGACTGTGTCTAGAGCTTTAAAAACTTCTTCCTGGCTCAGGAATCCGAATTCATAGAGACCATTTATTATAGTTTCACTTAAATATACAAACTCCATGTTCACAGCTGGTGGTCTAGGCAAATCTGAATGTATCAACCTGGACAAGTTAAAACTTGTACTAAGAATCTTTTCATTTTCTGGAACTGAAAATTTTAAGAGAGTAGAGAGTGCTTCTAATTTAACTCTTTCACCTTTGGGAATGCCATAGAGCCATAATTCTAGCAGTGTGGGGTTAATTTCAAGAAGCATTAATTCAATGAATCTCAAAATATTTTTGGATTCTGTCCTCATCCAGTGGCTTTCAAGAGTTTGCATTTTGTCGGTCATCTGTTTGCCAAATTCCAGAAGTTTCTGAGTATCAATAGGATATGGGTTTCTGTCTAAATTTTTCATGTGATTTATCCATGGCACATTTCCATTGTGAACATTCTCATTGATAGACAAGAATTCAGGAAAAATAGATAAATTGGAAGGAACAGGCAACAATAATTCTTCCAAAAATTCCACAAGTAATGAAAAAAATTTCTTCTGTTCATTTTCCTGGGCATGCAATGTCTCTTCCACCACCAGAAGGTGCTTTGTGAAATTTAAGGCCCTATAACATTAACAGAAGTGCTTTAGAATCAGAAAAACATAATGAAGCCTACATACTAATTTTCTAAGATAGTAGTCATTTGTAGTAAACCAAAACATGTGCTCTACATTTCCCAACCCATGGTAAAGTAATGTGAGAATTTAAAATGTTTAACATTTTCACAATGCAGTTGTCCACATTTGTTTCTTACCATCAACTAATGCATTGTAAGTTATTTTCACTTGCACATTAGTACATCTGACTGCGAAAGTTTGCCATCCATGCCAGAGAAAGCACAGGACTTTTGCAGTACCTCTCAAAATGTCTTGGCTCAAGAGAATGATACAAATAGTGAGATGCAACAAAAAAGTGTGCCTGGGTGATTTAAGGGAAATCTTTTTGCAAAAGGCATTCTGGGCCCTCCACTGATATTTTCCAACCAGGTGTTTATTTTTAAAGGACAAAGAGTTGTCAGAAGAGCAACTTAGAGTCGTGTCAAGTCTTGTAGAACTAATTTGTAAGTCAGAAGTCACAGGTTACCTAGAAAATTGTTGGAGACTGGACTGGAATCAGCTTCACAATAGTTCAAGCCTCAACCCTGCAGATGAACAGCTGTAAAGCCTGGTGTAGGTGCTCACACCTAGCTTCTCAGGAAGCTGAGATCTGAAGACTTAGGTTCAAGGCCCCAGATAGAAAAGTCTTTAAGACTCTTATCCCAATTGACCAAAAGTGGAAGTATGGTTCAAATGGTAGAGTGCCAGCCTTGAGCAAAAAAGCCAAGTACCAACACACACACACAGACACACACACACACACACACACACACACACACACACACACACACACACTTGCATGGATGCACACATGCATGTGCACACATACACACAAGCTGTCCAGAATAAAGGAATTTGGCCTTTTCTGACTACTAATAATTGGAATGATGAATTCCTTAGAACTTTGTTAACTCTGGATTCTGGAGAGAATAAGTATAAGAGACCAAATGTATCAATATTATTTTTCTCTCTAATAAATGTGAACAAAGCATATAACAATAAATTTAATTGACTGTTACATGTAGGATTGAGTGGTTATTTTGAAAAAAATTTTTTGGAAAAATTCTCATCAAGAAAGTTAATGGCCTACCATGAAGAATTTAGTATAAACTGATTCTGAATCTTGCCCACCACGGAACTACACTATATAGAACAAGGACTACACAAGTGATCATACATTAATAGAGGAAAATGCAAAAAGTGTATCTATTGAGGCCTCAGTACCAAAAAGGAAAAAAAATAGTCTATATGTATATCAAGAGCTATAATGGTAATGAAGTAGCAATAGTAGTAAAAGTAAGAACCACCAAAGTAGAAGTCATAGATACTGTAGAATATTTCTATCTAGATATTCAAAGCACCTTAATAGCCTTAGTTCATTCCTACAATAGCCTTTTTAGGAACATAATCATTATTCCCATTGCATGAGAAAAATGTTTTCATTTATTTAAAGTAATGAATGAATTCACACTGTTAGCATGTGGTATGAGCAGGACATAGGCCAGGTTTGTTGTTTTGAATTTAGCTCTCTAAATGTCAATTATGATTGGTCTTTAATATTTGTATTCACTAAATCAACACCTAATTAACTAGCATCTTTCATGAAAGACACTGAACTGTGATGAGTCTAGAAATACAAAATTGTAAGATTAATTTTAGTGCGGTCTTTGTGCTCATGGGTGGGTGGGTATGAGTGGGTGGGTGTGTGTGCGAGATGCGCGCACACGCACACTGTTCCTGGAGCTTGAACTAAGGGCCCAGGTGCTATTTCTGAGCTTTTTTTTTTTTTTTTTTTTTGCTCTCTACCACTTGAGCCATAGCTCCACTTCCAGCCTTTTAGGTAATTAATTGAGAATAAGAGTCTCACAGACTTTCCTGCCTGGGCTGTCTTCAAACTATAATTCTTAGATCTCAGCTTCCTGAGTAGCTAGGAGTACAGGCGGGGTGCCTGGCTGGTGCCAGAGTACAGGGTGCCTGGCTGGTATCATCTTTTTGGAACTGTTACTTAGTTCAGGTTTCAAGAAAGTGAGGAGCTATCAATTTGCCATGAGGAGGAAACTGATTCTTAGGGGGTCCCTTCCATTGTCCTTCCATGACCACTGATCACTGGGCAGAAGGTGCTACTGGCTCATGCCTGCAATCCTAGATACTCAGGAGGCTGAGATCTGAAGATCACAGTTTGAAGCCAGCCTAGGCAGGAAAGTCCATGAGACCCTTATTTCCAATAATCCACCAAAAAAGCCAGAAGTGGAGCACTGGAACAAATGGTAAAGTACCAGCCTTGAGCAAAAAAAGCTAATAGTGCCCAGGCCCAGTACTAGCACAAAAATAATCATAATAATCCCTCCAGGGTGATGAACCTCAGGTCCAGAGTAGTGTAGGAGAATGGTTCTCAGACTTTGGTGCACATGAGAACCCTCTACGGAATTTGCTGAACAATAGAGAAATCTTGGTCCCATGCTGGAAAAATCGATAGAGAAAATGAAGCGTAAGACTGAAGAAGTAAAGCTGAAGCAAAGTATGACATTTGTGCTTTAAGCAAACATCACGTGTAAATTTGGTCCACTGTGAAGTTGGAATGCTACTCTTCTAATACAAAGTTCCTGTTCCATTAAGTCCTAATGCAGCTCACAAACAATGAGTACTTTACAAATGGATATAGCATCTGTATCCATGTGTAAGAATCCCCATCTCAAAACATGCTGAAACAGCAGAGCAGGAAATAATCTGGCATATTTATACCTAAAGATTATTTCTCTTCCCATCACCTCCAGAACCATGAGGACCTAAATCATTGATCCCACGACAAAACTCTGAGCAACTAGATGAGACCATTTCTCAAAAAAAATTTGATTTTAACAATATCCATTCTAAACCTTAGTGCAATTGCAGGAAAATTATTACTATAATCTATACTCTCAAAATCCATGGAAACCTTAGCATTTTATAAATAAATAGCTTACCTAATGTGAAATACTGTGGCAATGCTTAAATCAATCTCATAGATATTAAAGAATGAATAACCTATGAATAAGTTTTACATATCTTCAGACAATAGTTAAATTGTATCTGGAAGTTGAATTCCAAATACTTACCTGGAGATGGAAGTTATTGGAGACGTCATTAAATTATTTAAAAATATAAAATAATTATTGCTGATAAGTTTCCAATCCATGTTTTCTTTATAACAAGGAGAGTCCTCAGATAACACTAGGTGGAAACATATTGACATTAAATTGAACATAATAGACAAATCCAGTTGAGCAAAATATGCCACAGACGTTCACTTAAAATGGTTTAAAATGAGCCAGGTGCTGATGGCTCATCTTATAATACTAGCTACTGAGGACCTGGGTTCAAAGCCAGCCTGGAAAGAAAAGTTCAAAAGACCCTTATCTCCAATTAACCAACAAAACTTGGAAGTGGAGTTGTGGTTCAAGTGGTAGAGCACAAGCTATGAGCTAAAAACCTGAGTGTGAGAGAGAGAAGTTCTGAGCTGAAGCCTCAGTTCTGCACACATGCACACATTCACACACAAGAAAAGACTGAAAATGTTAAAAATGAAGATAACTTCTTGATTTGACATCTGCCTCCAGAAAAGATGATACACCATTAGCCACTAGCCAATAAATAATGACAAATTGCAGACTGACAACAAACAGGATAAGATGGATGACTGATTATCTCAGTTGACTACTAAAAGAGGGTTGATTGTCTCAGCTGACTACTAAAAGAGGGTCCAGGTCCTAATATATGAAGAAGAAACCAGAGCCAGTGCATGTGCTGAGCTCAGCAGATGGAGCTCGGTGTTGGGAGACAACAATGGTCCTCAGAGGGCAAGACAGGGCTGCACAAAACAAGAACATCAGCACAATCTTCCATCTACTACCAGCTGACAACTAATCATCTGTGTGAGGATGCCATGAGAGACTAATTCAATCCCAAAGTGATTAATGATAAACTGTTTAGTGATCATACAAGCTTATTTCCTTGAGCCAAACTAGAATAGTGGATGGGTCATCAGTGGTGGAGAGGAATCTGTAGCAAGGATTTTGTATCAATAGTAGGTATTATCTACAACCAGAATGAAAATTTGGCCAGTTTTGTCTCCTACATCTTTAAAGCAAGATCCTGAGGCTAGGATCTATAATAGAACACTTGCCTAGCATATGGAAGGCCCTGAGTTTATTCCCCATACCACAGAAAAGAAGAAGGAGGAGGAGGAGGAGGAGGAGGCAGCAGAAGCAGAGCCACCGCCAAGCACTGGTGGCTCACACCTGTAATCCTAGCTACTCAGGAGGTTGAGATTTGAGGACTGAGGTTTCAGGCTAGCCTAAGCAGGAAAGTACATGAGGCTCATATCTCCAGTTCACCACCAACAAAACAGAAGTGGAGCTGTGGCTCAAGCGGTAAAGCACTAGCCTTGAGTAAAAAAGCTCAGGGACAGTGCCCAGGGCCTGAGTTCAAGCTTGAGAACTGGCACAAAAGGAAAAAAAGAAAGAAAACAAAAAGTAAACGAAAGAAAAAGAAAGAAGAGGAGGGAAGAGAAGGGGTAGAAAACCCTTTAAAAAAACTAGTATAAAACAACTTGCTTCCAAAAATACAAAAATAACCAGCAAAAATAAGGTTAAATGTAGCATCTAATCAAAATTTACCAAGTATGAAAAGAAGGGAAATGATGAGAGAAAAGTTAACCAAAACTGACAGAGAGGTGGAATTTGCAGGTAAGAACATGAACCATATGACTGGCTTTCATTATCCAATTTGAACGGTTTAAACAGTTCAATTAAACAGCCAAAACATGTCAGAGCAGATTTAAAAAGACCTAACCATATGTTACTTATAAGAAGTGCACTTAAAATATGAAGACATAAATGAAAAGAAGCATGTACCTCAAGGCTAATCAAAACCATGTATTGATTGGGAAAATTGGAGTTCAGACAATAGTTTTACTATTACAGGCATCAACTATTCAGGAAGATACAGCAATTCTAAACTGTATATTTTATAAAAGAATTTCATAACACATGAACAAAAACTAATAGTAATAAAAGAAAAATTTTAAAAAATCAACATAGTATTTAGATATTTCAATCCACATCATGGCAAAATACCAACAAGGATATAGAAAATTTATTCAATACTATTAAACTTGATCTAATTGATGTTAATAGAATTTTCTACCCATAAACAAGGTAGTACCTAATCTCAAGAGCACATGGAACATGCACCAAAGTAGGCTGCAAAGCAAATCTCAATAAGCTTAACAAGATTATAGTCATACAAAGACTGTTCACTGACTAAAAGAGAATTAGATCAAAAATCAATAACAAATGCATCTGAAAAATCCCAAATATTTCAAAGATAAATATACTTCTAAACAACTCATGGATCAAAAGATAAATCAAGAGGTAGTTGGTCAGAGATGTTAAGTGCCTACTATGTTAACAGACAAGTTTTATGGATAACAACATACCTCAACATTTTAGCAAATTATATATGTTAAATGTGGGTCTTATTGAATGTCAATTATATTTCAAGAACTCTGTTTTATTTTCCTCTATGCTGGACACTGGTGGCTTATGCCTATAATCCTAGCTACTAAGGAGACTGAAATCTGAGGATCACAGTTCAAAGACAGTCCAGACAGCAAAGTATATGAGACTTATCTCCAATAAACCACCAAAAGGCTGGAATTGAGCTGTGGCTCAAGAGTCAGAAAACTAGCCTTGAAGAAAACAGCCTTAGCAAAAAAGAGACAGCACTTAGGCCCTGAGTTCAGCCCCAGGATTAGTACAAAATAAATCCTCAAAATCATTATTCTAATTTGAGACAAATAATTTTTCCACTTTCATATTAATTTCACAAATAAAGTTGCATAAAATTTACATCAATTATACCTCAGTAATTGGCATAAGTAGATTTAGAAATAGAACTGTACTAAGAGGTTATAGGCAAGATAATGGCAATAATCTAGAAAATTAGATTAACACACTAGTGTGTAAATAACAACAGATAAGAAAAATATTAATGCTATCAGGAAACCAGGCAGTTTCAATACCTTTAATGAACAAAAGAAGAAAAAAATCCTCCACATTAATTTCCCTGGCAAATATTGGTGCTGCATTGTAATTCTGACACTTTCAATGAAGGAAGAAGAAGGAATTGGTATCTATTGTATGTGTCTGCAATTCTGTGCTATATTGCAAACATCTCATATATACTTCCTAAGAACCCAATAAAGTAAGCTATATAATTTCCTCCAGCTCTGAACTTCAATGGTTGTTTTATCAATGGAGTCTAGGAAACTTTTCTGTCTGGGCTGGCTTGAACCACAATTTCCAGATCTCAGCCTCTTAATTAGCTAAGATTACAGACAAAAGCCACCAGTGTCCAGCTCAGTCTCCTTTTGACCCTCTTATTGACAAGGAATCTGGGGGAATTCTGGATTCTCTAACTGATAAGACATTTTTCCTGAGGACACTTACTTGGAAGATCAACCACATGCCTCATTCCCCAAGAACCACTAAAACAGTAACTAGAAATAGAAAGGTGTCAAACCCCATAGTGAAACAAATCAGAAAAGGAAAGAAGAGCAGAAGAAACTAACAACATGTAGAAATAAGAAGGCAAATGGAAGAGGGGGTTAAGATACAGAAGAAAAGCCAAAGGTCAGGCTAAGCTTAAAAAAGAATTCAAAAAGGGAACGATGGCCTCAGTAGATGAATGAATCAAGAAAATGTGATATATATATATAATGGAATTCTATGCCTCTATCAGAAAGAATGACATTGCCCCATTTGTTAGGAAATGAAAGACTTGGAAAAAATTATATTAAGTGAAGTAAGCCAGGCCCAAAGAAACATATGTCCCATGGTTTCCCTTATTTGCAATAACTAGTATATGTCTAGGACAAGCAGAAAAGGTCATAAAGCTATATACAGATGACCATATAAGATGATGCTAAGAGAAATGAACCCCAAGATAGGGACATAGCAGGCTTTTTTTCTTGCTTGCTATTGTTTTTAACGTATTTATAATGTACTATGTGATTTTTTTTGTTTCTTTAGCATGTTGTTCCCCCACCCGTTTTCACTGTATTTGATTCCAGTGACCTGCATCTTTTTTTTTTCTTTCTTTCTTTTTTTTTTTGGTGGTCATGGGTCTTGAACTCTGGGCCTAGGCGTTATCCCTCAGCTCTTCAGCTCAAGCCGAGCACAGCTCAAGCACTCAAGGCTTGAGCCACAGCACCACTTCCAGTCTTCCAGTGGTTTATTGGAGATAAGAGTCTCAAGGACTTAGCCAGGCACTGGTGGCTCACGCCTGTAATCCTAGCTACTCAGGAGGCTGAGAGCTGAGGATCACGGTTCAAAGCCAGCCCGGGCAGGAATGTCCATGAAACTCTTATCTCCAATAAACCACCAGAAAGCCAAAAGTGGCTCTGTGGCTCAAGTGGTAGAGTGCTCGCTTGAGCTGAAGAGCTCAGGGACAGAACCTTGGGCCAGAGTTCAAGACCCATGACTGACAAAAAAAATAAAAGTCTCACAGACTTTGCTGCCCGGGTTGGCTTTGAACTGTGATCCTCAGATCTCAGCCTCCTGAGTAGCTAGGATTACAGGCATGAGCCACTGGCACCTAGCATAGATGAGGACACATGGAAAACAGATTTTTTTTGGAGGGGCGGGGGGGAGGTCAGTCATGGGCCTGAACTCTGGGCCTGGTTGCTGTCTATCCCTCAGCTCTTCAGCTCAAGGCAACAGCTCTTCAGCTCAAGCTACAACACCACGTCCTGCTTTTCCTGCTTATGTGGTGCTGAGGAATTGAACCCAGGTCCTCATGCATGCAAGGCAAGCACTCTACCACTGAGCCACCTTCCCAGACTCCTGCATCTTGTATATACATATTTCTAATTTGGGGAGGGGAAAGGAAATAACAAAATGTTTAAATAAGGATACAGGTTGACAGATGTACAAGACACTATATTGAAAATGAACTTTACAACTTGGGGGGGGGGGAGGAGAGGGAGGGATGGCAGGGAAAAAACAAAGGAGGAGGTAACAATGCTCCATAGGAAATGTACTCATCACCTTACTCATGTAACTATAAGCCCTCTGCACTATACTTTTACAATAAAAACGTATAAAAAATGGGGGACAATGAGTTTCTTTATAGAACCCCCACAAACCTCTTAAGTACAAGATGCAGAATTAAAAAATAAGCAGATTTGTTAAGGTACAACTTTGAATAATGAAAATGCTAACAAATTTTCTTCATCACTACAGCCAGGCAACTCCTTCTTTATGTCATCAGAAGATTGATGGTTTGTGGGTTCAAGGAAATGGAAGATATGGGTACCAAGGTTGACAGTGTGGATTTTAAATATCAAGAATCATTTCATGTTCCCATAGTGATTAGCAAAATTTTCATCATTCTCTTTCGTTTGTTTGTCACAGTGCTGGCAGCCAAGTCCAATCCTTTCCTCCATTTAGAGAATTCTGCTCTTTAGGCTTCAAAACAACCAGCCTGCCTTACAGAAGAGATGCACATCTGTACCAATGGTTGAAGATCATCCCAGGGAAGAGTGGCTTGTCATCTAGTCACTGTCACCTGGTCACCGAAAGGGAAGCGTTATAGGTGACAGGCAAGCTCTTGCGATGTGAATATTTTAGTGTCTCATTCTCACATAGAAATGGACAGCCGAACAATAAAAAAAAAAAAAAAGGAAGGAAATGGACAGCCAAACTTTACAACTTTGGTGGGGGGGGTGGGGAACGGGGAAGATTGGGTGGGGGGGGCAGGGGGAGGATGGGAAGGGATGGGAAGGGGAAACAAAGGAGGAGGCTACAATGCTTGATAAGAAATGTACTCATTATCTTGCCCATGTAATTGTAATGCCTCTGTACAGTATTTTCACAATAAAAAAAAAAAGAAATCGACAGCAAGAGGCTGAGACCTTAAAGAAACTTTCTTATGGAAGATGGAGATCGTTCACAGACAAGAGAACTCAGCTGATTTAGAAAATATTGATTCAAACTCTAAAATAAAGGACTCACCTTCAGTCAAGAAAGTAGATATAAGAACAACGAACTATTGTAATGAATATCTATAAAACCAGGAAAAGTTTCCAGAAGTTAAAAATGTGCTAGTACTTTAAATAAAATTAAGAAAAAAATCTCAGTAATTAGAAGAGAAAATATATGAAAAGATTATAAAATTAGGCAACTGTACCAAAGGAAAAAAAAACTATTAAGACATTTTAGAAAGAGAAGAAACCATAAACAATTTGAAATGACCAAAGAAATAATACAAGAATGTCTTCCAAAATGTCTACTACCAAGTAGAAAGAATATGCTGAATACATAATATAATGACTTTTTTAAGTTCCTAAGTTCTAAAGTCTCAATAATATTTCAGAACACTAGAGCTAAGAACAGAATCTTACAGTTTACCAATGAAAAGGGAAATGGAGAAAAATTACATTAAAAACCTTGAGTTTTTTTCTTTTTTGGAGACAGGCTTTCCCTTAGTACTCCAGGCTGGCCCTGAACTAGTGTTCTTCCTGCCTCTGCCTCAATCAACCTCCTGAGTATTGGCATTATATACATGCATCACTATCCTCAGCTTGGAAATCTTTTTTTTTTCGGGGGGTGGGGGCAGTCGTGGGGCCTGAACTCTGGGTCTGGGCGCTGTCCCTCAGCTCTTCAGCTCAAGGCTAGTGCTCTACCACTTGAGCCACAGCGCCATTTCCAGCTTTTTTCTTATTGCTTATGTGGTGCTGAGGAATCGAACCCAGGGCCTCATGCATGCAAGGCAAGCACTCTACCACTTAGCCACCTTCCCAGCCCCTGGAAATCTTATCTAAGTCATTTTCCACAGTAAGCCAAGAAGTGCCTACTAGCAAGAATACACAATTTTAAAAAAAAGCAAGACAAAGCAGAAAAAAAATAAAAAATCAAGGTATAGAAAGATCAACCAACCCAGAAAGATGCAGACAAATATCTTAAGATGAACAGAGTTTCCTATATCATAGAACAAATGCAAAGACCAATCTTGGGTTGTGTAGGTTTGATACTGAGAGACACAGAAGGAGATACTCTGGTGGTTTTTAAAAGCAGAAATTTGTAGCAGAAGGGAGAAACAAAAACTTTTGCACCACAGAAGAGAAACAAGAAACGTCCATCGTCAGCCCCAAACCACTCAAGGTGCAGGCAATCTAAGGAGATGCTGACAGTCCCACTGAGGGGAAACAATGTCAGGACCAATCAAAAGAGATGAGAAGAGACACCAGGTAGAAACAGAAATCATGCTACACTGGTGGGAGTTTTTATGAAGCTTTGAGTTCTGTTTCCTAGAACAACTCACAGAACTGAGGAAAACAGTTTCCTGACTAGGTTATTGACTTATTATAAAGGCTAAAACCAAAGAAGAGCCAGATAGAAGAGAGCAATGCACAGAGCATGGGATGGCAGGAAGGTTGGGGTGAAGAGCTTTGTGCATCAGCCTGAAAGCTCTGTACAGATCCAGGGAGCTCTGAGGTTTTTATGGGGGCTTTGTTATGTATGGTGGCTGATTAAAACATTTTTCTTTAGTGATTAACTCTCTCCTCTGGGAGAAGGTGATCAGTTGGGGTAAGGTAGGTAACACTTAAAACCCTTCAGTCACATAGTTGACTTATCGACAACCAGCCCCATCTAGGAACTGCCAATTGTCTTATCAGGATATGCAAGACATTCCACATCAAACATATATATTTGACAGCTTAACCAAACCAAAAGTTCCCTATAATATAAATGGTATTACCTCACAATTAGACAATTCATGGGGAAATCTCTGTTATCCCAAAGACTGGCACAGCTTCAAAAAAAAACTTCCAGGTTGTACAGAAACAGAAAGTTCCATAGAACTCTACTAAGTCAGATCATTATTAGTCTGTATGTATAATTATTTTCATGTAAACCAGTATGATTTTTTTGTGCCAATCCTAAGGCTTGAACTCAGGGCCTGGGCACTGTCCCTGAGATTCTTTTTCTCAAGGCCAGCACTCTATGACTTGAACTACAGAGACACTTCTGGCTTTTTCTGAGTAATTTATTGGAGATAAGAGTCTCACAGACTTGCCTGCCCGGGCTGGCTTCAACCCATGACCCTCAGATCTCAGGTAGCTAGGATTACAGGCATGAACTGCCAACACCCAGCTCCAGTATGGTTTTTTAATTGACATTAATTAATTAATTAATTGCCTCTTATTCATAACGGCCCCTCTACATTGTCTCTTCCCTATTCTCATTTCCCAAACAAGCCTCATCATGTGGCTTTCATTTTTAATATATGTATATAAAATATTGTGTTGACATTAGCTCCCTTCCTTTTCCTCATTAGTCTGCCCTCTCACTAATATCTACACTTCTGATAAGAAATATTTCAACTTCCTAATATTCTTTCTTGTTAAAATTCATGTTTATTGTTCTAAAAGGGTTTCTTCCACTAGGATGATGTTCATAGTAAAATGAGTCACTCAGGGGCCATTCAAAGCAAGATTTCGTGGGAGTCTTACTATAACTGATAGAGAAAAACTGAATAGACTATCCATAACATCAAATTGTACTTAGCAATTTTCGAATTTATGTTTCTTTTGTGAAGTATTTTATGACAGTCATCTTACTTCTCTGAGGAGTAGAAGCACTTTACATTGTCATCACATAAGATAGCAGACTTACCAGTTGTATTGTTCTGGAAACTTCCTTGCATATTCACATATCGGACTGCTTCACAAGTAATCCTGAGGAAATGTAGGAAGGTTTGCCAGTAGGGTATTAGTTCCAGGTATATTTGGGCTTTTTCAAATATGTGAAATACTCTGCAATCAGAAAGAATCCAGAAGAAATTAAACATACTAATTATTTTTCCAAATGACAAATATGTATGGCAGTCCACATATGAATGACATTAGAATAGTGGAAATAGTTTACTCCATATATGATTTTTTATGAAGCCTGAACCCTGACTTAAAAAATGACTTAAAACGCCAGACACTGGTGGCTCACATCTGTAATCCTAGCTACTCAGGAGGCTAAGATCTGAGGATTGCGGTTCAAAGCCAGCCTGGGCACGAAAGACTGTGAGACTCTTATCTTCAATAAACCGCTCAAAAAACCGGAAGTGGTACTATAGTTCAAGTCGTAGAGTGCTAGCCTTGAGCTGAAGAGCTGAGGGACAGTGCTCAGGCCCAGCGTTCAAGCCCCATGACCCACAAAAAGAAAAAGAAAAAAAAAAAGACTTAAAACCATTTTTGGCAATGCATATAGTATAGGAAAGAGTAAATCAAAGCCAGACACTGGTGACTCAGGAGAGTGAAATCTGGAAATCATGGTTCAAAGCCAGAGTAGGCAGGAAAGTCTATAAGACTCTTATTTCCAACAAACAACCAAAAATTCCAGAAGCAGAATTATAGTTTAAGTGGGAGAGCATTAACCTTGAGCAAAAAACAAGCTTAGGAACAGCATCTAGGCCTAAGTTTAAAATCCAGGATGGCACCAAAAAAGAAAAAAAAAAAGAGGAAATCAGGAGTTAGGAAAGAAGAAAATAAAGACTATAATATAGAATTAATTTTGAGGCCAAGAAAAATATATTCTCTACTGTGTGTGTGTGTGTGTGTGTGTGTGTGTGTGTGTGTGTGTTACCATGAACTTCCTAACAGCCAAGGGAAGTGGAAATTGATCACACATATAATATGTATATGCTACAAAATATACACAAGGTAAAATTTCTGGTGTCAAAGAGATGGCCCCGTCTGGCACTAGAAATCCTAATTACTCAGGAAGCTGAAACTTAGAAAACTACTGAAGGGCAAAAAAAGTCTGTGAGACTAGCAAAATGCTGGAATGGAGGCATAGCTTAAGTGATAAGAGTGTCAGCCATAAGCAAGAAAGCCAAGTAAGAACACAAGGCCCAGAGATCAAGCCTCCATACCAGCACACAAAAACAGAACTTATTACCAGCTATGTGAAAACTGAATATGTGAGATTAACAAGAATTTCAATCATTGGTAGCTTGGACTAAACTAAATTTTTTGTGAAAGATTAAGCCAATAGTTAAGCTTAATGGAAGTGCTTAATATGTTATAGTTGTAGATGTTTTATAATAACACCAATAGGTTAATCCCTTTAAAGTAAATTAAGTGATTTTCTAATAGATATTCAATAAATATTCTATTTATTAGAAACCAAATGTATTATGTGACCCATCTTTGAGTAGCACGGGTCAATTGAAATCATGTTGATAACCAAGTGTTGAGCAGCTTTCCATCCCCCACATACTCACACTGTGGAGACAAGTTGATGCTCACAGCTACCCCAAGAGATACCGTCCACACTTGAAGCATCAGCACGTGGTGATTGGAAGAGCCGAGAACAGGAAAGGCTCACTTCTGACAGCAGCATCTCAAGTTCCTTCCAGCCCAACCTCCCTTCAGGTACTGTGGCTGAAGTATTTGTGTGCCCAGTAATGACCTCTTGCAGAATATGATCCTTAATTGAAAAAAGAAAATGTCCCTTATAAAACATTAAGTCATTCAAATATGGGTACTTGAGATCTAGCTTATCTAGTCTCACTTTCCAAGGCGTCCAAGTCAACTGTCAGATATCCTGTAGGAAGATGGTCCTCTAAGGCATAGGTCTAGGTTTCAATTTTTTTGTGTGCTGGTCCTGAGGTTTGAACTCAGGGCCTGAGTACTGTCTCCAAGATTTTGTACTGAAGGCTAGCACTCTATCACTTTGAGCCAGAGCTTCAATTCCAGGTTTCAGTAGCTAATTGGAGATTAGAGTCTCACAGACTTTCCTGTCTGGGCTGGCTTTGAACCATGATTCTCATTTCTCAGCCTCCTAAGTGGTGAGGATTACAGGTGTGAGCCACCAGCACCTGGGTAGATTTGAATTTTATCATGTTCCAAGTTACGCCTTCAAACTGAAAATTTACCCAATAACAAACTAACTTATCTCACATTCCACTTAATGGTGTCTTTTATTGGTTGAGACCTCAGTGGCACAGCCATGTGAGTTCCTTGTCTCCCCAAATAGTCCCAATGAACTAGACCTAAAACTTACACTGTGGTAAACCCCTCTCAGAATGCATCCAGGCTGGGGGGTTGGGAAGTTGGCTCAGTGGTAGAGCGCTTGCCTTGCATGCCTGAGGCCCTGGGTTAGATTCCTCAGCACCACATAAGCAAAAAAGAAAAAAGCCGGAAGTGGCACTGTGGCTCAAGTGGTAGAGTGCTAGCCTTGAGCTGAAGAGCTGAGGGATAGCTCCCACACCCAGAGTTCAGGCCCCACGACCGGACCCAAAAAAAAAAAAAGAATGCATCCAGGCTGGTTGACTTGCACTTACTCATTAAATGCAGCAAAAGTGAACTTGTGCCAATTCTAGGCCTACCCTTTCTGAGCAGTGGTGACAGACTTTACATGTTGCGCTTCTTTCTCATATCTGAGATTCCTGGATGGTCATATAAGAAATCCAGCTACCTGGCTGAGGGACCATCTGAAACTCTGAGACTAGATTAGAAAGGGGAGTTTCTGATCCCTAGGATTCCAGTTAAGCATCCAAGCAACAGTCCCTCTGGCCAGTCTTATGAACAGCACCTATAAGGCCATCAGAAGAACCACTTTGCTGACCCATGGACACTTAGAATCATAAGAGTCAAAAGAAGGTGTTTTGTTTTCCATCACTGAGCTCTGGGGTCTTTTGTTAGAACACATCCCCTAAGCACCATCAGAAAAGCCATCTCATATGTAAGTGACCTAGAAACCCCAAACTCCATGCAGGCTAGGAGTTGAGTTCTATAGATAAACAGAAATTGAGAAGGGTCTTTTTAACAGGAAAGAGCTTATATCCACAAGCAAAAGTAGATTTGCTTGCTTTCGTGACTTCAAGTACACTTCTGGGGGGGATCTGTCTAGCATCCTTTCCAGAATTATATTGCTTCTAAATTATATACTTTACTTAAGGTTCATAAACTTCTTTGTGATAGAATTTCAAATGTTGCACTCTAATGCATTCATGTCTTCTGCTCTAATTAGTCAGGAGAACATCTACGTGTTTCCATTTCCTTTGACATGCATTATCAGAGAAGATGCTACAAGTCCTTGACCTGACTGAATTATGCACACATTACTGTATCAATTTTCATTTTTCTATGACATCATTTACCTTTTATTAATTTCATTATTTTGTTTTATTTCATAGTTTATGCAGAAAGTGTTCTTTTTTTTTTTTTTTTTGGTCAGTCATGGGGCTTGAACTCTGGGCCTAGATGCTGTCCCTCAGTTCTTCAGCTCAAGGCAAATGCTCTACCACTTGAGCCACAGTGCCACTTCCAGGTTTCTGGTGGTTTCTTGGAGATAAAAGTCTCATGGACTTTCTTGTCTGGGCTGGTTTTGAACCACATTTCTCAGATCTCAGACTCCTGAGTAGCTAGGGTTACAGGCATGAGCCACTGGAGCCCAGCTAGAAAGTGTTTATTTTAAATAGGTAACTCTGAGAGAAAAACATGATTATGATATTTACTTCTGGATCTAAAAGAATGAAGGCTAGTCTAGAACATAATGTTCTTTCAGAATAGACAACTACTCTTCACTCACATGTGAGCATTTGATAAATTCAGCCCAGTTCCTGGGTGGTAGGCAAAACATGTTTTTCATAGTCTATGATCAGTAGAAGCCATAGCTTTGCTACAAATTGATCAATCACCAAACCCATCACCCTATTTTCCCTCAAATGCCACTAGAAACTGGAGCATGCTAGAGACCAGAAAACCAGAGAGGCAGAAGTAAGTGCTTTGAAATTTGGACTATGGCTGGGTGCAGGTGGCTCACACCTGTAATCCTATCTACTCAGGAGGCTGAGATCTGAGAGTCAGAGTTCAAAGCCAAGCCTAGGCAAGAAAGTCCCTGAGACTCTTATCTCCAATTCATCACCAGAAAACCAGAAGTGGAGCTGTAGCTCAAAGTGGTAGAGTACTAGACTTGGGGAAAGAGGCTCAGGGACAGTGCCCAGCTCCTGAGTTCAAGCCCCACAACCAACAAAAAAAAAAAAAAAAGGAAGTTTGTGGTATATATGAGTGTCAGGCAGGCAGGTCTTGGCCAGGTAGATGACAGATTCACTCCCAAGCAATTAGACCAAGGGATGAAATTAAAGGACAGCCATGATTCCATTTGTCAGAGGCACAGACTCACGTGACCCCCCTCCTGAGGACTCCTGTGCTATTCGAGGTTATATGTGCTGGAAAGCGAGGAGAAAATTTCTCCATAGTGCTGGCAACAATCAGGGCACCTAGCCAGCTGCAGCTCCGGCGGGAAGGAGAAAAATCCTTCCTAGTCTGGGCAAAAGTTTGGGCGCCCTGGCCACGACCTAGGGGAAAGCACCTGGTTGTGCCCTTCATGCCCCTTCCTAATGGTGCCATAAACACATAAACAACCCCTCGACACTTCTCCTATGTGTAAAACATTTGTGCCTTGTATATCTCTTGTTATCTTTTGGACTCATATATTTCTTGTAACCTTTTGGCCTTGCATATCTCCTTCTGTAACCTTCTGGCCACATATATCTCCTGTAAACTTTTGCTCTTGGGAAACTGTGGCATGCTCACCAACTAAGATTTACTTTCTTTGTGTGTATGCCATACATAAGTAAGTAGAGCTAACCAATAAACTTTTGTCTATACCTGCATGCTGTGGTTCACTCTCTGCCTACCAGACACTGTGGTCCCACGTCTGGCTGAGGAATCAGCAATACCTCTTAACCACTTTCTTTGAACTATATAGGCTGATGTCAACTTCTGTGTCAAAATTATAGTTTCAAGTGTTAGCATCTTCAGTGAATTTAACTTGAATCATGAGTGTAACTGGTACTCTTGGAAGAGATCTAATGGTGGAATACTTACAGCATCCTCTACTGCAGCAAGCAACTTGTTTAAAACACTGGTCTCATTGACAGAATGGTGACACAACAATCTCCAGAGGTCTCCCAAGATGCTAAAGTTCCCAGAAGTCAGGAGAGCTTCTTCGGAGGAGTGCACATTGAGACAGGTAGCAGTAGCATTCTTTGTCAGCAGCTAAAAGGTTAATGACAATGGAAAGGGGTAAGTAACATTTCAAGAGGCTTAGTTGTATGCATTCTAAGCTACCTGTAGAACTAAACAGTGGAAATGTTACAATGGAAGCAAAGTTCTTTTTAAAAGCTGGCCTAATGTTCACTTTATTTTGCTAGCAAACTCATCATAAGCAACCTTGAATATTGGATGAGCTTCTTGAATGTTTGATGAAGATGGCTTAAGTATAATTCTCAGCTGTAGTTTACCTGCTTTAACTCCCCAAAGAACTCATCCTTTTTAAGTTTCCATCTGTCTGGTCCACCCTGTACAGAATCGTTTGCTGAAGTCTCCAGGGAAGTAAGGATTTCTGCAAGAACAATAATTTGACTCATTACTCACCAAAGTTAAGATTCTTCTAAAACTTGACTTTGATGCATGGCATGAATCATTAACTTGAATTCTTAGGCATTTCAATGAACTTGTTATCATACATTTCCTTGTCTTTCTCAGAAAGCAAAATGGGGGAAGTCATGGTAGTACCATTTCTCCCTTTCTGAAGACTCTTTAGGAGGGGTTTTTAATTAAGAGGTTTTTTCCTAAAACAACCAATCTTATTTTTCTTCTCCTAAGAAGATGAAAAGACTATGGTCCACTTAGTCAAAAGTGCCAGGCATAGTGTCTCATGCTGATAATCTTAGCTATTCAGGAGGCTGAGATCTGAGCATCTCAGTTCAAAGCTAGGCCATGCAGGAAAAGCCATGAGAATCTCATCTCCAATTAATCACCAAAAGACCAGAAGTGAAACTGTGGCTTAAGTAACAGATAAGTAGCCTTGAGCACAAAAGCTCCAGAACTGGCCAGTTCAAGCTCCAGAACTGGCCAAAAACACTTTTAAGGCATATCTGACTTCCACAGAGGAGGAAAGAAACAACACCCACCAGAATCAATGTAAGTTCAGAGAAGAGCTTTCTGCATACCCAGGAGGAACCCAATTCTCTGCCTCAAGTCCTCTGAGGTACAGAGGAACCAGAACTTAGCGATTCATTTGGATCTTTTCAGCTTAGGAATCCTTGGTACTATGTGTCCATGCATATGTTAAACCACATAACCCAGCCCAGACTGCAAATTCTGGTAAGGATCCATCTGGAGATGCCCTCACTGTCAGCAATGACACCAGAGTAAAGCATAAACAGTCACACAGCTCCAGCATGACTTAGCTCCAGATTTTGTAACGCCGTCAGATCGTGGCAAGACCATACACCAACAAATGTCACGTCAAATGGGTGACAAATGACAGCAGATCTGTATACCTTGGACAAAATGGAAATCCTGGGCCATGGCATTTCTGACAGCATCATCCAGCTGCTGCAGTCTCTGTACACGTGGCCACGGGGGTAGGTTGTGCAGTATAGTCTGAAATATCTGCAGATGGTGAAATCTGAGGACAAACATGCATTAAGGAAAGGAAATGCAAGGTTGTTCAATGAGCCAACTAGGGACATGAGCTCCCATGCAAAAGAAATACTCTACTTCTTCAGGCACTGTGTTCATAGAGTGAATGCCTCTCTTCACCTTCTAACCAGGTACTTGACACATTACATTGTTTCAATCTGCTGACTAGAGGTTCTTTTGCATAATGGCTATAGGTCGTACATACTCTTTATCCTGGAGCAAGAAATTATTCCCCAAATAATAGGTAAGGGACACAGGGTAAAATTTAAAGGGGGGCTGTCCCCAGGGGAAGATGATTCTGTGTGTCATGGAACCTAGATGGGGGTCTGACAAGGGCATCAAATGTTCCTATCTGTGAGTGGTGTATGTATTCAATGGTCAAACCTTGCTGGAGTATTCAGAGATTTCCTGTTGTGTCTTTGGCTCACCAGCATCTGCACACCCCCGACCCAGAGCATAATCCAAAAGCTTCCATGGCTCAAGTTACCTGATGAAAGCAACTTGAGCAAGAACAGATAAAATCTAAAGAAGGTGAAAAGGTTTGTAGAGACACCAAGTCCTTCAGAGTAAACAGGGTGGCAATGCTTTCATTTGTTTTGGTTGAAATTATCCTTTGAAATATAAAAGAATGTGAGTAATTGGCTACAGACACAGGGTGGGAAAGAAGGGTATGACTTCCTGGGCCAGAACATTGATTTAAAAAAAAAGATTTCCTGCTAAGTATGAGTGAGAATTTAAAAAAAAAAAAAACTTGGACACTAGTAACTGCTTGATTTAAATTGGAGAAAGGGAGTATCTAACAGAACTCATCCTTTGTATGAAAGGATGTTCAGACATTGTTGTCACAATTATCCAAAAGTAATGAGTAAACCAACTTTAGAATCTCTGAGACAGAGTGGCCAGCTGAAGCAAGAAAGTCCATAAGACTCTTATCTCCATTAAACTACAGAAAGCCAGAAGTAGATCTGTGGCTCAAGTGATAGAGCACTAGCCTTGAGCACAAAAACTCAGAGACAGAGCCCAGGCCCAGAGTCCAAGCCCCATCAGTGGCAAAGATTAATTAATTTAAATAAATTTTGAAATCTGTGGATCACCCCAGATATGGTCACTCCAATACCCCTATAAAACAATACGACAGCAGGAGTGATCCTCACATTCATCCTAAGGTAAATTTGTTGTAGTTTTATTATTTTTTTTAATTTAATTTTATTTTTTTTTGAACATACTGTACAGAGGGGTTACAATTACATGGGCAGGATAATGCATACATTTCTTCTCAAGCATTGCAGCCTCCTCCTTTGTTTACCCTTCACATCCCTTCCCTACCTCCTACCGCCCAACCACCCAATCCTCCCCCTTTCCCCCCCCTCCCGCACCAACGTTGTAAAGCTCATTTTCGACATGACCTTGTACTTCTCATTGTTGCAACAGGTCCACCTGTATCCTTAAACGACTTGTTTTTCCCCATCTCCTCCACAAGTTATACTGACATCAAATATAGTGAAAGCAGGGGGTTATACTGTGGGGGAGGGACATTAGTTTTATTATTTTTAATTTTATAAATGAGTTCTAGTTTCCACATATGAAAGAGAACATGTATCCTTTGTCTTTCTGGGCCTGATTTATTTCACTTAACATCATTTTTTTCCAGGACCATCTATTCCTTTGAAAATGATGTAATATCATTCTTCTTAATGGATAAATTTCCATTGTGTATATATACCACATTTTCTTGATTCATTTGTCCACTAAGGGGCATCTGGGCTGTTTCATACCTTGGCTATAGTTTTTAAATGAGAAAACAGGGAGTTCTTTACATGAAAGGAACTTAAAATGTGTGCACTCATTTTAGAACATGTGCTGGCACTTTCTCACATACTAGCAGTCTTCCCACTAGATTACATTTTCTATTTGAGATAAGATCATTCGTGTTAGCCAGGCGGGTCTTGAACTCCATAGATCAAGATATCCTCCCCGAGCTCCAGATATCCTCCCTGAGCTCCAGAGAACCTTCCATGTAAGCCTCTCAAGTGCTGGGATTACAAGCAGGTGTCACCACTTCTTCAACATGGCAGTCACGTCCAGATTGCCCCAGAGGTCTACCCCAGTAACACTCTACAATACGGTGTTGGCTTTCTCATTTGCTAACTAGGAATACGTTGTCTAACTATAGTTTTGCAGAAATTGTTTATACAGTATCATGCATTCTAGAAAATTCAGTGTTGTCTAACATAGTCAACAACAGAAGGAGGGAGATGTGTCTTACAGGTGTGGAGACAGATGGCTGTCTTCGGAGTCAGTAGCTGCCAAGCTGTCACTCAGGAGAAGCAGTGCCGTGTGCAAGGCTCTGACCACCTTCTCTGGCTCACTCTCTTCTTCAAACTGGTCCAGGAGGTCCTCCAGACTGTGTCTGATGCCTGTGAGCATCTTCTGAAGCAGGTCACCCTGCAGCCACTGGTCAAACACCTGCATATTTCGCAATTAAAATGATACTACTAGTACCACTAGTATCTGAAATATTGTACTTTGTTTAAAAATAGTAACAGGTCATTCTAGGTGATAACAAATTTTTACTTGGCAAATTCAAATGTGTGCTAACAATTGCATGATGACTACTTTGAACTTGAAGAATACATTGGCAGCAATGGATAGATACAGCTTCTTAATGAACCCCACAGTTCTTTCTTTCCAATTCCCAAAAAAGGAAAAGGAGGGAGAAGACAACAGCATAACGAAAAGTAATGTAAGTTGAAAAGTAACATGTTTAAGATACCTTAAATGTAGTAATATACCTTAAAATACATGATATCCTAAGTATATAATGACTGGATACAACTTTCTGATAGAGCTTCAAGAAGATAATTAGATCCTGAAGACAATTAGAATTGATGTTCAGCATCCTCATTATATCAAAATAGATCTTTTGTGTCCAACTGAATAGTGAGAAGACATGGATGATGCACATCATATGTGCAATTGTGTATTTAAGTCACTCAGAGAATGCACAAAGCATTTGCCTGCTTTGATGTTGATCATTTCAATTCAGTTCTTAGATCATGTTAGTGCTAGATAACCTCTAGCAAGTGAAAACCATACCTATGTTTATTAATCATTAAAGATTTTTAACGCCCATTAGTGCATATACAAGGGGAGATAAAAAGCTTTAGAAAAGTTCATTCTTTGAAGGGCAACATGAAAAAAAGGAATGCAATGCCTGACAAAGAGAATGGGAGAAGGCTGTGTGGGAGGGATCTGTGTAGTCTCTGTGCTGGCAAAGACCACTGAGGGCATCCATGGTCATCAACTATCCAAAGACCAGGGTACCTTGTGGCAATCAACATTTCTGACACAAGCCAGAGCTTCCTACCTCACTGTTTGCCTTTAAGCCCCGATCACTGTTTTTGCACAGCCATTCCAGACAAAATGTGAAAAAAGGCACAAGGCAATTTGAATGTTTGTACACAAACATCCATGGAGCTTTTCAAAGTAGCCCTGGAATAGTATCATGTGCAAATATAACCGCATGAGTCCAGGGATCTCAGCTGTCTGTCTGCCTAGAATGGACTTTTCGGTGATTTTACTAAGGGCCTGCTGATCTGCCTGTAAACATACATAAGGGAAAGCAGCCAGGCACCGGTGGCTCATGCCTGTAATCCTAGTTACTCAGGAGGCTGAGATCTGAGGATCGAGGTTCAAAGCCAGCCCAGGCAGGAAAGTCCGTGAAACTGGTATCTTCAATAAACCACTAGAAAACCAGAAGTGGCGCTGTGGCTCAAGCGGTAGAGCACTCGCCTTGAGCTATAGAGTGCAAGGACAGCACCCAAGCCCAGAGTTCAAGCTCATAACCAACAAAGAGAGAGAGAGAGAAAGCACACAAAACAGCAGGGATATGGGGTCTCAAAGGCTTTCCACAGATGGCCAATGACAAGGAGGGGAAAGAAACTGATCAGAACATTGCAGACAGGCAGGCTCTAGGATTGAGCATCCACACAGAAGACAGCACCTCTTTAAAGAGTTGCAACCAGCTGATTGCATGGATGAGATAGTTTTTAGCTTCTAACCACTCAGGCTGACAGTCTCCACCATGACCTTTGGTCTCAGCTTCATCCTCAGAAGTGCTGGACAAGGCTGAGCACACCACTCTCTCTAAGAAACCATAGGTTGGAATCTGGCAACAACATGGAGGAAAAAGGTTAGAAGTCATTTTTTCTAGAATGTTCCACTTCTAAAAACAACACCATAATCTTGCTGAAGTAAAAGCTCTTCTATTTGCCTGATTGAAGGAGTAGCAGGTGATAAAGTTCCTCTTATAATGTCTCTGTCACTTACCCTGGGGGGGAAATTTCTGTAGTTAAGAAAGAAAATTGATTTCTATGTCTCAAGATTGGCCACAAGCTTTGGGCACAGCTGTTTCTCCGGGAGGAAGACATGGAGAAGATGCAAGCATTGTCCATGTTCACTCTCCCTTGCAATGCAATTATGGGACAATTCAGCTTCATTGATACTTTGGTTGGACAAAGGTGCTGTGGAAAGAACATTCTCTTTTCTAATTACCATCTGTTATTTAGCCTAAAATGGTGTCTGCCTCCTGTTTCTTTGCAAAATCCAGTGCTCAACTACAAAATTTAACCTAGTTTTTCTCCTGTTTTTCTGTGTTTTCTTAGATTAAATTGTAGGTCTAGCTACTGATCCTAGAAGATTGTAGTGAAAATTACTTTTATTTCATAAAAGAATCTCTGGTTAAACCTCCCAAAGGAATGCAGACTGGCAGTCACCTTAGTTTTAGCCCAGGAAGACTCATTTCAGATTTACAATTCCTGGAACTATATAATAGTCAACTTAGGTTCACTCATGCCCTACATTGATGGTAGTTGTTACAGCAGCAATAGGCAACTCATACATATAATTTACAATATCCATGAAGCTTCCTGGACAACATGATTCTGGTCTTCCATGGACACATAATGTGGTTTCTCCTATTTTCCTTTTAATACTAATCTCAAAATATTTACCATCCTAAGATAAAAGTCTTATATAGTCTAACTATATTTTAAAATTTGGGCCACAGAAAGGAGAGAATTAGAGTCAAAGTCAGTGAACCAGGGTTTCATAACTCATCTACAACATTCATAAAGCATATTATCTCATGTCTCTTCCTCCACTTCCTCCTCCTCTTCTCATCCTCCTCTTCTTCCTCCTCTTCTTCCTCCTTCTTCAGCACTAATGCCATCCTGGGAACCTCATTGTCATGACTTCATCTAGTCATAATTATCTCCCAAAGGCACTGCCTTCCAATATTATTAACATAAGAATTCATACTCATAGCAAGTGTTATCAGTGAAGGGTTTACGCAAGGTCTTGAGAACTCATAGAAAAGTGAGGAAAGGATGTTCTAGTATGTATTAAGAGCCCCCAAGAGGAGATTCTGGGTCTCTTCTAAACATTTATACTTTCATCTTGATAGAAGAACTGTACAAGAAAACCCCTCAACATGAAGGTAGGATGAATCACAGCTGCAGGTAGCGCTCTTGTTCCCAGGCCTGAAAAGCAGTAGAATCTCCAAATGGACTGCAGCCATAGAAGATGGCTCATCAGGTGAAAGACTCCAAAAGTCTTAGCAACATCAGTGTGACCTTCATCGCAGGGGACAGTGAATCCAACCCCTTTGTTTCACCTGTTTTGGGAAGTGCTGCTCAACTTTGGCTACCCCAGCTGGACTTTTTGACCTGTACCTCCTACTTCCTGTACCGCACTTGTCTCCTAGCCTGGAATCTCACACCATCCCTGACCTCCTCCCATTGGTTCCCAGTGGTTCAAGTGTCATATCATGTTATTTCTTAACTGTCTTTGTATATTGGGATAAAATGACAAGCAAGAAAAGGACCCTCCTAAAAGATTATATTAAGTGAAATAATCCAGGCCCAAAGAAACATAGGTCCCATGGTTTCCCTTATTTGCAATAACTAGTATGTGTCTGAGACAAGCAGAAAAGGTCAGATAAGATGATGTTAGATGAAATGAACCCCAAGATAAGGACTCAAATGTTTTTGCTTTCATGTGATTGTTTCTAACATACTTATAAGATGATTTCTTTGTTGCATTGTATGTCCCTCCCCCAAGGTATAACCCCTGCTCTCACTGTACTTGATGTTGGTATAATTTGTGGAGAGGAAGGGAAAAAACAAGTTGTTTAAATAGGGATACAGGTGGACCAATTGCAACAATGAGATGTACAAATCATTATGTCGAAAACCGAACTTTAGGGGCTGGGAAGGTGGCTCAGTGGTAGAGCATTTGCCTTGCATGCCTGAGGCCCTGGGTTCAATTCCTCAGCACCACATAAGCAAAAAGAAAAAAGCCGGAAGTGGTGCTGTGGCTCAAGTGGTAGAGCGCTAGCCTTGAGCTGAAGAGCTGAGGGACAGCGCACAGGCCCAGAGTTCAGGCCCCACAACTGGACCCAAAAAAAAAGAAAAGAAAAGAAAAGAAAAATGAACTTTACAGCTTTGGTGGGAGGTGGGAGAAGGGGGAGGGGGAGAGCGAGATGGGAAGGGATGGGAAGGGGTCAAAGAAAGGAGGAGGCAACAATGCTTGATAAGAAATGTACTCATTATCTTGCCCATGTAATTGTAACTCCTCTGTACGGTATTTGCACAATTAAAAAAAAAAAAAAGAAACTCTTTGTAAGAGTCAAACTATCATGTAAACTTGTGCAAGCAATGGAATCCCTGACTATACTTTTCTAATCTCAAAATGGAGATAATATTATCTATTCCTGTCCATTATTGTATAGATTTTAAGAGTCCATACTACTTAGGATGATGAGTTTACCTACTATTAGAAATAAAAATATTAAATAAAAGTGAAGCAAGAGTTGCTTACAAAATATTCTGCTATAAAACATTTGTAACTGTGAGAGAAAAATAAAAAGATTATGTGACAAAGACCAAAAAAAGGAAAAGAAAGAAAGAAAAGGACCTTCGTAGAAAAGCCAGAGATACAAGGAGTCTGCTGTTTCTAAGACTCAGATTTTAGTAGAAGCCACCTATCTGGCTTCCATCTCCCATTGTCACCTCCCACCTAGTCCCAGTCTCTCCATTCCCATGGAGCAGTGTTTCTAGGATCCTTCAATGATATCAAAACTCCCAGGTATTCAAGTATCCTATACTAAAAAGCATAGTATTTCCATACGGCATACAGACATTCTCCTACATCAATTTATCTCTCAATATTAATATTATATAAATACTTTGTTGTTGCTATGCTATAGTGATTGGGCTTTAAGGACATGGGGAAAGTCTGTACATGTTCATTGCAGATGTGATTTGTTTTTACTAATGTTTTTTTCTCTCTCTCTTCAGTTGGTTGACCCGAGTGTGAAATGCAGAGATTCACAGGTCTGACTATCTATGGTCATTCTCAAGGTGAGATACAAAAGTATGAGAAGCAGGCTCACAGGCATACCTCCTTTAGCTCAGATGAATAATTCAGGATATGTTCCATTTGAAGATCACCAAAACCATATCGGGATTTGAGATCAGATTGGACTTTCTCTGGATCCCAGACTATATTCTGCAGGGAGAGGTGGTAAGCTGACTCTGAAACAACCAATCATTTAGAGTGTAGTTATTTTAATATTTTGACCTATCTAAATTAATTCAGAAAATAATGTCATTTTCACTTCTAATGGGAAAGCAAAAGAAAAACAAATACTATTTGAGCATTAAACAGGAACAATGAAGAAAAGCGATCACAGTGTTTACCCACTGACCTTGGGGATACCTTCCAAGACTACTGGTGAACACCAAAACCATGTATAATACCTAACACTCTGTACACTGTGATTTTTTTTCCCTACACATGCATACCTGTGGTCAAGCTTATTTTATAAGGGAACATAAACTACTACTAATAAAGCAGGACCATGATACAATCTTCTATAAAATTACCCAGCATCACTACCTTTGTATCTTGGAATCATCAAAAAGAAACACAAGAGTTACTTAAACCTAGAACTAGAATACCACAAAGTTGGTCTGATAAGCAAGAGTACTATTAGCTTCTTGCTAATGTCAGGCTGACCATATAGTTTGGATATACTAGATAAAAGAATAATTTTTTCTCAGGGCAAAGTGGAACAGAGAAATGTGAGACTTCCTCTTATTAGTGGGACAGTCATACAATTAGAAACTGACTTATAGTTTATTTCTGAAACGATCATTGTAATATTTTTTGGACTGTAGATGATGATGACTAACTGAAACTACAAAAATCAAAGCCATACTGATGACTGTCCTGGATTCTACAGAGTTTGGTGAGATGTCATGGGCCTCTTAGTATATATGTTACAAATTTTCTGAAAGGTAGTTTGCAAATAATTACAACCATTTTATAAAATTTAAATCAACAAACTCAGTTTTACTTTAGTAAACCTATCTCAAGAAACTTGGATAACTGAATAAAAATTGAACCTACAACCACATGATTGCATTTGTTTTGTATTGTTTAAATATTGAAAACAAGTTAAGCATCAGGGAAAAGGATACATTACAGCGATTTCATAATATAGAATGCTGTACAGACTTTACAAACATATTTCTAAAGATTACATAAAGACAGATAAATTCTTTCAACTGATATCATCAAGGCATGAACACAAAAGCTACTCACATTACTACCTAGAGGTAGTACACCTGAAATACGTCTCATACTTCCAAGATTTGTCTTAATCTCCAAGAAGCATAGCAACTGCAAACATTAAAAGTATGAAATACAAGACAAGCCTTTCTCTGAAAACCTAGCAACCAGATAATTTTAGATTGCGATTCTACAGCCATCCACTGATCACCTACCTGTGCCAACTACTCTTACAGTTTCTAAATTAATGCTGTGAACATTACAGAAAAACATAATCAGAGAATTTGCCATGCAGAAAAGGATGAGGCCAAGGGGACTTCAGGACGATATTTAAGATGGCCCAGAATCCAAAAACGCAGGACTCCTGGCTTCAGTTTAGTTGTATGTGCATAGGGAAATTACTGGTTCTGCTATTAAAATTAGCATTATTGTATGCTAAAGAGGTATCAAGTGCTAAGGTAAGCATTTGCCACACAGCCACCAGCAGCACCACCAGGGAGGTCCTAAAATTACCCTATTTGAAAAAAGAAGAAGCAGTTAGAGATACTAGAAGTGACACTTTTAGCAACACTTTATACTAAGGTGATTTGGTTCCCAAGCCTGAACTGTTAATATTACTCCTCGAAATTAACTAACTTCAGACACTTAGACTACTCTAGAATTATTTAGAGTTCCAAAAAGAATCAGAAAATAAATGGGGATATCAGCCTACAAGTAGTTATGAAAACAATACAAAATCAATCCTTAGAAGAGAACATTGACTCTGAAATTCAGGGTCAGATAACAAAGTGTTCAGAATACAAAAATGAGCAATTTCAATAAATGATATGAGTGAAGTTGTCCAAAGCCACAGGGGCAAACCAGCCCTTTCCCGTTCATGCATGGAAATCTGCTTAAGAGGCAAAAGCATCTTTGTGGAATCAAAAGAATTAAAGACTTTTTGTTTGTTTGTAGGTCATCAAGCTTGAACTCAGGGCCTAGGTACTGCCCCTGAGCTTTTTCACTCAAGGCTAGCATTCTATCACTTTGAGCCACAGCATCACTTCTGGTTTTCTGGTGGATAATTGGAGATAAGAGTCTGCCTAGGCTGACTTTGAACCTTGATCCTCAGATCTCAGACTCTTCAGTAGCTAGGATTTAGGCATGAGCCACCAGCACTGGGAAATAAAGATAAATTTAGCAGTGGCTGTGGTTTCTTTTCATTATGTTCTTAATAGTATGTTTTCACCTGTAAGGTAAGCTGATAGTTCTTTTTCTTTATTTTTCCTCCCTATATGGGTGCTGAGCCTTGAACTCAGGGACCTGGGTGCTGTCCCTGCTCAAGGCTAGCATTCTACCACTTTGAGCCACACCTCCATTTCTGGCTTTTTGGTAGTTAATTGGAGATTAATATGTCATGGACTTTTCTCCCAAGGCTGGCTTTGAACTGAAATCCTTAAGCTTTCCACCTCCTGAGTAGCTAGGATTGCAGGCATAAACCACCAGCACCAGCAAAGTTTATTGTTCATATTTGGATAATGTACAAAAACTCAAACTTCCAAATGAGTCTATTAAAATTGTCAACGAAGCATCATATGTCTCCCACCCTACCTCTGAGTTTTTCCTGAGCATAAGAAACACTGGGAGTATAGCTCAGCAATACAGAACCTATGTAGCAAGTATGACAGCCTGAGTTCAAACCCCAGTACCACAAAAAGATGTTATTTTCTATTAGAAATGACTGCAGAACTCTGTGTTAGAAAGTTGGAATTCCAGATTTCCATTCAACTTCTATGTTTACTTAAGGAAACAATTCTTTTCCACTCAAACTTTAATCCAATCATTTTGTTGGACAGCATCTGAACTCTACATGGATTATCACACACACTTTCAAGTGGTAAACCATTTTGTCATACAGCCATAGCCCTTAGGGGCCCAGCATACCATTCACTACTGCTCCATTTTGCTGCAGAAATGTCAGCGTCGAGATGGTCATGTTGAGCACAATCTTGGAAACCTGGGAGAAAGTCTGGTGGTATCGTAGCCAATCTAAATCTCCCAGAGATATTAAGGAACTAGAACCAAAACAAACCAAGGCAGTGTGAGTTGCTAGTCTACCAAACAAGCAGCAGCAATTCCAAATGTATTTCCATCAGGCATTGGGACCCAGCCCTGTTGTAAGACATGGTTGGACCATTACATGTTAAAAGCCTCTTGGCTTTTATGTGACCCTAACTCATGGACAAAGACTAAGCAGGAGAGGAGAGGTTCCCCCCTTCAAACACTTGAAGAACTGTCCTTCACATAGACCTAGCGTTTGAGATAACCCTACTACAGAAGTTCTTTAATGCTCAATCCCTGGATCTTCCTGCCTACCTAGAGCAGCCAGTAAGGGTAGCCAGTGCAAGAAAACCAATCTCAGAGCAACTGCAAAGCCAGCATGGCTGTTCCAGGTTTAGACAACCAGTCTAATACTTGGACAGCAGCCTTCAAGGATGATATAGACACCAACCTTCTGTTCTGTCTTATCCCATGGATTTGAGCCCATAAGGGATTAATCTCTGTTCTTAAACTTGGTGTGTGTGTGTGTGTGTGTGTGTGTGTGTGTGTGTGTGTGCGCGCACGCGTGTGTGGGCCAGTATAGGGGCTTGACCTCAGAGTCTCACACTCTTGTTTTGTTTTGTTTTGTTTTGTTCACTTACGGCTGGTGCTCTACTTTTTGAGCAATGCCTTCACTTCTGGCTTATTGCTGGTTAGAGATAAGCTTTTCTAAGGCTGGCTTCAAACTAGGATTTTCAGATGTCAGTCTCCTGAGTAGCTAGAACTACAAGGATAAGTCACTAGCGCCAGGCTTATTCTTAAACTTTCTCACAGAATAAGGGCCTTTAGGCATTGGGAGCAAATATATATAAGACATTTATTTATTAAGTATCAACATATTATTTTATTAATATTTAAACTTATAGGTCAGAAAAGATATTCAACTTAAGTAGGGTGTTGACACAATATAACTTAATTTGGAAATGGTGCTTATTTTAAAAAATGGAAAATGTATTCAGAAATGGAGTTCTCTAAAAGGTATCCCAAACAACATGGTGTCAGGTCTTTATGATATCTTCGATAACTGTGGAATAATTTATTAACTTAGATGATTTTGTTGGTTATTATTTTGGTGTCATTTTCTAATTGCAAAAAAAGAGAGAGAGAGAAAGAAACCTTGGAAACAACTAAAGGTCAAATGTTATAATTAATCAGTAAAACGCACCAAAGCAGAATATTATATAACCATTAAAAATGATCTTTTGGAATCGGGTGGGGGGGAGGGGGGAGGCTGGGAAGGGAGGTGAAGGGTAAACAAAGGAGGAGGCTGCAATGCTTGGTAAGAAATGTATGCATTTTCCTGCCCATGTAATTGTAACCCCTCTGTACAGTATGTTCTCAAATAAAATAAAATAAAATTTAAAAAAAAAATGATCTTTTGAAGACTGCAGTAACCCCAGCAATGTGAGCATGATAAAGTATATTTTCATAAATCATGGAGGATATGTTCTGAACAAAAGCACTGCTCCAACACAAGGTATGTGCAAAGACAGAAAAGGCACAGAGCTGAGGTGCAATTGGTCAGGGTGTTTTAGGGCAACACTACTGTGAGTGTTTTCATTCTGTCAAACAAGCACTCTATTTTATGTATTTTCCTCTTTACAAAGTGAAAAGAAGCTGGCAGTTCATGACAATGCCTGTAATCCCACTACTTAGGAGGCTGAGATCTGAGATAAAGCCAGCCTAGGCAGAAAAGTCTATGAGACTCTTATCTTTAATTAACTAGCAAAAAGCCAGAAGTGAAGATGTAGTTCAAGTGGTAGAGTACCAACACTGAGTGAAAAAGCCAAGTTTGAACGTGACAAACTCAGTTCAAGCCTCAGTACTGGCACCAAAAAATAAAAAGTGAAAAGGAAAAACATTTACAATTTTCTCTTTCACTTACTTGGAAACTGCTTGGAGAAAGTGTACCACCGCTTGGATACCATCTTCCATGTGCATATTGGTCACATGGAATTTGGGCAGAGATAGTAGAAAATTCCAGATATGAGGTTGCTGGTGGAGGATTTCCAGTTTTGATATCACTTCCTCAGTTTTATTGAGATCCATCTGATAGAAAAAAAAATAAATTCCCAAAGTTTTCCTCTTTAGATGTATTAACCAGGGCAGGAAAGGAGAGAGAGAGAAAGATGAAAAGAAAGATAAAGCTGTGAAAATGCAAAACAGTGGGCATCTGCTAGAAGCAACTCATGCCTAACATGTCACTATGTTGAACATAAAAGATTTGAGTATTCGTCCATTAGTCTGCTTTTATTGCAATGTGTTAGAATTATTTTCATCATTGTAAAGCAAGTAAAAATAAAACAGTAGAAAGTCTACAATTTTGAATAACCATGAACTCTGAAAAGGTAAAGAGAATGGAAGAAGGAAGGGGAAAAGATGGAAGAAAGCAAGAAAGAAAAAGAAGAAATGAAAGAGGAAGGGAAGAGGGAGGGAAGAAGGAAAGAAAGGCTCAAAGAAGATTATAGGAGGGAATTGAGGAAGGAAGAAAGACTTTGAGTCCCAGACATTGTGAATTGGGAAAGGGCCTCACATTTATGCTCAGCCAAGCCTGACTGTCATCCTCCTAATTACATTCCACACAATTGAGATACTAACTTCTGTTGAGATAGATTCTTGCTAATTAATTTCCTGCTTAAACTTTTGATTCTCCACAACTCTGACTCTCAAGAAGCTGGAATTATGGGCATAAACTGCTGTTCCTGGCTGCCTTTTGGTTTAATTGGTATATATTAAATTGCATACAAGGGCCAAGATTTTGGCTCACAGGACAGAGCATCTGCCGAGCAAACATGGGTCCTTGAGTTCCATCCTCAATACTACTAAAAAGAAAAAAAAATACAAATAAATAAGTTTCACACAGTGAGGGGTTTCAAATAATACCTCCATGAATATATATATATATATGTATATATCTGATGTACTTTGATCTTATTTATCCCCCTCTTTGTAGCTCCCCTTCTTCACTGCCAGCCTTTTCATACAGTAGTTTCCTCTTCAGTTTGTCTTATTCTTCTTAATATAAGAAGCAAGGAGAATGCTAGGCACCAGTGGTCCACATTTGTCATCCTAACTATGAAGGAGACTGAGATCTGAGGATCGTGGTTCAAGCCAGTCCAGGAAGGAAAGTCTATGAGACTCATATTTCCAATTAACCACCAAAAAAGGCAAAAGTGGATCTTCAAGTCAAGTGGTAGAGTGCCAGCCTTGATCAGAAAGCTAAAGGAAAGCCCCCAGGCCCTGAGTTCAAGCCATAGAACTGGTATGCCCAACACATAGAAAGCAAGAAGAAAGCAGAAGGTAGTTTGGGGAATTTAACAGCTAAATTTTCAACTCAATTGTTTATAAATACTGTTTTTTACCCAACAGAGGTTTCTGCTTCTGGATCAAGACCCACTCCCGACCTCCACCCCCGATTTGCAATATTGAATTTCTCATTTGCTTCTGACACTTCTCCTGAAAGAAACACCTTTGATGGCTACATATCCACCAGCCTTTGTTCCTCATGGTATATATTCTCTAAAGTGACACATGCTAAATCTACTATGGCCTTTACTCCTTCTGAGTACTCATTCAGAGTAGTTATCAATATCTGTGTTTCTAAACACACATCCTGATAGTCTAGGCTGCTTCTACCATTGGCCACTGAATTATGGCAGCCTCTGTGCATCAATCAACCCTACAGCAAATCCTGCATTTGTAGACCTAGCTGGCCTTCTCTATCTTGTGGATTACATATTCATGGGCTTGATCAACCACAGATCAGAAATGTGGTTAGGACCACATGGTTGTGTCTGTGCTGAAGATGCAGCCTTTTATTGTCTTTTTTCTTATGTAAATACATAGCAAAAATAGTTCATGTCTATTATGAACTGTTATCCTTTTACCAAAATGGCTATTTTATTCTAAATGAAAAATCAAACAATATAACCCCATTATCAAGATTCTTCAACAGGAAAATTATCTAGAAATGTAGTTTAGTAAATACAACTGCTTTCTTATGGTTTATGTTATATGTGTTCTCAATGTTTGGAGAATATAATCATACAAGATGAGATGATATGTTTTCTGCTTGTTATACTTGTCAGAGAATAATAATTTTCCATGTGCCATATTAATTAGTAAGTGATTCTACAAGATTCCCTTTGGGATCCTACTTTTGGTATATACTTACCCCATGTACTTATTCTACTTTTAGAAATTAAAATTATCCACAATTATCAATAGCTTCATGCATATAGCAGTTTTGGCATTAAAAATACAATAAATTATCAGAAAAATACCAATATCAATTTGCTTTTCCAAGAGCTAGTGAATCCATTTTTATTACTATAAGCCAAATATGATTCTATCAATGGGCTACATTAGCACAAAAATTGGATAGAAAAATTTCCCTTGAATATTTGTCCTATTTTAAGTTGTTCAGTTGTATGTGTATGTGTGTGTGCACGCACACATGCGTGTACACACCTGCCAATCCTGGGCTTGAATTTAGGGCTTGAAGTATTGTCCCTGAGCTTTTGTGCTTAACGCTAGCACTCTACCACTTGAGCCACAACTCCTCTCATCAGTGGTTAATCAGAGATAAGAGTTTCATGGGGGCTCTTGCTCTTCTTTTCTAGCTCTCTCTTGCTCTTGCTCTTCTTTTCTAGCTCTCTCTTGCTCTTGCTCTTCTTTTCTAGCTCTCTCTGCTCTCTCTCTGCTCTAGCTCTTTCCTCTCTTTCCCAGCCGCGTGGAGTGCCAACCTTGCCTGGTCCCAGCAGGTCTACTGAATAAACCTACCCCTTACCTGAAAAAAAAAAAAAAAAAGAGTTTCATGGGGGCTGGGAAGGTGGCTCAGTGGTAGAGCACTTGCCTTGCATGCATGAGGCCCTGGGTTCGATTCCTCAGCACCACATAAGAAAAAAGAAAAAAGCCGGAAGTGGCGCTCTGGCTCAAGTGGTAGAGCGCTAGCTTTGAGCTGAAGAGCTGAAAGACAGCACTCAGGCCCAGAGTTCAGGCCCCACGACTGGGCCCCCCCCCCCCAAAAAAAAAGAGTTTCATGGACTTTTCTACCTAGGCTGGTTTCAAGTTTCAATCCTCACATCTTAGCCTCTTAAGTAGCTAGGATTACAGCATGAGCCACTGGTATCCAGCTGTTCCATTATTTTTAAGACTCTGAATTTTCATTATTTACTCATTCATTTGTTCATCCATTCATCTAGTGGTACTGGCGATTGGGTTCAAGTCCTGGAACTTGCTCTTGCCTTGCTTTATCATTTGAGCCATGCCCTTAGTCCATCATGATTCATGACATTTTCCTTTGCCCCAGTATGCCAGAAAGCCAGGGGGCATGGAGGGGGTGGGGAATAAATGCCCAATAGTAGTTATTTTGGTGAATTTGCTTTGCTAGTACAATTATTTAAGAGATAGAGGAATATTCCTGCATAATTTCTTGGTCTCTGCAGTTTTACTTGTCTTCTAATGTTTTTATTCACTATTCTTTTATCTTAAGTTATCAAATCCTTCTTCTAATTAGGCAGGTTCAGTTTTGTTTGCCCCTGTTAGCACATTATTGAACATACCAGGATTGTCCACGTCTGGAAGGGTAAAACAAGCAGGGAAGAATTTCTACTGTTGTCAGGATTTTTCCCCACTTAACTCGGGGTTTCTCTGTCCTGGTACTGCTGATGTGCTGAGTCAGCTTAGTCTTTGTTATAAGGCTGTTCTGTGCTTTGTAGGACATTTTACAGCATCTCTGACCAATTCCTACTAGAGGCCAAAAATGCCTCTACTGGAAACCAGTTATGATAACCAAAACGTGTGCAAACATTGACAGATAACCCCAGAGAGAAATCACCACCACTGATAACTAATGCCTTTGTTATCATTACCTTCAATGATAGAAGGCCTAGTGCTTAAACCAAGTCAAAACAAAAACAACTATATACCAAACACCCAAGTGTCAGCCTAACTTGAGTTCTGATTAGCTCAAATCCACTTTATCACAAAGCCATATTGCTTATTTCCCACCATCTTCAGACTTCAACTCTCACCCTCTGCTTTTCCCAGACTCTATATCTTGTTTATATATTATTTGTTTGTTTTATGGTACTTGGGCTTAAACTGGTGACCTTGCATATGTTAGAGAGGTACTCTACAATTGAGCTGAGTCTGTTTGAACTATAAACTATAAACTAAGACTAGTCTTTCAATTAATTGAAAGAGTTAATTGGGGGCTGGGAAGGTGGCTCAGTGGTAGAGTGCTTGCCTTGCATGCATGAGGCCCTGGGTTCGATTCCTCAGCACCACATAAGCAAAAAGAAAAAAAAGCTGGAAATGGCGCTGTGGCTCAAGTGGTAGAGCGCTAGCCTTGAGCTGAAGAGCTGAGGGACAGTGCCCAGGCCCAGAGCTCAGGCCCCACGACTGGACCCAAAAAAAAAACAAAGAAAATGATTGAAAGAGTTAATTGGCCCTGTCAAATCCATCTTTACATAAAAAGACGAATTTGAAAATATATAGAAATAAGTATTTGAATATATAAGCAAAAATTTAAAACAATGCTGTGAACTTAAGGTAATTTGTTCACTGGAGATCAAATTTCAGACTTCATTAAGATACTTACTGTCAAACCAGATGTCCATGGCTCATACTAGTAATCTTAGCTACTCCAGGGGAAAGATCTGAGGATCACAGTTAGAAGCCAGCCCAGGCAGGAGAGTCTGTGAGACTCTCATCTTCAATTAACCACCAAAAAGCCAGAAGTGGAGTTGTGGCTCAAGTGGTAGAGTGCCAGGACTGAGGAAAAAAGCTTAGAGATAGCACCCAGGCCCTGAGGTAAAGTCCCAGTACTGGCAAGAAAAAGATACTTACTGTTAAAAAACTGGTACCATGAGAAGAATCTACAATAAAACAGAGTTAAAAGATCATTTTAATCATCAACACAAAAACTTGTACTACATGACTACTCCTGTTTTCAGTTGAGTATTTCCTACCTTCAGTCCAAACTATGAAGACATTTAAATAAATATATCAGAAGAAACACTTCACTGTTGATTTCCAAATTACATTGGTATTAAGTAACTTCTTGAAAAAGAATCTAAATCTTGGAATCCAAATTTCTGTGATTTTTCCCCAGAAGATTGTATTATTTTATCAATATCTAATACCTTGTAAGCATTCAGGAGAGGATAGAGAGAGTGAAAGAAAAACAAAGGTAATGGAAAAAAAGTTTGAAGAGGGAAAGTAATTGTGATTTTTTCCCTAATTTTCATTACATATATGTGTATGCATATATATACATAAGTGGAGATATAATCTCACAAAAATTAATCTGTCTAAAAGCATGTGAAAGACTTTATTTGAAAACAATTCATCAAATGACCACAAAGCTATCAGCACAATTATGTTCATCTCAGCATTATTTACCATAGCTAAGAAATGGAATCAGGGGCTGGAAAGTTGGCTCAGTGGTAGCGCTTGCCTTGCATGCCTGAAGCCCTGGGTTCGATTCCTCAACACCACATAAGCAAAAAAGAAAAAAGCCGGAAGTGGCTCTGTGGCTCAAGTGGTAGAGCGTTAGCCTTGAGCTGAAGAGCTGAGGGACAGCGCCCAGGCCCAGAGTTCAGGCCCCACGACCGGACCCAAAAAAAAAAAAAAGAAAGAAATGGAATCAGCCCAGATGCCCCTCTGTAAATGAACAGATCAAGAAAATGTGGTATATATACACAATGGAATTCTATGTTTTCATCAGAAAGAATGACATCACCTCAATCATAAGGAAATGTAAAGACTTGGGAAAAAAGTCATATTAAGTGAAGTAACCATGGTTTCCCTCATTTGTAATAATTAGTATATGTCTAGGATAGTTCTGGCAGAGGATCATAATAGCTCAGTTGCTATGTACATATGACCATATAAAATGTTGCTAAACAAAATTAACTCCAAGATAGGAAACCAAGAGGTTTGGGGCTGGGGGTGTATTTTGTTTTGGTTTGGTTTGGTTTTAGTGTACTGTTTTGTTACTTCTGTTTTTTCTTTCAGTTTTTTCCCTTGTTTATCCCCTGTTGTCACTGTTTTTTATTTCAGTACCCTTTGTCTTATATATAAGTTTGTCTAATTTGGGGAAGGGGAAATCACAGAAATGGAGAGACAAAGGACAAAGAGAGAACCAATGCAACAGTAGTACTCACAAGACACTATGTTGGAAATGAATTTTACAACTTTTGGGGGAGAGGAGTGGGGGTAAGGAAAAGAGGAGAAAACGAGAGAAGGGGTAACAATGTTTGACAAAAAAAAAAAAAAAGTACTCATTTCCTTACTTATGTAACTGTAAACCCTCTTTACATCACCTTTACAATAAAATTTTGAAAAAAGAAAAAACAATTTGTGTGTGTGTGTGTGTGTGTGTGTGTGTGTTTTAGTTTTGATCCAGGGTCTTGCTGTGTAGCATACAAATTAGCTTCAAATTCATGATCCTCCTGCCTCAACCTCCAGAGTGCCCAAGGTGTACACCACTATGCCCAGCTTTGAAAGCAGATTGTATAAAACTACAATGACCTCATGATAGAGGTTAAGTGAAGAAAGCTGTCCTTTGATGAAACCAGCCTTCAGGGAGGTAACAACCTGTCCAGGGCCCCACTCTGAACAAAACTATCAGTTCATTTCCTAGACAGAACACAATGCTACCTCCTCTAAGGAGTTCATTCTTTTTTCTGCCAAATCTTTAACTCCAGTTACTGAAATAAAAATAAAAATTTGAGTGTATAAAAGGAAAAATTGTCAGGCCCTGATTCTTCTCTTCTCTATCATCTTAGCTACTCAGATGGCTGAGATTCAAAGAATATTGGTTAAAAGCCATCCTGGGCAGAAAAATCTGAGATGCTCTATGTCTATTTAACTAGAAAAATGTTGGGCTGGAGGCATGGCTCAAATGGTAGAGTGCCAACTAAGCAAGCATTTGCCCCTGAATTCAAATCTTGGTCCTAACCAGAAACAAAAACCCAAACAGAAAAACTGAGTTGGGTAGTGTTGCCAGATTCAACAAACACAAAAGCCATCCATTTATATTTGGATTTCAGATTTAAAGAGTAAGTAATCTTTTATAATACTTTCCTAGTATTTGGAGCATATATAATTTTTAAATGTCTTACTTAAATGTAATTCCAATGGAATGTTCTGTATTTCGTGTGGAAGCCTGAGCTGGACACTAGTTTCTCACTCCTATAATCCTACTCGCTCAGGAGGCTGAGAGCTGAGGATGATGGTTGAAACCAGCACAATCAGGAAGATCCATGAGACTCTTATCTCCAATTAACTACTAAAATAGTAATTATAATTATAATAAACTGCTGGATGTAGATGTATACCTTAAGTGTTAGAGTGCCAGCCTTAAACAACAACAACAAAAAAAACTAAAGGACATGTCCTGAGGACAAGCCCCAATATCAGCACAAAATAACAAACAAATAAATAAGATCAGCATGACTGTGCCCCACCCCCATTGAACAAAACTTGTGTTAGGCAAAGACAGAGCAGGCGAAAACATAATGTGTGCAGACAGGCAATTGAGCTCCTCTCTGAGGCTCAAACTTTACATTTGTAAGCTTCTCTTCTGCAACAGAGCTATAAATCAGAGTTGAAGCCTCTTATAATATAAATCATCATCATAGGGAGCACAAATTACCTTTGTTTGAGGAATGAACTGCCATAATAATCCAAAGATGTAAAATCAAAACAAGCTAATCATGCAAGATCAGAATTCCAGTGTTAGTAGGAAGAGAGACAAATGTGGTGGCACATGCCCGCAGTCCCAACCTTCAGGGAGGAGGGAGGATTGCTAAGTTTGAGGGCACTTTGGGATGGATAGGGAGGCCCTGTTGTAAGTTAGTAAATATGTTAGCAAGATACACAAGACAGTCCAGTGTACAAGGAAGAAGAAAGGAATTGGAGTGCACTTATTTGTTTGAAAAAAGTGTGGATAGATTGTTTATCCTTTGGTTTGATGTAGTGTGTGTGTGTGTATGTGTGTAAGAGAGAGACAGAGACAGAGACTGAGAGAAAGTGTGTGTGTGTGTGTGTGTGTGTGTGTGTGTGTGTGTGTACATGCATACACACACTAGCACTAGGTCTTGAACTCTGGGCCTTGAGTTCTCATTGGGCTTTTTCACACACAGCTGGTGTTCTACCCCTCAAGCCATACTTCCCAGTCTAGCATCTTACTGGTTAATTGGAGATAGAGTCAGACTTTTTCTTCCAAGGCTGGCTTTGAACTGTAATTCTCAGATCTAAGCCTCCTGAGTAGCTAGAATTACAGCCACCTGCACCTGGCCTATAATTTTGGGGACTGATCTTAAAAGTTAGAAAAGGACTTTATAAAAGAAGACAGCAAGAGGAGAAAGAGAAGAGGGGGTAGAAAGCGGGTAACCAAGATCTAAACAAGAATGGAAGGCAGCACCTCTGAAGGCTAAGCAGCTGGAGCTTTAGATGAGTCCTGCCTACATTCTACAACCCACTGCTGGGCCCAGGTATAACCATCAGGGGGTCACCTTTCTCCCAGACCCACAAGAGAAGCTTAAAGTCATCTAAGAGCTTCTGGATTTGGCAAATATTCCAGGATCTCAAACCTCTATTGGGGCTCTCTCCGATGCTGTCAGAAAGTCAGTACCACTGTAATGAGAGATTTAACTTACCTAGTGTCTCTGATCTTTGCACCCAAAGCTTCTGTAAGGTTTTTGCCTTGTCCATGGTTTCATAAATGTCCTCTGCCAGATCCTGTACCTCTTTTAAAAAAGCCAGGCTGTTGATCTTTGTGTCATAAGCTGTAGTTTGGAACCTAGACAGACTTCAAATAAATCAGATAAATACAAGTATTGTACAAGAATGCTTTCACAGAAATAAGTTTCCCCCATATTTTGAAAGTTCAAAAGTTCAAGAGTTTTCAACTAAACTCGTGCCAAATTACACTCCTTCCACCCACACTGGAGAACCTTAACCATCATCCAAAACGGAAATTATCACTTAAAAAAAAATTCAAGCAAGGTGCCAGTGGCAGGCAGGAAAGTCTGTGAGATTCTTATCTCCTGTTAAGTACCAAAAAGCCAGAAGTGGAGGTGTAGCTCAAGTGTAGAGCACTAGCCTTGATCACAAAAGCTCGAGCACATAAAGCACATGTATGCGTGCATACACACACACACACACACACACACACACACACACACAAATTAATTTAATATTAGAAAATAGTTCTTCTATTTCATTAGGTGTCAAGTTCCAACTTTCATAAGTTCACTAACCACTTAATTTGATTTTGTTTTTGTTTTTGTTTTCTTTTTTGGGTCCGGTCATGGGGCCTGAACTCTGGGCCTGGGCACTGTCCCTCAGCTCTTCAGCTCAAGGCTAGTGCTCTACCACTTGAGCCACAGCACCACTTCTGGCTTTTTTCTTTTTGCTTATTTGGTGCTGAGGAATCGAACCCAGGGCCTCATGCATGCAAGGCAAGTGCTCTACCACTGAGCCACCTTCTCAGCCCCTTGATTTTGTTTTTAACTATATTTTTTCTTTTCTTTTTTGGTACTGGAGATCGAACCCAGGATATTACCCTTGCTAGGCAAGCACTTTGCCACTGAGCTACATCCCAGCCCATGGTTTTGCTTTTTTTTTTATCATATATATTGTAAAACACATTTTATGCAAAACAATCAGCCTGGAGACAATAAATATCACTCCATAAAACCCATCCATGCTTGTGTGCCTTAGCACATCGACTTAAAGTCTTTGGAGACAGAGATTCAAGCTAGACTTCCAGGGTACTGCTAAGAGCAAGAGGCAGATGGCACCTTCTCTTTTAAGATGAAAAACAAAAAATAAGATTCTCTTTTGCAGTGCCTCCCTGATGTTCAGGAAAAGAAGCAAGAGAGCCCTATATGTAAATCTGGGGTCCAGAAGGCCTCCAGTGTCTATCAGTTTTTCTCCCCCCTCTCTTTTAGTCTCAAATTGCAATCCCCATACCTCAGCCTCCTGATGCTGAGATTACAAGTATGAACCATCACACTCAGTAACTATTAACACATGTAGTCTTCTTCATTTATCTGAATGATTTGTGTTTTACATGTGGTGTCCCTGATTGCTTTAGTAAGAAATATTTTTCTCATTTATTTGCCATTTATTTTATTTTAATATTGAACAAAGTTACTACTACAAGATAATAGCTGATGTTAGTGAAATGAGTCCCTTCCTATAGCTTAGTCCTCTCCTTCCCTTCTCCACAGCTTAGCATGCTCCCTTCCTAGGCAATACTAGGCCCATGTAGTAAAGGCAATAAGTAATCAGCCTCCAACCCCCTTTACCTTGGGATGGCACTTCTCTGGGGCAGCTCCCACCATATAAGGCAACAAGAGCCCCTTAGAGTGACCTTCAGGTCTGAACAGCTACAGGACCCGTTATCTACTATTTGGACAGCAGCCATAAATCCTAGTCCACTGTGATGAAGCCCCTGGTCCACATGTCCACACCAGGGTCTTTGCCTCCTAGACCCTCCTAAACTTCCTAGGTTATATAGGTCACCTCAGGCAATAGCCAGTGCTTTTCATTCCTCCCTTGTGAGAAGGAGTCTGGCCGCCCCCTCCCCACCTCCCAGCAATGAAGTTTCCTTTGTTCTCTGTACCTGGACGTCTGCATGGTTCTCTGGCAAAGTCTAGGTAATCTAATTGAGCTAACAGCTGAACTCCAAGAGATGGAAACAAGAGGTGTTTTTGTTACTTTGCTTTTTGTTTTTGTTTTTATTTTTCCCTTTCTTGTTGTTTTATTATTTCTGTACCTTTTGTATGTAAGTTTAGCTATTTGGGGAAGGGTAAGGGGAGCACAGAATTAGTGAGACAAAGGATGAACTAATACAACAGTGATACTCACTAGACACAATGTTGAAAATGAACTATATAACTTGCCGGGGAAGGGGGTCCAGAGGGGAAAACTAGGAGAAAACAAGGGAAGAGGTGTACAAAAAGAAATGTATGCATTACCTGACTTACGTAACTATAAACCCTCTATAAATTATCTTTACAATAAAAATAAATAAGTAAAAATTTATATCCATAAGAGCAAAGAGCAGAGAAGAATAGTAGAGTCTACAAATTCTGATCCTAGAGTAGGTGAACAAACAAGCAGCATATGATTTTAAAGGGATTTTCTTTCACCTTTAAAATTCACCATGAAATGGAAATGCATTCCTTAGAGGGGTCAGAGTCACACCAGGTCACCTTAGAAGTTTGCTGAAAGCAGTGACTCTCAGAGGCCTTGTCCTACCAGTTCTCACTAGCTGGGGCTGGAGGCTGTTGGCAATCTACCTGGTAACCCACTCTGCACCCATATTCCAACATGTACAGACAATCCATAACTAACCCAACACTGGGGAAAATACAGACACTAATTCCAACTAACAAATGACAAAATTGCTATGTTTTTCTTAATTTTACAAATAGCTTGTATGGCAAATTGTTTTACTGGTACACAAGAGAAAAGTATTGTCCTGATCTTGGAAATCAGCACTGTGAGGCTGTTTACATCTTATCTCAAAATCTGTGGTAATTTATTCTTAATAAATCAACCAATCGGAAATAAGGTGGGAAATCAGACACAAGTTACTGACAACTAGGAACTTCGAATTCAGTTGAATTTGTATTTCCAAAGCAGGAAATAAATTTGAGGGGAATTTTTCCTAACCCTTTAGCCAAGAAATTTTCAGATTTTTTTTCATCCCATGTCTTTATTTCATAAATTAAAGAACTTTGAAAATGCTTTAGCGGTTGTAAATATGTAAATATCCCATAGAAAAAAAAATAAAGCTTGAAGACAAAGAGTAAAAAGAAATCCGTTCTCTAAACATTGTCATTTAATTCTAACCTATAAAGAAGTCAGAATATGTTCTGTAAACACTGATGAATAAAATAAGCTCAATGCTTTCCAGTGCATTTAGAGATGAGGAAATAGGTCAATTTTGTTTAAAGCAAGGAAAGTATCAGCTGTAAAGCCAAGTCCAAGACAGGGAGAGATTACCTTCTTTGACACCTATCTCTTAGGCTCCAGGGAAACTAACAAGGCCTTCCACTTGAAAGAGTGAGGATTGCAAAAGCACAACAAGAAATCAGCTATTAACCTTGCATTAAAAGCTTAAAATTACCTCAGACCTCTGGAATTTATGAACCATGATCCAAACTCTCTGGCCTCACCCAAACTAGAGATTTACTTAACTGCCAGGTTATCTGATTTTAGAACCTGCTGTAATTCAAGAATAGTTCCCCTGTAATAATGAACCAGTTTGTGTTCTTTTTCTAATTATTATTTCCAAGGTACTTCAATTGGTATTTAGCCAGCATAATAATGAACATCATTCATATAAGGTAGTGTTTAGAGCAGGAAAAAAGAAATACCTAGAAAATCCTTCCTTAAACATTGATGCAATTTTGGCCAATCGACTTCAACAATTCATCCAAAAAATCACACCACAATCAAACAGGATTCATGTCAGGGATGCAAAGCTGGTTCAATATACACAAATCAATTAATATAATTCATCACATCAACAATAGCAATGATAAGAACCACATGGTTATCTCAATACATGCAGAAAAAGCATTTGACAAGATCCAACACCCCTTTATGATGAAGGATCTCAAAATCCTAGGAATCCAGGGAACATTTCTCAATACATTAAAGGCTGTATATGACAAACCCACAGCCAGCATTATACTTAATGGTGAAAAACTAAAGCCATTTCCTCTTAACTCGGTGACGAGACAAGGATGTCCACTCTCTCCACTTCTCTTCAATCTAGTATTAGAATGCCTAGCTACAGCAATAAGACAAGATGCAAACATAAAGGGGATCCAAATGGGGAAAGATGAAGTAAAACTCTCCCTCTTTGCAGATGACATGATCTTGTATTTAAAGAATCCCACAGACTCTACTCGCAAATTACTCAAGCTGATTCAAAACTTTGACAAAGTAGCAGGGTATAAAATTAACCCTCAAAAATCAATGGCTTTTCTGTATGCCAACAATGAGAAAAGTGTGCCTGAAATCAGGCACACAAAATATAAAATAATAGCCCCACAAAATATAAAATACCTAGGAATTAACTTAACCAAAGAAATGAAGGACCTCTATGATGAAAACTTGAAAAACCTGAAAAAGGAAATCAAAACAAAACTTAGAAAGTGGCAAAACCTCCCATGATCCTGGATTGGAAAGATCAACATCGTGAAAATGGAAATACTTCCCAAGGCTATCTACAAATTCAATGCAATACCTATCAATATTCCAACCTCATTCTTCAAGAAAATAGAAGAGGTAATCCAAAAATTCATATGGAACAATAAAAGACCCTAGATAGCAAAAATGATCTTCAACAGAAAGAACACGGCTAGAGGAATATCAATATCAAATTTCAAACTCTACTACAAAGCCATAGTAATCAAAACAGCTTGGTACTGGCACAAGAACAGACCTCAGGACCAATGGAATAGAATTGAAAACCCAGGAATGAACTCACAGACCTATAGCCATCTAATCTTCGATAAGGGAGCTAAAGAAATAGAATGGAAGAAAGACAGCCTCTTCAGTAAATGGTGCTGGCAAATTGCTTAACTACTTGTAGAAAACTAAAGCTAGATCCTTATATATCACCCTGTACCAGAATCAACTCCAAATGGATCAAAGACCTCAGAGTCAAAGCAGACACTGAAAACATTACAGGATGGAATAGGAGACACCCTAAGTCTCCTTGGCACAAGCTGAATTTTCTTAATAGAGACCCAGAAACACAACAAATCAAAGAAAGGTTTGATA